CCACCTTTCACCAAAATTACGTGGGCAACTGGCCAATACAAACACTACTCCTATGCGTCTTTTTTTAGCATTAGAGTCGTTGCTTTTTATTCCTATGAGCAGCCAGGTTTTGCAAGTGGCAATGGGTGGTACACTGCCTTAGCTCGCCTCTCTCAGGTGGTAATAACTTTTGCGGCCGCTGTCATTGCTAAATCTTAGGCATAGACACAAACTTGAAAGTTACAGAAACCTTTTAATTGATGTTCAGCCTTAGTCTATCAAGACGGCGCCAAAAGACTTCGATTTTGTAGACATACATAAGGAATCCACTGACGATCTGCTTACAGTGGATTCTCTTTTTAAACTTCAAAATAGCCCTGCTCACTTTGGCGTGTGTGCGCTGTTTAAAATACCAGACAGGAAATTGTAAGCGCTAGATGCCACCCAGATTTTCGAGCTAACTATAGTTAAATCATTTGAGTCATCGTCAATTGTTATACTGAGACAAAGCTTCAAGCCGAAATTAGTGCTTTTGAGGCTGATAAAAAAGGACAGAGCGGTTAAGGGATGTTTAAAACTTATAAGTTCATTTTGGGCGACCCTAAGAAAAGTCGATTTATATGTAGGTCAATTCCCATAAAATTATCTGGGAAATAGGGAAACAGCTACGTCAGCAATGTTTGGATGCTAACGGGATAATAGTCTAGGAAAACAGCTTCAAAACAAATTCTAGTTTTGCTAGTAGACGCATCCTTGACTTGGAGGATGAATTATATGCTACTGTTATAAAATGAGTAAAAGAGAGCGACTGTTCATCAGCGTGAAAATTTAGATGGGATAAACCGTGATAGAATACATGCAATTTTTAACAGGATTATGCGCACTAAGATTTAATGCAAAAAAAATGTTCAAAGCCTGGGTCGTAATCAGTTAAAATTCTGGAAATGCTGTTGACTAGATGCACAAACATGTTATAACGAGAAATATAAAGTTGGGGAAGTTTCGATAGTTAACAATTAATGAATTCAGTACTTAATGCCCAATAAAATTCTCCAGTTAAATTCGTAATTTTTGGTCTTTTACCAACACCAAGTAAGCAATACTTGCGGTTAAAAACATTAAAATGGTAATGAATACACACCAATGCATTTCATTGTCAATCCCCATTTAATTAGTACCCACTTTCATAAACGATAACTGCTGACTACTAAAAGAGCGCAAATAAATTAATCTACGACCTTGTTATGTAGGTAGACTAAAAATGGTTACAAGTCTTGCAAAAAGGAAATGTTTATCTAGCATACAACAGCAAAAGCCCAAACTTTTCTGAACCAAACTTTCACGATAATAGGGATGACTCCTCAAGTGGCTTCATTGGAAGAACACTGATTCCACAATGACCTCACATGACATGGTCCGAATAAATAGATAAAACCAATTTAAAATTGAGAGAATGAGACTCCATTTCTACTTGCACCAGAATGGCATTCGGATGTCACCAGGACTGTCTAATTGCAAAAAAGACTAATGTACATTATTTTTTTCTGCTAATTGGAGGAAGGTAATCTGGGTGCGTTTGACCGTCACCTCTGATGCCCGTCTAGAACATCTTAAAGCAAAATATTCAGCAAACAATTTGCACCAGGACCGCAAACACTTCTTTAAACATTTAATTTCTCCACCTTTTCACATAGTAATAAACCGTTACATCTGAGTATTCTATTTACACGCCTGACCCCAATAAAAATGAGGTTCTCACCTGAATTTCATTGTTTTTAACATTCAGAAATAATATAGGGATTTTGGCGTAATTTTTGAGTCGCATCAATTTGATTCAATTTCCACAGAAAGTAAAATGACGATATGGTAAGGTTAGATACGAGTGTTACTAGTTGATAAATATACGATTGAGACAGTTTTTCGGCTTCCTTTACCGAAGCCCTTACGTGTACAGGATCCATCTTAAATGAATTGTACAGCATCTCAAGTTCCGAAACTTCTTAGGCAAGGGCAGTGGGAAATCAGTTGATCCCGTGATCTGCTAAAAAAATCAAATGAACCAAAATAAACCCAGTATTAAACCATAGTTGGTTTTTAATACTAGAAATTTGAGCTTACTAAAAAAACTAAAGTAACATTATAAAAGTATCCAGCTCACTGAAACACTCAAGTAGCATGTTAACATAGTTGAACTAGAAGGCTTTAAGCAAGGACCTCCCCATTCCGACTAAATTAGAAGGAAAACAGGATCCAAGTGATGAGAAATACGGGAAAAGGACTACAAAAAAATTAGACAATTGCTTACTCGCCTTTGGCGAATCCGTCCTTCAACTGAAACTGCAAACGGTGAAACAGATAAATGAGATTGCCCCGCATCTTTGTAGAATTTAATCAGAGATTCTATCGATGGTAACATGACAGATGTGACCAAACACATGACTTCCACGCATGAAAACCCCTGTCTCGAGAATATGACACGCCTCGAAACCCACAGTCCCCATGTATTCTCCTGGCGGTGTCCTTGCCGAATACCATCCAGGCTATCAGAAAGATCGCCGAAAAGTCAATTGGCTATAGCTTCCGCTTTTCTATGAAATCAACCCTCATGTTTGATACGTCCCGCCAACATTTCCACCTCCGTAGAAATCAGTAGATATGAAGAGCGACCCCGTAGAGAGTACTTCTGTCGATTGTTTAGATACTTCAGTACCTAAGAGTAAATTTATACCCTTATATTTTACAAATTTGTGTTACACTAAAACCGATTTCAGCAGCTCGCACAATGCCTAAGATTTGATATTTCTATTAACGCAATAGTCAGTGAAACCATCAATAGGAACATAATAATAACGGCCGCTAGAATAAAAAGCTGAAACTCGTCCAATTCCAAGTAGAGTGGAAAACTCCTCCCACAAAAATGGAAGACCTAAACTTGGAAGCAGAGGCTATAAACAAAGCACCATGAAGTGTATTCAACTGCGCGGATGAAAAAGTCATTTTCTCGCCCCATTAGCTGAGGCGGCAGCCGCGGCAGCCTGATTACGCTTCACGTTGAGGTTGTGCAGACGCGCCAGACTGACTTCTACGGTGGTGGTCTGCTCCTTTAGAAAGGCCAGCGTTTCCTCCACATCGGCCATGGAGGTCTCCGCTGAGGAGAGGTTTGCCAGGAGGATTTCCTTCGCTTCCGCCAAGTTGTACTCTAGCATCACATTCGCCCCGAGCCACAAACCCACCTACAAACAGGCAGATAGGTATGATAGTCACCAGCAGGATGGCTAGCAATGACCCGTCTTCACTTATGGAAAAGAGGAGACCGCACGGAGTAATATGACCTAAGGAAATTTCAGCCAATTTGCCCACTGTTACTGTTTATGGGATTATATGAATGCATAGCTTTGGTGGGGAGAGGAAGTATAATGCAATGAATGATAAAAAATTTGCTAACAAGTCGTATCTTAACACAAGAGAAAAATGAAGAAAGCTTTTATCCAGTTTACTGCTGCCCAAGAAATAGTTGTTGAAACGCCATTCATGGTAGGGGATTCAACTGACGAGCAAATAACAAAATAATTTAAATTCATTTGCTTAAATGTTAAACCCAAATACGGTACCACGCTCATAAATTCTATACTGATAATGGTGCAGAAAAAATCGGCAAACAGGCGAAAATACAAACCGGTGTCAGGCAGATAAAGAGCAGAAGCCGAAATCACATAAAACATAAAATTTTTGCATTAATTTAAGCAATCCTTTTAATGATTTTGACATAAAAAGAAAATTTAAGACTTGAAAAAAGGCGAAAATAATGGCTCCAAAAATCCAATGCTGGCAATTATTTGCCACAAAACACGATTGGAGTCTCAAAATAAAGCATAGTTAATGGCGTTTTGTGGAGCAAACTCGCAGAAAACTAAAAAATGATTTCAAATATCAGCGTTATAGCAAAACGTTAGTCGTTTAAGAAGCATGCGAAATAATTCAACCTAAGATTAAACAGCATAAGAAGCGATGCCCATGCTAAAATACTGACACGATTTTAGAAACCGGATTATGGCCGTAAAGCACACAACTTTTCCACTCGATAATGTAATAATCTCACGCTACGGTAACAAAATGTATCCTCGATAAAGTTATGAAGCAAACGGAAGTAATCCGACATATGGGACTGATTACCAATGCTGGATACCCAGCTGCAAAGTAGCAATTGAGGAAGAAGATATAATCGCAATTGAAGTGCAGAGCACGTGTGGCAGAGATGAGGGAAGACTAGTGAATATCAAGCGAACTTATAAAGTGCACTGCAAAGTGCACATCAAAGCGTCAGACACTACTTTTACACGCTGCTCAACGCTTTACATAACCGTCTCCAAATACTAATCCAACGGGAAAGAGATAGTCGCTTAAGACAGTCACATCGGTGCATTCTTTCAAAACACAGTGCTAAAGCCAAGAAACTCGCCTTGGAGAAATTCACTAATGATTTAAAAAGAAATTAGTTTAAACCGGAGGGAATTATTCGACCGCATTGAAACTTATAATACCAAACTACAGTATTAATCAATGTTGAACAAGTTACGGATGTTCCGCTGCAATCACCTTAGACCCACCTTATCAGCCTTATCGATATGTGCGCGAGTATAGAGTTGATCAGAGACCTCAAAAGTGACATCAAAGTCCTCGTTTTTCTTCTCCAAGTGCTTCACCACGTCAAGAGTTTTAGTGATATCTGGCATTTGCTGGAGGAGACGAAGCTTCCGTTGAAGAAAGGCCTGTTCCATGAGTTTGTACTTCTGATAGAGTTGGTCAAGAGCCTGCATTGCATCGCGAATAGTAGCGTAGCCATTGGTTTTGAGATAAACGTCCACATCCTCTATGAAGGTCGCCTTCGGGATGCCCTTCAGCGTACCCGAGTCTTTGCTGCTGTCACCACTACTTAGAGAGGAATCTGCCACTGTCGAAGCCATTTATCAAGGAGTGATCTAAAAGTAAGATTTTTAACTTGATAGGACAAAAACAAACGAAAAGAGTCCTCATTGAGACAGAATGTAAGGCGCACGGAAACGCTAAGGGTACTTACAAACTAAGATAAGAACTCGTTACGATTTCCATCTGATGCGAGTCGCAATAGCGAGGCTCGAAATAACAGGTAATGAAGACAGGAAATTACAACCAACACGCGTCCTCTTCGTGATTAAATTAGACTAACTCATAAGTTCAACAATGACATCACACAGTGCCTGCACAAATTAATGCATTATAATCCGAACCTTATAATGAAACTAGAGATCAAAATGACTATCCAAATTCAGACACTACCCTTCACGATGTGACTGAGCATAATAAAACTCAAGTTTGAAGTCACGAGAAGGTAAACGGATAACTGAGTCGACCTCACGACTGCACTGGTATCCAAATGGGCCAGGAGAATCCGTACTACAAAAACGTGAACTACGGGCTAAGTGGTAACCAGCATATCAAGCAGAGCAACACCTGTTCTAGGGAATTACGTACACTAGTTAAAAAGAACAAAAATTTCTATTTAAATGCTTAGTGACCAGCTGTGCTGCAAAATACTCGTTCGTACTAAATGTTGTACATCTGAAAGTCAGTGAATCTTTTATAAGGTCGTGAGCCTCCTATACAAGTCTTGATTAAACTATGAGGTATTTTAGTGAAGCTGTGGAGGAAAGAACAGCGAAATCGTTATTGAGTTTGCCTTTGTAAAGGTGGTGCATTAATCAGTCGTCTTAATTTTGTAAATTTGTTCCCTCATGGTCTATTTGCACATTGATATGTGGAAAGCTAATTTATTTTTAAAACTTTAAGCTAGATTCTGTTCTACAATGAATGAGTCTTATAAAAAAGCTTGCTTATAGGCAAAATCACTTAATCAAAACGTAGGATCATTAGCTCCTCGAAGTTACCTCCTGATTCGTCCATCATTTTTACCTCATTTTTAGCTTAATGCTGCAAAAACTAATGCTCCCTTTACGCTTATCTTTTTTAAATAATATGGAACGTCAGAACCTTACAGTTTATCTGTAATTGCCCAAGTTTGGACGAGCATTTATCCAGTCGCTAATACAACAGCTTGGGATACATTTCTCTGAAATTTTAAGCGGCTTAACATTTTAGGAATTAAAAATAATGTCTATTTTTTACCTTTTTTTCTGAAGTGGCCGCGTAATGCATTTGGTAGGGGCAAATTTGATTTACAGTAGGATCTTTCCTCTGGTATTATCAGATTTAAAGGCTTGCCTTCCTGTCAGTTATCCGCCCCAAGGCTTTGCCTGGTGCCATTAGGCTTTGGTATTCTTACACTAGGACAGGAATGAAGGCGGTGCAGCAAATTCCCCTAAATTTAGCTTAAACTTTACTCATTTAATAACCTCGCCCAGCAATACGTTGTTGCAAAAACTTTATTGAGATATGTGCGGACAGCCAATAACATAATTTAAATGGTGTAGCTGATTTTTAAAAAGCCACTGATAACCATTTACACAAAATATGTAAGTTGACCCTTTCTTCACTTAAAAATCCACTTCGCGTTTAAGCTTGATAAAAAACGGAGGCATTGCGAGCATGAGCACATTCAAATTCGAGATGGATGTACTTGCTCTGTTAGTTTGATATAGTTTGTCAATTTTGTTTGCGCAAATTTATTGATTTTCTCGTGCCCTGGCAAATATTATTTTGTACATCTAAAGTAAAATATCGGCTGTAGGACCGATTCTCAATGCACAAGTATTTTACTACTTAACTTGATATTTATAATACTACTTGCGCCTAAGTTAGAATAAGCCAAAAACTCGTGCGTTTATTGCGTTGAATGTGGTTAAGCGCCCAACATTCAGCCATGGACCTATTTTCTTTATACGTGCTTATCAGCGTCTGAAATAAAAATGAGGTCATTAAAATTAGGAGAATTTTTTTGGGTCCACCACTTTGGGGTGTGTCTTACATTGCGAGCTAATAAGGGACACATTTCGTTCTTTTAGCTTTTCAATATTCCTCGCTGCTCAATGTAGCTCCGAAGTACTACCCTTTCGTAACACTTCCCTCTCGCGCGAGGAACGAGTAGGTGACCTGTTGAGTCGTCTCGACCTCGATGAGCTCACGGAACAGTTACTTTACGGCGGCGCTGGTGTTGCTCACGGACCTGCACCAGCCATTCCACGACTCGGGATCGGCCCCTACCAATGGCGTTCCGAATGCCTCCACGGCTACGGGTTTGACGGTGATGCAACCAGCTTTCCTCAAGCCATTTCCATGGCTGCCACTTTTGATAAAGACCTTATCCATGCGGTTGCCAATGCAACTGCCTACGAGGCGCGTGCGAAATACAACACTTATGTGCGCGCCGGTGAATATCAGGTGGGTCACAGTAGAGGCTTATTTGATTGGCTCAGTGGTTTATTATCTCAATAAATGAAGACAGATCAGTCAGTTCAATGAATTATCCACTTGATATAAATGAAAAGCGTCTTTACTTCCTTGAATAGCCCTAAATACCAAATTCTTTGATTACATATTATTTGAGAGACTTAAAAAGACGAAATCAGCAAGAAACTCCAAATGAAATGCCGCGTCTTTTGGGAAAACATTGGCAAATTTATCTCCATGTATCGAGTCAGAATGCCAGTTACTTTGATTAATCCTTAATCCTACTTATCCCGTAGGATCACAAAGGTATCAACTGCTTCTCTCCAGTGGTGAATCTACTTCGTCATCCTCTGTGGGGTCGGAACCAGGAGACCCTAGGCGAGGATCCCTTTTTATCAGGAGAGTTGTCCAAGGCCTTCGTGCGTGGTCTCTCCGCGCTGCCGTCACGAGGGCTACTGTCACGGAAGCTGGTGGAGGAGGAGCACATCTATCTTACTGCCGCCTGCTGCAAGCACTTTGCGGTTCACTCCGGACCCGAGAATTTGCCTGTCTCGCGACTTAGCTTCGAAGCCAACGTCTCCGCTGCTGATCTCTGGCTAACCTTTCTGCCAGCCTTTCGTGGTTGTCTGGCCGACGGCGTTGCACAGTCCGTTATGTGCTCCTACAATGGTATTAACGGAGTGCCCAACTGTGCTAATCCCTTGCTGCTCAAGAGGATTTTGCGGGAGATGTGGGGATTCAAGGGTACGGTGAACGGGAAGGCGCCAAACATCGGTGTTGCATAGTGTCTACAATAATTGCCTAATCATCTATTAAATGGAATCAGTATGAAGTGAACACAACTGGTTAATCTTGAAGGCACAAAATGCTTCTGGAACCCCAGATTTCAAGCATATAACTAGTAAAATCATGTCTTACCGACACAATATCATAGAGAGTAATGTACGAGCTGCGAGAGTTAAAACATACTAATTTGTGCAGGAACAATAATGCGAAGAGTTCCTGACCGCATTACACTTTCTTCATTTAAGTGTTGTAACACTAGATGTGAGATTAAGTTCATATTAGTTAATTTTAGCTTTCAAGGTGATTTATGCTTTGTCTTCAGTACATTAAATTACCAAATTTAGGTTGTTTGTGATAGACGTACCAATCGAGAATGAGAATGTGATGGATGACGTCTCAAGAAGAAGTAGAGTATTTTGCGGAAAAAACTTGTGCCACAATCATACGCAGTTGGTAAATATTCAACGGTTAAAACCGCGCACTTTTGAATAGGAGAAACGTAATGGATGGTGATGATGAAATCTCTTCTGTTCAAGGATTTCTTAGAGGGTTTTTTCATAACTTAACCCATGTCAACACAAAAAAGTACAAATTTACGTAATTGATGCTTTAAAGATACTCACCAGTGGAACGTCTTGTTAATTAGTATAGTCCCCATTGGTTTTCCTATCTAAAAAGCATTTAAAATGAGAAATTTTGAATGCCATTGGTGACAACTCTACAATTTCCAAAGAACGGAAATATGTTAGGCTCGTTCATTTATCTCCAGTGCTCAAATTCATATATAATTTCTATGTTTCACATCTGAGGCCTCAAAAATGACACCTTGCATTCATTTACTACTTCCTCTTGTATACTTGAGCTTCTGCGTCTGCAGCGGTACACTCGTGCATCCATCAATACTTTCAGGCTTCGTGATTAGTGACGAAGGTGCACTGCAATTCTTGGTTTCCGAGCACAGAGCTTTTAGCACCTATCTTGAAGCCGCCAAGGCAGCTTTTGACGCGGGTGTCAACATTGAAAATTCACAAGAGATCGTCCGCGGTGTCTACAGCTCCCTCCCCCTGCTTGTTGCTGCTGGAATCATCAGGAGGTCTGTCTAACCACTTCACATCTGTGCGTCCCCTTAGATGGCTTTTGACAAGCCTTTCACCAACAGGTACCAACTGGAGGAGATGAATCGACCTCTCTTTCTCACTCGTATGCGACAAGGAGAATTTGATCCCCCGGACAGTAACCCTTACTCCTCACTGAGCAAAGACGACGTGAGCCTGGAGATAGAACAATTGTTGACACTTTATTCTAGTATGCAGATGTTTCAGAGCTTCTAGCAATTTTTCTTCCTCAAAACCTCATTAATAATTTTCTCACGTGCTCTTTTTAGATATTGATGATGAAACAAGGCTTGTAGAAATGATAAAACATTAACAAGGTCGCCGCTAGGGCCAAAAAGGGAACTTGTTTACTGTAGCCTCACATAACACCACCACTTGTACTACCGCGACTCAAGAAATCAAAAGTGTTTATCTTCAGATCAGGAGCACCCTACACCTACTCGTTGTCTAAAACCCAAGCTATTTGCTACACGCTACTGTTCAACCAGCACATATTAAGTAGTTGTGAGGACGAGCTCAGGTAAGAAAGTCGGGGCGTCACTTACACCTTACGCTGGTAACTGAATGCCTTAATACACTTTTTCAAGATCATCAATTGTAAATTATTGCGTATTTTTGGTGTTCTTCAATAGCAATGCTATCAGGAATTTGAGTCAGGAATTCTTAAAAGTGAATAAATTAGTAATTTAAAATACTAATTTTTGCGTAGGGAATTTCCATGAAAAAAGGGTTTCTGGAGTAGTAATTGAGTTTGCATATCGTCCGTTTATTTATCATGCAAGAATGAATCAAAAGCGGCTCAGAACTGGAATTTGTCATAAATCCGAAGAAAAACTTGCCCTTAGTTTACGAATATGTTCAATTTCTAACTAGAGGTTTTGACTCGTGTTTGAACCATACAAGTATCTGGGCACAATCACGTTTCCAGATTTCTAAAAAAACTGTCACCAAAACAATAATGACTGCTGCGGTATATTCGCATCGGTTTTTCTGAAAGCTTACCAATGCCGAACAAACATCCCATTTAAAATCGGTTCCACCACATTTGCTTGCGCAGTGGGTGGGGAAAGAATCTGCCTAAAAGTCAACATAATGAGAATTTACCAGAGAAGTGGGCACTGCATAAGTTTGGTTTATAAATCGTATTTTTTGGTATTCACCTTTCAGTTTATCCAAAGCCCCAAACACCGACAACTTTCATTAGTAGCTGGATGTCGGTCAACGGTGCTACTCAAGAACACGAATCGTTTTCTACCCTTTTCAAAAAGGGTCAAGAATCTCGCTCTTATCGGTCCTTTTGCAAAGCGCATGGACGAGCTGACTGGCTCCTATTCAGCCTCCCGCATGCCGCAATACGAAACCACCTTGGAAGAAGGTGAGTCACAGACCGAAACTACCCATGAATTTGTCTTAATAAAGAGTGTTGGTGTTTTGCGATTTTCTCAACCTATGTACCTGACACATTGCATCCAAACAACCTCGCATAGTTGATGGCTTCTTCCTTTTTACGCAATCAGCTTATTTTGGTTAATGAAGATTTCCTAAAATTGCACTCTTATCCGATAAAATCGCAAAGCAGTCCCTTCAATAGATCCGATTTCTTAACCAAATTCTCTACCAAGGAGTTCTCAGTTGAGGTCTGATGTCTGGCCAGCTAGGTCTGAAGGAAGTTGCTGACGTCCTGTACACCCTGGAATTCTGTAACAACGGCGCTCGCTGCACCTCGGGCGATGAGGCTGGTCTTATCAAATTACTCAATTCCACGAAGGCAAAAATGCCCAATGCCATTATAGTCACCCTTGGCACGGGCAGCACTCTGGTCACGGAGTCTCAAGATGCACGGAGCCTGCAGCTCTTCGGTCAGCAGCAGCGAATGCTTGAGCTTATCTCCATCCACGCGCCGTCAGTTCCTGTTGTAGTCTTCGTCTACTCTGCTGGACCTGTGAACATATCGGCTGCGATTGTGTCGCCTCAGGTGCGATTAAACGGGGGCAAGGCTACTCTTTCCAAAGGGAGTCAGAGTAAATTTAGTTGAGGAGCCAGGTTTTTCAATCGGTAGGAGGTTAGCTAGCTACCATATCGCTACTTCTAAAGGATTTGAGAGTGGGGTCTCAGAACTTTGAATTTTCAAAATAATTTCCTTTCTTTTATGCAAAAAGGAAACCGCGTAATTGAATTTTCGGTGAGAAATAAAATTTTGGGTTTGGCAAAGCGGAAGCAAAGTATATTAAGGTTGAACAGACATAGCCAAGGGATCTTTTAATTCTGAAGTCCCAGTGAAAGGTGTAAATGGGTGAATGGACAAGTGATAATACTCAGTATAGCTAAATAATCTAAATATTGTTTTTAACAAACACGGAATGGGGACTATGTATATTTTGCTCACTGTTAGGGATTTTAGAGAAAAAATGAGTTATTCACGTTGAAAAAGGACCGAAATCCTTAACCTCCAGTTTGGTCATCCATAGATTGAAAAAGTTGGAATATTTATGATTAGGTAAGGTTTGTGTAAGTTTTGGAATCAGAAGAGTTATCCACCAGTACTAAATGCCACCATTAGCAGCTAATGGAGTCTAACAGAGATCGTCTATTAATGGGAGTAGAAGAGGAATATGATCGAATTTAAACGAGCACTAGTGAAATAAGCGCCATGACACCACGCCTAAAAAGTATCATCTAGATCCTCAAATTTAACAATTTTAGGATATTTTAGTTAAAATCAGGACTCGTACATCTTGTAAAATACGTTGACAAGTTGTGTCCATTTCTCAATGTTAGGTGCAATCCATCCTCTGGTTCGGGTACCCCGGTCAAGAGGCAGGCCGAATAGCCGCGCGCATGCTCCTGGGTAATCCGGGCGCTCCGTACTACTCCGAGGGAGTACCTACTTCTCTCTACTCCGGCATCGATACCTTAACCACTACTGCCGGCCTTGACAGACATTGGGGATATTGGTGGTTGCCAGCAGGTCGTCTGCCCTTCACCTGGTACGCCAGTCTTTCGAACCTGCCCGCAATCACCGACTACGAGATTAGCAACTACACCTATCGTTTCAACCCGCTTCATGTCTGTCTGCGGAATAACACTACCTGCCAAGAAGTGGCCTTTCCTTTCGGCTACGGGCTCTCCTACAACTATGCTCCCTCCATTGGTGGGGGCTTCGCCTACCGAAATCTCGACTTGCCCGTTCTCACTGTTTCTGCTTCGATCGGTTTCACTTTCACAGTGGAGGTCGTCAACAGGGGTGTACTTGCCTCCGAGGAGGTTGTACAGGTCTACCTCGACTGGTTGACTCTTTTTGGAACCAAAGTAGAGGATAACTTCGGTGGACGGTACAAAGCGGCTTCGAGACAGTTAGTGGGCTTTGAGCGGCTTTCACTTTTCGCTGGAGAAGTGCGAAAGGTGCGATTCGTAGTGGTACCAGAGCAATTGAAGGTGTGGAGCTACGTGACGAAGACTCAGTCACAGCTCTGCCTCGCGAACATGCGTAACAACAATAACTGTGGCGGACCGGTGGCTGCCTCGGGAACTGTTCGCCTCAGTATCGGTGGTCAGCAGCCCTTTCAGGCAAAAGCAGTTAATTCTAATGTTATTGTCGCGATGCTAGTTGTGATTGACCACTGAGTAACCAAGAGTAAGGTGAATGTGGGGCTTTTGATCAATGAGAATTAGACGGACTCGCCATTTCTTTTTTTGTTAATAGAGGTGTTTATAGGTGGGGCTAGAGAAATTGCTTAAAAGATCTAAAAAATCTGGCTAGTTGGGACGGAAGGGCGAAAGGGTCAGGAATGCGAGCCCGACCAGGTAATTTTGCTGCGGGGGCAGTTGGGGTATGAAGTACTTCAGTTCTCTTCAAACTCGTAATTGTGTGGAGAACAGCACCACCACTGCGAAAGAATAGGAGAGTTGATCTCGGAGTGGTGGGGGCAGGGGCCACTTGGACGCATGAAGGCTCCTCTCGGAGTTCGACTACATTTTGTAGCAATATTTGAGTAAGTGGCGGAAATGCATTTTGGGAGTAAAGGGTTTTTTTGCAACCTTTCTTTAATGGCTTATTGCTATTCATCAAAAACAATTTGATTTGGGGTCGGTTCCACGGAAATGGTTTAAACCAGCGCTCCCACTTTTTATTAACCTCACGGTCACGCACAATGTGAGAAATTTGTGCGTATTTGTTAATTCTGAGGTGAAAAAGTGCACTAGATTAAAGGATCGGGATAGGGCACTTTGCTTGTTTATAATTACACGTTGATAACTAGTTCAGTCGTTTTGCCATTCGGAAAAGAAATAGCCTCACCTTAGTTGTGCTTTTCTTCGTATTTGGTCGTAATATCGTACAAATTTCGCTAACACGTCGGCCAACATGCTTTTGAAGAAAGATACACAAAAACGAATCTTCTAGGGGAGGGCCCACAGTTACTGATGTGGAAGTCTTCACATGAATGTGATGCTGCCCTCCAACGTAACCCATTGACGCAGTCGTCGCACTACTCAAGTCTAATCCTAAAAAGTAATTTTAAAATCCACTGGTGGGATATTCGACTATTTTAAGAAAAGTTAAACTCAGAGAGTTGTTTACACATTGCATTGGCGATGTCATGCAGTCTTAGAGTTGAGTGAATGAACATAAATCACGCGCGGCGTTCATGGTACCGTTTGTAAGTTGGAAAGATGGCTACTTGAAGCAGAGTATGTGTTTAGTGTATTTAGTGGGTATTTTACTCCAGTAATGTTTCACTAAAAATATTAAACTGCTACACGAATAACTAGTTTTACAAGGTGTGAATTCCAGAATGAGGCAGACTCTGCCCACTGCATTTGTGAGGGTTCGAGTGCAAGGAAAGGATGATGATCCTCGCAGTGAAACAATTTCCTAGTAATCTGTAGTGGGATGTAGCAGGAATACTTTGTTTACCTCCCTCTTTTTTGCAATGTAAATGAATAAAAATAATAAAAAACAGTAAATTCTTAAAAGCGAGTGGTTTCTAATGCCTCTGGGGTTTACTAGTTTTACTCGTTGTGGTTGAAGGAAAGCGCCGCAGATTTCAACCTATGTGATTCACTGAGCAAAAAGCCAAATAATATTTTTTCAAAAACCTAGTTTTGCTGCGATGGCTGATTCCGACCATCTGTACTTATACTTTCTACCTATTTTAATACTCAGGAATTTCCTGACATGAGTGTCTGGCTCCAACTACTCAGGTTCCCATGTGTGAATGAATGGAACCCGGACCTAAGCAATGGATCTTCCTGGCATTGATAAATGACACCGTTCTCTTTCATCCTCACAAAATCCGACTTCCAACACGCCCTCATTGATGTTGATTTCCTCATGTACTTCGGTTTGGCCGATGATCTACTTGCCCAAGGACTCCTCGACAGTGCTGCCATACTCTCCGTTCTAGGGAGAGCCAATATGCTTAATTTAAGGAGCTCAAACTCCTGATAATGGGTTTTCGGTACTTGATCGATTCTCCAGCGTTGAACAATCGCCCTCCCTCGTTAAACCCGGAAACAACGTTGTACATCACATTCACTTCAGTAGCCCCCCCATCTTGGCAAGACATAGACTCCTGTCCTCCGAGAAGACCAAAGAAGCCAAACCAGAATTTCAGTAGTGCTAAACTTTACCATTACCGAACGTTTCAGCAGCTCCCGGTCTTCTTCCCTCCATAAGGCGCCTAAAAAGAGACCTGGCCACTGGAAACGTTACGCACACTCTCACGCAATCAATGCTTTGACGGTGCCGAATAAGTACCCTGTTCCCCACATCCACGAAGAAAAATTAATTTACTCTCGAATTACCTTTGCCCGAAGACCACCACACTCCTTTTTGGCTTGTTTGAATTTGTACGAGATAACAGTTAACATTAGCTAGCTTAATTTCAGTGAGTTTTCTTGGACACACTATTAGGTGACTCGACAATAGTCTATTATCCGAGAAAATGAACACATTCAAGGCTCATCCATCTCTAACTTCCGACAGTCAACTTTGTCGACTTATTGTTCTCGTCAAATTTTATCGTCGTACTGAATCGGCTCAACGGCTTATAGGTCTCTTGTGCAAAGGTACTCATCGGTTAGAACTCATCAGTGAGGAAATCAGGACTTTCGGCCTAGTAAAAACTGTCCCGGACAAATCGACTTTATCGACCCACCTCTCCACTGATCCAGCAGCAGGCTGTAAATAGCGGGCTTCAACATCTTCCTCCAGAGCCAAAACGCTACAGTACGCTTGGTGGAGAACTGCTGGAAAATTATCTCGTGACCAGGCGCTTCAGAACTCTCCTCGAGGATCCTTCACTTTACGCTATGCACTGATCTCAGCATCAGTCTGGTGTCCGTCATGAGAGATAAAGCATGTAGATTTCCCCTTATGGTCTACTACCAACAAACGCTATGACGAAGGGAACCGGAACACAGTCGCAGATGTACTGTCTCCTGTTGGGCTACACTACCTAGAGCGTATCACTTTCGATTTGGAAGCACCGACTAACGCTGGACTTTCTGAATCTAATCTAGATGGACTGCATCAGCGCCCGTCTCTTAAGTTTCATGAGTTTGCCCTTTTCGAAGCTGGCATAGCAACCGCTTGCAGCGTCTCCACTGGCAAACTACGAAGTTTCATCCCAGAGTCCTTCCTTCGCAATATCTTTAAGCATTTGCATTTGCTGCCCCACCCCAGCACTAACGCCAACTCGAAACTCATCTGCGATGGATAATGGACAAAATTCTGTATCCATTGTCAACAGGGTAAAGTGTATTGCCACGTTAAATCTACTCTTGGCACATTCTCTTTGCTCGATTTGCGTTTTGAAAATATTCACCTGAATATCGTTGGTGCTATTCCGTGTGTTAAATTCCATCTATTGTTTTACACGTTGGCCTGGGGAACTCTCCATGAAAGACATCTCTTCACTGACAGTGGCCCAAGCGCTGGTCAAGTCGCGGATGTTCCCAATCACCAACGTCCGCAACTCGCAGTTCCCTTTTGTCCCTATCCTGAGATCAACAAGTTTGCTCGAATGTGATAGCATAAAGATGTCTGCCTCCCACCCTGTCGTCAGTTGACTTGTTAAACACTTTCATACTCAACTGAAAGCTGCCACTATGGTTGAACTTAGTGTGAGTTGAACCAGGTTGCTCTCTATCATCTTACTTGGAATCCGTCATGCAGTGAAAGAGCAGATTGGCTATTTCCTCTGTGGGATATTACTTGATACTACACTTGGCTTCCTCGGTGAAATGCTTACTGTTGTCTTCACAGCTAGTGAAGTTGACCTCGCTTCCTACTCACCCCTCTCAAGCATTACATACGTCAACCAGCCCCTACCTTTCCTTGCGCGTCCAAACAACCCGAGTCTCTTTGGTTCTCCCCTTGTGATTGTTGGAGTTCGGCCTCCCTTGCTTTCACTCCCTGACGTTCCATACGGAGTGCTGGAATAACGTGACACGCATTTTGGCATCGGCCGCAAGGGTACAAAGGATTCGACCAGTAACGAAAAATTTAAAATTGCTTACGTGAAGTTTCTTCCCTTACTCCTTCTGTCCAACACTTCCAATCCATCTCATATTCATCCTGCATTCACACGAACGTTATCTTCTTATGTAAATATTGACGCACACTCCTCTGATCCGTCCTCCTCACCATCTGTACTACGTACACGTGTTGGACGTGTTACCACACCTCTGGTGGGTTCTGCGAATTTAGTCTATTAGTATAAATAATAATCGAGAGCCTTATCCTCAATATGATCCTCTAAAGGAAGGACATTGCGGTGCCTATCATACTACCGTATCTGCGGTTTTGACTCACGCGCGGACCCATCGTGCGAATAGGACAACACTACTAAACATGGGGGTTATAGTTGTCACCAGTCCTGGCGCATCAGCTCTGTTTACAATGCACATCAACGTGCTACAGCACCTCCATAGCTATACAGCGTATCGAAGGCGTCCAATTAAAACACTACATCTTGGCTATAACTATTTGGACTCATCTCTCTGATCCGGCATCGTGAAGATAAAGCTGCCCCACTGCTACTACTACAAGCTATCGTTGAGTTTATATGAGAAATACTTGTAAATGTCACTCCAGACCGAATTTTGAAGCAAGTTGATACTTTATTGTAGTACGTTTTGGTAAAGGGCCACTTTGTGTCTTGGTCATTGTACTTTTGCCAGGTGGGCTGGCCTCTGGGCCATGTCAGTGGCCCCAACCCTTCCTGCATGTTGAACATATATAGTCTGCCCACGTATTATGTCCTCTTTCATCTTCAGGAAAGTTTTGGGGCATTACATTATGTGACAATGCTTGATGACGACTGAAACACTTTAAAACTCCTGTAACTAATTGATTACACATAGAGAAGTTAACAAGGGCATTGCCATTTGTATTCATCACAGTCAGTAATAATTGCCGTGATGTTCCTTTTTCGTAGGCCCACCGCGTTGAGGTAGAACGGCGCAGCAATTGTCCAGACTCATGTTAATTTGTGCTAGGTAGTGTTTATAGCCATCTTCGTTTCAGTAGTGGTGGTCAGAAAAAACTGCCAATACTCTCCTGTGCGTGCAACACAACATTAACGTAGTGAACGAAAATATGTGTGCATTTGATATTGCGTAATGGGTTAATGTTTTAACCCCTTTAACTTGCTCACTATTCCTTTAGAAACAAGCAAACTTAGCAGATGAGGACTTTTCCCATTGGTAGTTGATGGTACGGTTGCTTTTTGGATTAGATGACGGTTGCATGTCAAGTTAATTAGTGTGTAAGCAGAGGAGATTAGATGATGCACTAGTGGTTGTCTCAACTAGTCTCTATTACTGTTAAATATATTAGTCCTTTTCCACATTATTATATTAGATCGGAAATTTGGAATAATTCTACTCTGCTCTGCCTTCTACGTATCTAAGGTCTCTCAAAAGTACAGTAAGCACACTATTTTTAATTCATACTACTTCCTTATTTGCATCTAAGAGCACAAACAATGATTTCCAATGACTCTTGCACATCTCCGGTGTGGCTGCTTGGTCCACCCTCGCCCTCTACCCAGGAGGAGGTTTTCACAGACCTCACTCCATCTTCCTTTGACGTGACACTGTCGTAACTCCAGTGTTCCTACTGGATTGATATCCCTGCAGTGAGAACTGTAGCATATATTGTTTTACCGAGATGTTTCTGCTCCTCTCCATGCAATAATTCGACTTTAAAGTAGGACTGATAGAGGAAGTTTGAGCTGCTAAACTTGCATTTGACTTAGAATTTACCATCCTGAGTGGAGAGAGAAGAGAAGTGGAAGTGACTGTCTGAGTGACGGCTCAGTCTGTGGCCTGTGACCTTTGGTCAAGTTATTCAAAGATGGTGGTGATGCTGATGTTAGAGTTGAATGGCTGCGGTGAGTAGAGGTGGCAGTGCGGGGAAGACTTTTATCAAGGAAATGAGGAGGTGTGGTGAAATGACGCATTGTGTGGATGACTTTGAAGCAGTTGATGCGACACGCCTTTCAAGTCACTTTACTATTGTGCGTATGGGTTAAACTTGTGCTCATTTTTATGAGATTGATCATATTGAGTTACCAAGTGGAGTGATTTGGCTGGAAAGAATTCGACAAGCCCACATTCGTTTGTTGATGAGGTACGGAATTACAGGGATTCGAATAGGACTTGGATTGCGTGATTCCTGTCTTATGGCTGAGGGTACGGGAGAAGCGCCTTATGTTCACATCCATGGCAGACCATTTCAATTTGTCCTCACCTTCCATTAACTGACTTGACATTCCAAGTCTGGCAACGTGTAATGTTGGCCAATTCAAGGATTGCATCATGAGTGTAGGTCTCGAGACATTATCAATTTTTGGGAATTTAAGTATGCATAGGGATGCTTGCAGAGAATCGCAATCGGAAGCCTTTCTTCCCATTTTAATTTGAAATTACTAGTGAGTGAATAATTCGTGTATTGCCTGCATTTTTATTAAGGGTAATGCTGAGGCCATTATAGGTGAATCAGGATTTGATTGCAGTTGAGTGAAAAAGATTTGCTCGTCCTGAGTCAAACACTCATCTATTGGTGTAGGTGGAACACGCAAGATATGAGGAGCCACTTTTGACTTGGTCATTGTACCACGCTGGGTGGGCTGGCCTTTGGGTCATGCCAGCAGCCCTAGTACCTTATATGTGCCAAAAAAGTGTATTCTGCCCTAGTATCATGTCTTCTTTCGTCTCCAGGTAAGTCTTGTCACGCTACACTGGTAACAACGGAAAGCGAACCCGATCCTAAAGGACATATGCCCTGATTTTCACTGCTGCATTATAAAACTTAGCGTAGTGGAAGAAGTACATACGCTACAGATGGGAGAATGGTGATGATCCCAAACAGAAGGGATGAAATTGACGTCTACCTTTGGCATCTACTTTAGTCCCGTATTCTGCAGGAAAGCTATTAACAACTGAAGCAACATTAGCCGTGAACCATCTGAAAGTTTCGTTACAGATTTTCCCTGCCGCACCTGCGTAAAGCTGTTGAAGAGGTGAATTTGCGGTACATTCCCCAGATTCGGTTAAAGTGCCAAGAGCGACAAGTGACGTTGCGGTCAAGTATCTCCACAGTTGCATAGAAATTTGATGACTGGCACGGCCGGGTCGTGGGTGTTTCCTTAGAGCACTGACTAAGTTGTGATAGCTGACGCAGGAGGTTGACCAAGGGGAGCGTCGGGGACGACGCTCAAAAGAGGAGTGGGGCTATGTAATATGCTGTTTATTTAACTCTCGGCTTTAGTGAGGAGCCATTTTGACTTGACTATTGTACCACGTCGGGTGGACTCTTCCAAGGGTCATGCCAGTAGCTCTAGTACCTTCGGTATGTAGAATACAAATATATGTGTTCTGCCCGAGTATTGCGTTTTCTTTCGTCTTCAGGGAAACTTTGGGACGCTACAATTCCGTCCAACAGTTATTTCTGCTTTCATCTTCAGGAAGGTCTCAGAACGCTAAATATGGAGCCTTTTTGCACAGGAACAGTAGGCATAATTTATGTCCACTTTCGCAGTTATAGGTATTTTTAACTGTTTGGGTACCAGGCTCCCTAATAAAACATTGCAACTTCAAGTATTATTGCTGAAGATGTATCAATTTGTTAAAAGTGACAAGAAGTCTGGATTTTAGCGAGACACCCTGCCCAAGAACAAATTTATAACTAACAAGGTAACAAACTCAAATTCAAAATTTTAGGCACTTGCTGTGGCACGTTGTTCCGATTTCAATCGTGCATATCACTAACTGGAAGGCTGAAGTTATGAGTAACAATGAAATAGGACATATGCCTCCTGTTCTCATCGGGATCATACTCTGTCACTTACAAAATGTGTTTCGGTAATAAAATTGTTGGAATGAGTAAGTCCATTTCTGCAACTAAAAAGGCGCAATGACAAGGGTGTAAATACGAATGTTAAGTCAGCTGCAAAATGCTAAATCTTTAGGGTACAAAATAGGTGCATTTTGAAATTAACTGGAATCTCGTAAACGAAAAAAACATAATAATCTAAGACCAATATCATGTCAGTATTTTACAATCACAAATACAAATTTTTCCCAAATAACACCAAGTTATTATGACCTTGACCTGCTTTGTACACCCCGATATTAGGCCGCTGTAGAAAAGCCACATTTCAAAACTAAGGCTGTCGCTAGGGTGGAATGTCTCTGTCAGCATCGGACGTTGTAGAAGTATTATTGATTTTACTGCTAAGCACTCATGTTACTACTGCTTATGAAGATAACTATTCTTGCCGAAATACTATTTGTAGTCCTCGAGCTGGGGATCTTCTAATTGGCAGGGATAATGCTTTAGTTGCTTCTTCTACCTGCGGATTGGAAAATGTGGATACCTATTGTGTTGTCACTGCTAGCGGTAAAAGCCACTGCAGTGAATGTTATTCCAAACAAGCATACAACTCTATCACAAATCCAAACAGCCACCGTGTCGAAAACGTTATATCCCGAGTTCCCAGTGACCCCGGAAGGTGGTACGTAAATAAGTTTTCGCCAATTTAGAGCTTATTTATGGGAAATATTTTGTATTCCTTAATAAATATTCTGTCTTGGATTGTCTTGAGTCTTCTTTACTGCCAGTCAGCAAATTATCGGAACTTCAGGAATGGTAGTTTTTATGCGAATAAGACTTTAAACATGCAATAAATGCTTTAGCAAGGTCCGTGAAACAAACATAATTTCAGTGTTAATCTAATTATTCATCTTTGCGATGATTTAAATACTCTCTCTTATCCAAACACATTTTGTCTTTTTTGTTGAGGTGGCAATCTGAGAACGCCTTACACAATGTTACTCTGACGCTCAATTTGGAGACCCAATTTCAATTTATATCTACCATCCTTCGCTTCAAGACTTTTCGTCCCGCCGCCATGTATCTGGAACGTTCGGTGGACTTTGCACAGACCTGGCAGCCTTATGCCTATTTCTCCAATAACTGTCCACGTGACTTTCCCAGCATCCCTGAACGACCCAGACGCTCTCTCAGGGACGTCACTTGCACCAGTATCTACAGCCAGCTGACACCTTCCGAGGGCGGTGTGGTAAGTGTTTTTTATCCTCCTTACATTAATTTTGACAACAATCATATTCTGTGTGGTTTCAGTACATAACTAATTACAAGTAGTTTTTGGATTTGCTCTGGATGGGCAATATGCTGCAGAGACGGGTAAACCTCAGTTGCTGCTTTGAAAGCCTTGCTGGTTGGCTAGAATTCGATTAAAGAAATTATTAAACCATGATGTAACTGGTCACCAGATTCGCACGCCATTGCAACGACGAATGGAATTTAAAATAAAAAGTGTAAAATCATGTCCACAGCCTCCAAATATTTAAATTAACTTAAACTTTGAGGCATAATTTGAAGCACATTATTTGGTAAAGTCTATTTTCATGGATGACATCTTTGGCCTAACTTACATTTTTCGCAAAATATTTGTTGTACTCGATGGGCATACTGCATGCAATATGCGATTCTAACTTAAAATATATGGAATATTGAATATAGTTCTCCTAAAATTATAAATATAGATTGGGATTCCTTTTCGGCTTCGTATTTTGCATTAAATATGGCTCAGTAGATGTATACTCATGTGGATATTGATGGCATAGTGCAATTCCAAGATATACAGGAGAAGAACCTATTATTTTTGGTGAATGATGGTTCCTATTTACATCATGTCTTTGTGATTAGCGAAGCTATTCTAAAACGGTTTAGCAAATTTTAATTCCATAGTTCTAAACAAATCCTAAATTCTCCGAATTCGAATATGCTAATAAAGACGCATACTTTTTGTCTTGGATGCTAACGAGAGAGGTATGCAGTACTCATCTAATTAAGAATCATTTTCCGTCTTAAGGTCGCCTTCATGGCAGCTCCGAGTGAAATGCACGCGAATCTCCCACCATATAGCGAGGAACGACAAAACCTGACAGCTATCACCAATCTGCGAGTGACTTTTACACGCCTCAACACATTGGGTGAGTTGCACTCTGTCTTCTTAGTTTAGTACGGTAGAAAAATGCGGTCGTACAAATCTTTGTTTGGGGACAAATGAGACGTTTAATCTGTTTTACCAAGTACATCTCAGATCTTACTAACTTTACAAGGATCTATTTCCCAAACAGCTCTATATATACGCACCTTAGTAGAGCTAACTGGAAATAGCGAGAGTGTATCCATATACGCTCTCCAGGGATTGCTATTTTGAAAGTTAGACTAAAATACAGCAAGCGAAATAGAACCTAAAAAAGCGCGGTTCAATCTTAAGTTATTTCGTACTTCCGTAATGAGACTTGGTTTTGGCGCATATTGAAATAAGTCAAATGAAAAAAAGTGTGCAGGAATAATTAAAAGACTAAATTAGCATTAATTACGTCCGCTATAACTGTCCCATTACTGAAGGAAATATTTAAAAATTTGGGAAATTTAACTGAATAACTAAATATTGCAACCTCAACGCTTTCAGTAGCTTAAAACGAAATAGTTTATAAGTATAACAATATTCCGCACTTCAGAGTGGAGATATTTACTTCCTCTACACCTAATCTGAGACAAAGCAAATAAGACTTAGTTAATATTACTTCATAAGCAAGGTTTTATTTTCGATTTGAAGTAGAAAATAGTTGTGACGGATCGCTCAGACTCCTCATTAATATCAATGACAGTTTTGGGAGGAACTCAAAATAATAACTAACCTAAAGTAATAATTACTGTGTTTTCGACATCTGGTTTGATGGAGGATACGACTTACTCATTAGTGTACTAATGAACAGGCGTACCAATAAATCCACTTTAGGTGAATTGACTTTGCAAATATTTCTGCATTAAAATTTAAGAGAATAGGGCCAAGTAGCTAACATTTGCTAAAATAAGAATGAATATTTGCCCTCAGAGGGGTGAAGCGGTGTCTACAAATTCCCAGATTGAACAGGTAGCGTAAACGCTTCGGTCAAGAGGACACGCGAATTCACCCACAACTTGGTACGGACGCACAGACAGACACACCACCGGGTCTTACCCTTGACTAGCGTAAGAAGTAAACAATGCCGCGAATCTGTACGAGTTGTTCTACTTGTAGCTGGACGTTTTGTTTGTATCATTTGGAGTTACCTTAAGAAAATAGCATACCCTTACACCTCAGAGAAAGGGCAGGATCATGCAGTGTACATATTCTTTTTGAATTCTCAAATGTTTCCCCATATAAGACCAATGTGGAAAGAAATTACTAATGATGGTCGAGCAACCAAATTTTTGAATAACTTTATGAACAGTAAAATCCTCTCCCTTTTCAAATTCGCAGGTAGTACAGTCTGTTGTATTAATGTGCAATCTTTACGATTTGGCTTTTGTGAATATTTTCAAACGGCAATTGGGCAGGAAATCGCAAAATTTTTAGCCAACGGAGCAAATTAACCGATCATTCTTATAATCTTAGATTAACCTATGCAATCTAGTTGGTCGGGAATACCACGAATTGAATTAAAAAAGCAATGATAGGTGATATCATAATAGATTCCTATTCCTATTGAAGTCGTGAAAAATACCAGGAAGATGTAAGTGTAGTGCCATGTGGCATGGGACTGATAAGGTCAAACCGACGGGCATTGATAAATATTTAAGAATAGTAGAAGGAATTCGTTTGTTGCTGTCAGTGAAATCGAGATTAGGTCTACAGATGGCTGCTCCTAGTAGTCCTGCCGACACTAAGCGATGTGGTTTCTTTAGTGGCCTGTCCGATAAAGAAAAGAACCTTTCTGTAGAACAGTATGATTAACACACGGCAAGCTATTGTTCGTACTGTTTACCTTTAGTTTGTTTTACCAGAGAGTGCACTGGACGAATGTCACTGTCCATGATGTTTTCCGAATTCATTTTGCCAAGACGAGGAAATTGGATAAAAACTGAAAATATTAGGAATGAGAGGAAGTGATTGAAATTATTTAATTCAAAGAATGCAGTCAAAAAATACTAGTCAGATCCTATAAATACGCAAAGTAAGAACTACAAACCCATTATTTAATTAAACTTGATTTACGTCTTCCGAAAATTCTCGCGCTGAGGTGTTGTATTCGGGTCCTCCTTACTCCAACCTTGTAACAGAACTTGGTAGGTGACGAACACCGATTTCCTCTTTTTTAGGGTGTATGTCAATTCACAGCCAGATGTCATGTGAATTTGGCTGCCTCTATCGGGATTTCATAAACAGAGAGTCGGTCAAGCGAGCACCTGGGTGAAGGCGTCCACAGTGTTTACTAGATTGATGATCCAATCCTTAAACGGAGTGTTCCAATGACGCGAATGCACCTATGATAAAAAATTAGCTTCCGTTGCTAGCAGCAACTGTACTGGATGCTGTGTTTCATACTTAAGAAGAAGACTTGCACAATAACCGATATCTATCTATGCGATATATAGTCACAAATTTATAAGTCCTTAGTTACCTTTAAAGGACCCAAATTTGTTACAAATTGATGGAAGGGTGTTGGGAATCTCTAAATTCAGCAAGACTTTGCTCAAAAACACGAATTTCTTCATTTCTAAGCCCATGCAAAATTTTGTGCGGCTTATAAGTCAACATTTTGTACAAAACAATTGTAGTTAATGCTTTTATATCTAAGTAAACATTTACGCTTAATGATAAGCGATATTCTTATGGGCGGTTAAACTGTTCTCCTTTTTGATTTCAAATGACTTTTCTGAAAATGCTTCATGGGTGATGCGAAGGCAGTCCAGGCGAATTCAACTCTTGCGTCAAGAAACCCAAATATTACAATTTTTTGAATGCTTTAGTCTTTTCCATCTTCTATGATGAATCGGTGGTGATTTAACAGTAGTTTCAGCGGTAACAACAGAGCCGCTAGCCTCATCATTTTATACTTTAAGTGATCCGTTTTTTACGTGCTATTTAAATGACTTCTTTACCTAGTTATTTGTCCATAAGCTTATTGAGAATCAAGTATACACGTGCATCATCTGCAAATTACGTTGAAACATAGTTTTGAGTTCGAATTTGCTTAGATTCCAAAAACCCATAATTTGGAATATGGTCAACCTCGCATACAATTCCCACATTACAGTCCATACGCCCCTTCGGCTGGAGTGAAGGTAGTGCAATCTTTAAAACACAATTTAAAAAGACTACACTATCCTTTTTCATTTAAGGCGTATTTAAAAAATCTGCGATAAAGTAATATTCCAACATTATACAGTAAATAATGAATTGCCACTTCAGTTGATCACAATAACTTCAATACTTGTCAAACAGGTGATATGAACTTGGACAATTCCTCGGCAATACGCCGAAAGTACTACTACGCTATGTACGAGTGGAACGTTTGGGGACGATGCTCCTGTTTTGGTCACGCCACTCACTGCAAACCGAAATCTTCCAGTGAATTTCGAAACCTAGAAAAGGTGAGCCACTAAGGAGTTGAAATGCAATCTCATTCTGCCAAATGAGTGTTTTGCACTTTCATATTATAGTTATTAACCAAGAACCACTGAAATAGGTAGTAGAAATCTGATTCCATGAAAAGGAATTAAATCGCATTAAAAATGTAGAAAGATCGTTAAACAATCTGGAAAAGCATAAATTATAACTGATTTTGAGTTCTAAAAGCTATCTGCCATAGCTGATCATGTATGAATGCAAGACTCATTAATTCAGCAGAAAATATTGTAATAGTATGCCAATTATCTTATCAAGAGGTATGTACATATCGGTGGTTACCTCGACCTTAAAAGAGTTCGTGTTCATTCAATGAGTCACATGGAAACGGAGTTGCGCTGGTTAAGTATCAGTAGCCTATTCAAGTTCAAGTACCATACTGAATTGAGCACATTCACCGGTCAGGAGAGGGTGGCAGTGAAAAAATGTCCTTCTGTTTAGGTCTACGGAGTGTGCGAATGCACACACAACACGGCGGGTGAAAACTGCGAGAAATGTGCCAGCTTCTATCAGAACAAACCATGGCGACCTGCGTCCAGACATTCCGCCAACGCGTGTGAAAGTGAATCTTAGCTCTGCCTTGTAATCGTTTCTAATTGAAATTAGCTTTTTATTTAACTTTTTAGCGGTTTTAAATTAGTAATCACCGTAAAATTACAGATCCTGATGTGTCCGATGGGTATTTGAACATGAATGAATTGCATCCTTTTTCAAATCCAATATAAGGGAAGCCTTTGGTTAATTTGGGAAATAATTTGAGCAGGTGTTTTTTGTCATTTATAGCTTGATTACACTATTAATTATAGGTACGAATAAAAACCGAACTCTCATCAAGCTAAATGACGGCCAAAAGGTCTTAATTGAGTGCCAAGGTTTTAGCAAGGAGGGCGACTTCAAATAGAATCTTAAGAAAAGCACTTAAGGTTCTTAAAAGGCACATTTTATAACTTTTAATTGCTTATCCAAAGGTTATGCTATTCAATTTCTGTAGGCTCAATTTCCACAGAATTCTGTAGTACTGGAAATTTTTATTCCATGAGGATACGTTCTAATTGGTAGTATTTGAATATTCTACAGTGAAGACTAGCCAGTTAGTCAAATATATATATCAAACTGCCTTATGAAACAACCACCAAAGTGGAAGCCACCCCCTACTTCATGTACGAAACCTTTGATTAATTGATTCTGCTTTTTGTCAAAGGCGCCTGCATTCTCTCCTTCGTAAATATTCGCAAATCTTCAAGAATTTACAAAAGATATCACGCCAGAATTCTAGCACTACTACTGAGCAAAAACCATTCAAATTTTCATTTGATCTAACTGGAATGTAGAAAGTGTAAAATAGATTGTACATGAACACCATGTATGGTAATGTATTCCATTGTTATCTTGCTACAATTTCATCCGAGGATGCGAATGCAACGATCACTCAGACCAGTGCTACTTCAATCCCATTCTCTACCTACAGTCGGGCAACGTGTCCGGCGGTCATTGCTACCAGTGCCTTCACAATACCGAGGGACCACAATGCGAGTTCTGCAGTGCAGGCTTCTATCGGCATCCTGGCTACCCCATCAACCACTCCCAAACCTGCCAACGTATGTTTGTGTCATCTGTGGCGAAATTTCGAGCTACTTAAGCTCATTAGATACCACGTTATTTGACTTCCTGCTCAGCTTGCAATTGTCACGCCGGTGGCTCGGAAGCCCACGAGAATTGCGATCAGTACACGAATCCCGCAGAGGGCAAGGTGGCGGGTCAGTGTGTGTGCAAAACGAATGTGGGAGGCGACAAGTGTGACCGCTGTCGTGTCGGATATTGGAACTTTCGAGCGGAAGATCCCGACGGTTGCGAAGGTGAGGTATTTGATAATAACAATTCTTTTTATCCCAACGGTTGGATTAACCAGCGTCAAATGGTTTCGAATGGCCTCCGTTAAGAATGCAAGTGTCACATGCTGGGAACACTGGAGAATATCGGGTGCGATCAAATCACTGGCGCTTGTACTTGCAAGCGGTTCGTTGAAGGCGAATTCTGCGATCGGTGCATGGTTAGTGACAAAGGTTGTCGATTTTATATGTTCTTTTCCAAACTGATAGTAGGTAAATCAATTAAACTTGAAAACTGTACAAAAACTATTCAATGTTGTTATGATCCAATTTTATGTAAAGGTACGCATATTTCAAAGGCATCCATGCAAATTATTAGACATAAGAAATTACTAATTGTTTCCACTTCACAAAAAAGAGGTAATATCACCTAATTTCTCTGCATAATCACTTCAATTTAACCAATTTGATGGTTATTTTGAAGAACAGGAGTACTCCAAGTCTCAGTACTGTCAGGCGTTCCCTACACAAAGAAATGCTAGTGATTACGGTTTTATCGCTAGTTGATGCTCAATGAAAATTTAAAAGACTCACTGTGGAATAAAGTTTAGTATTTTCATCTTTGTTTCAATGTTCACATAAATGTTAAGTAGGAAGATAGTGTATACACATAATCTCGGGTCCGACTGAAACTGTGAACTATCGGGATTTTGTAGAAAAGTACGACCTCACTATTCACTGTTCTGTGTTTAAAAGTTTTCGCCTTCCATTTATTTGATACTTTGATGGATTATAATCTAGAATACTAATTTGTTTTTGGGCACAATCTACACGTGTCACAGCCTCTTCATAATTAGACAGCTAGCCATGACTTCTTGATACACAAGTGCTAGTACCTATAAGTAAAAAGTAAATCAGAGCGTTTTACATGAATCTGTTTGAGGACCTTAGAAACGGATTTAAAACTGCACGACAATCATAGGGGGTAATATTTCCACTCTTCGTTATCAATACCTTCTTGGTTAATATTTTATACATTCCCATTTTGTTTTCAGCCATTTCTAATAAAATCGACTCTGAGCTTGGTAGAAAACCAGATTTTCGCTTTTTAAAGTTATAATTACGAACAGGCATTCGTCTGAACTGTGAGTAAGTTTATTAATGTGGAAAAATACCACTGCTTCAACTAGTTTTGCTCATATTAAGTCCTGTTTTATGACCACATTGTAAATCCGCATCCGCTCCCTAGCCTGGCTATTTCAACCTGACCGCCTCTCCGCAAGGGTGTCAACCCTGCGCCTGCAGTCCACTGGGCTCCATAGGTCCGGAGTGCGACCCGGACAGGGGCATCTGCAAGTGCAAAACAAACTTTAGCGGCCGAGATTGTAGTCAAGTGGACGACGGCTACTACGTGCGCTATCCTCAACTCATCATCGATCAACCCAGTAGACCCCTTGAGATTCCTGTTGAAGAGCCGAAGAAGGATGGCAACTATGTCTTCATCATTGAGATAGAATCCAAGCACGTGAGTTTCTGCTGACTACGAAATACCTCGTAATTAAATTGAACAAACCGTTCCTACACTTCCTTCGCCGTAATAGGTATTTTGTGTGAAGCTACTGTGGTGAATAGACGATGAAGATAAGTTTATTGCTTTTATTTACTTCAGTTTGGGCGAGGAGACAGGTGGATTGTTACGGTGGACGTTAAGCAAGAGGGTTCCCCTTGTCGAAATGTGCCAACTCGTGTTGAGATCAACAGTGGTGAGATGTTTTTCCCAATTTTTCTAAATATGTTTACCACTTTCAGGGAAGCCAACTTTGAACTTAGAGTTGTAGTTTACTACGATTTCACCTATGTGGGAGTTAAGGTTGCCGAATGGTAGAAAATGAATACCATCAACCACTTTTTTATTTGAAAAATTCACACAAATTCATTATTTTGTTTGTTTTTTTTTGGAGAAAACACACAAATGTTAAATTCTGCAGATAAAACGATGTGTTAATACTGATGATAGCAAACCGCATTATTTGTTCAAGTCGAAACTGGGATGCCATAATAATACAATTCTTATGAGGGGGGATTGAGGCCAACAAGTCTGCAAATGCTATGGTGTATGTGGAACGAAGTGTTGACACTGCGGTTTTATACTACTGCTGAGTGAATCAAACTAGCCAAAATAAAACATAAAGGCACTTATTCAGTTATACACACATCCAATATTTAATGCGTTTTGCCCTGGGCTTGTCTTCACTCCTTCTAAACCCATGAAGATTTTGGCCCGTCTTATACTCGCGTTTTAAAAGCCCTATAGACATTTACTTAAACGTTTCGGGGAACTATTTTACTAAAAATTAAAATTTCGTTACCGATGCATAATCTAGCTGATAGAATGAATTAAAAATGCCCAATTCATGAATGATTTAACAATAACTTGATTAAATAAACACCAGCAAGGCCATATGTGGTGCCATGGAACCATTTTATTGGCATTTCAGACACGAGAAAACTCGTTGTGCCGTCTGTGTGCATGACTGGTGATCGCAAGACCATCGTGGCGATCATGCCCGAGGCGCGCGAGGGCTCACCCTACACGGAAATCGTAATCGGAAACGTAAGCAGTTCAGTTTCAAATGTCATTGAAAGGTCTCAAACATTGTCTCGTTTATCTATAGACAATTAAATTAAGTAAACAGACACATTCAAGCAAATAAATTGTTTTAATTAACAAAATTGGGTTCAGAGCTATTCCTATTGAACCATCTTTTCAATGCCAATGCAATTTTTAGTTTAACCACAACAAAGGTCTGAGAAGTATTTCCACGTGCACGAAGTAACTAAACGCAAAGCAGAACATTCTAATTTTTAGTCAAATAAAATTACGGGGTGTTATCAACTCGGAATAACATGTTTCCGAGAGTACGGCATTTCTTTTTCTCGTAGATAATCTTCAAACCTGATGACGGTGAGGTTGGCTCTGTTGCTGAATACTGCGAGTCTTATAGAGAGTTATCTGAACGAATTCTCAATGGCGAAGTCGACCCAAGTCGAATGCCACAGCAATGCCAAACCTACTTCAACATTCCCGAGTCGCATTGGAAGGAGACAAGTGCTCTGGCTATTCGTAAGCCCAGTTGTTTCACAGATCGCACTAACTGATACTCTCCATGGAACATTTTCAAACCAGAGCAGTCGCATGCCAAACTCGCTTACAACAGAGTTGCTGGAACTTTAAAATATGCAATAATTTGACAAGTTGATGTAGTCCTGTGAGAAAACCCATAAAATAAAGTTATTCGCTTCCCAACAAACTATCACTAATTAATATCATACTTTTGAGAGGTTACAATTCTTTATGTGCACCAACAATTAAGCATATTTGGACGGGAAATCTTTAGTTACTTTGACTCAAATGTGTATTATTTCCTTTCAGTTTAATCGCCCAAGCCATTCACCAATGAATATACTGTCTGATGATTTGGTTCATCCGAATGTAGTTTGAAGCCTTATGCATTCAACGCATTCACATGATTTTAGCTTGCGAGTGCAACGTCACGGGTTCCGTGGGTCCGATTTGTGACAAGCTCACCGGACAATGCCTGTGTCGACCAGGCGTTGTGGGTCGAAAGTGTGATCAGTGTGACCTTTATCACTACCACTTTAGCACTTCTGGCTGCACAGGTAAGAGTTTGTTCCTTCCTTTCTGACATGATTGTACCCAGAACATGTGCTGAAATGAATTCACATTATTCATTTAGCCTGTAACTGCCACCCAAAAGGATCTGTTAGTCTTCAATGTAATTCTCTCACAAGTCAATGCTCCTGTCGACCTGGAATTGAAGGCAGAAAGTGTGATATTTGTGGGAGCGGACATTGGAATTTCCCTTACTGCCAGCCTTGTGAATGTAATGGGAAAGCTGAGGAATGTGATCAAGTGAGTTTCTTTGAAAATTACCGCCAATTTCTACCTTGACGGACATGGAGGGATCTGAACTTAGTTGTCTTCTGACTGAAAAATTTTAATTTGAAGATGAGATAAAAAATAATTGGGAGAAAACCTGTGACGCACTAATGACACTCTACTAAACACCACGGTTTAAAAATGAAGCACAGGAGACGCTGACGAAAGGTAAAGAAAGTTGCATAGATGTCATTATTTTTATCATGCAAGCAAATTTGTGCGGTTTTGAGCTCCGGAGAAACCATTATTCTGATAGTTTCAAGTTAACTGAAGTAGTACAATTGCATACCAAGGATTTCAATCTGCAGTGAATGGCAGGACTTTTCACTATTTTATGCATACGCTGGAGAACAAAACTTTCAGTTTTAAACGAACTATATGTTTTACTTTTTCTTTCGCATAATGATTCTTCTAGTTCCAAGTTTTTACTTTGGTTTATTTTTCGCACGTGGCTCCTCTGCTGGACGATTTTACGAGTGATTTCGACATGAATGAAATGAAACAGATTTCGCATGTCACATAATAAGGAAAATGAAGGAACCAAAAAAAGCTGTAATTTTGATAAAAGGGCTAAGTTTACATCTTTGAAAGGGCTTTTGCAAATAAAGTAGGTTGTTGTTTGCAGTTCACAATGAAATTTTTATCGTTCATTTGACAACTAAATTGTGACCTTTTTGGACTTCCATATTCTGGCTCAACCCAAGCCCGACAATTTAACAATAAATGAAGTTTCCAAATCCTTACTAAAAATTCCGTTCCTCCTTTAAGGTTACCGGCGCCTGCATTGATTGCCGCGATAACACCGGCGGTCCCAGGTGCGAATCTTGCGCACAGGGTTTCTACGGCGATCCCCTGAGAGATGTCCAATGCCGACCCTGCGAATGTCCTGGTGGAGGCGTTGACCACTCTGAGGGCTGTCAAATACATCCCGTCACTGGAATGCAGTGTCACTGTCAGATAGGCTATACAGGTGAGTAATCACAGAGCGACTAAGTTTTATATACAATACCATTTGCCGCATATGATTTGTTTGGTCATTATGATAATCAGGCCACAAACTTAAGTTGTACTTAGATTTGCTGAGTGAAATTTAAAAATTCCCTAACAGGTAATTTGGTTTCGTTGGTTTTACTAGTTTAGAAGATAAATCAACTTCGACACTTATAGTTTGATAATGCTCTTCGTAGGTCTAAAGTGTTCAGAGTGTGCACCGAATTACTACGGGAACCCAACGGAGTTTGGAGGTTCGTGCCAACCCTGTGATTGCTCAGGCAACCTTCCACCGGAGGGTGGATGCGATCAGGTGACGGGCGCCTGTCTAAATTGTCTCCACAACACCGAAGGCGAGAAGTGTGATCGGGTAAGTGCTATTAAGTAAATTACCAACGCTTCTAGAATTATCAAATTTTACAGGTTCAAATAAAATCGAAGTGAATTTTAGGGAAATTGATTGTTTGTGAGAAGTTCTTTACTCATAATGACAAATCGCGGTCAATCTCATCACCATCAGCCACTCTATAGTATCGGACAAGAAGATCAGGGAATTTAATTGACCGCTTGAGAGTTAACAAAAAGGAGATTAAAGGATTGCAAAAGGTCGATATCGTGTTGGACAAAGCGAGTCTGCTATATTTCATCTTAAAAATGGTAATTGGCACCGTCGTAACAAACATGAGACCCGTAGTTTACTTCACCAATTAAAGCTACAATTATTGGAATCGACACCAAGTCGTGAGTCGCATTTTAATCGTAGTCAGCGATCCTACTTCTATTATCCTTACTAATTGCAATGCAATAAAACAATAAATTTGCGGTCGTTGCCGTCACTGGCATAAATGCATAACCTAGCACTTCTTTGTAACCACCGCCGTCATCATTACCATTCATTGAGTCCTTATGTCATGCAGCCACCACCAACAATGTGATTCACATTCCACTTTGTCATTATGACCAACACTTTAATGATGCTCGTGATTGTCATCACGCACATTCAATCAATGCTCATTTGCCTATTTAGTGTATTTCGGGTTACTGGGGCAACGCCAGCCAACAGGCCTGTCAGCCATGTAGTTGCTACTATCTGGGCACAGTAGACGGAGTAAACGCAGTGTGCGATCGTAACACAGGAGCATGCAGCTGTCTCCCCGACGTCCTTGGACCGCGATGCTTCGAGTGCGCACCACAGCACTTCAATCTCACCTCGGGTCATGGCTGCGAACCCTGCAACTGCGATCCCACCGGCTCCCTCTATCTTGACTGCCATTCGGTGAGCCTCTTCGCTTTAGTGCTTAGGAAATCACTTCTGCTCAACAGAATTTAATAAGTGGAGTAATCCCCCCCATTCCAGCTCACGGGCCAGTGCACCTGTAAACCGGATCGGGGTGGAAGGAAGTGTGACCAGTGCCAGAGAACTTTCTATGGTGATCCACGGCTTCCAGATGGTTGTAAAAGTAAGTACCGTTGGTTCGTCGACTTCGCTTGGAAGTGTGTAAAACCCAAGCGTTCTAATTCTTTACTAAAAAATTTTCCTTTAATTTTAAAGTTTTATGCAAAGTGGAGACATAATTTCTGCAATGATCGCGTTGCTATTTGACGACTAAGTCAGTTACTAACAATGCATAATAAAATGCGTTGCTCGCACTTTTTTGAACAGAAAAACTGGAAATCAATTTATTCATCCACTGTTTTGTTAAAGAAATTACTGAAGCACGATTAATTTAGTCATATAGTTATTGTCTTAGTGACTGGTATTATTCGCCTAATTTAAGACTAAATATTTTGCGTTAAGCAAACAAGATTAAGACGTTTTTTCATTCCCAAATAAACCCCAAGGCTAAAACACCGCTAGAGTCATTATTGCTAATGCCTAGCTGTTTTTAACTATCAGAAGATAGTTGTTAAGAGTAGGTGCAATCGCCAAAACTATGGAACGGCATGGATTCTTGCTACCTCGTCTCAGAAAGAGCGAATCAGTACTTAGGGAGGAATATTGTGTTACTTATGCGGCTAATGAAAAATGCATCCCACTGATTAGTTCCAATGTAATTGCTGCAGGCTGTGACTGTGACCGATCAGGGTCGCTAAGCGATACCTGTGACCCTGTAAGCGGTCAGTGCATATGTCGTGAGGGCACAGCCGGCAGACGGTGCGACCGCTGCGATAGGGGAACAACGGGCATCCTGCCCCACTGCCAAACCTGTGGCGAATGCTGGACTAACTGGGACAATACCATAACTGCAATCGTGGGTGAGTTGAGACTGGTGACAAACGGATGAAAATTTTGCCTGAAATCTTTCTTCTTACTCAATTTTATGTTGATTTTCTAGATGAATTGCACCGTCTACAAAACCAGACGTCTAGCCAGCTGCCCTCAGACTTAAAACCCGTTCATAATATCCTACAGAGTCTGGTAGAACAGTTGGAGCTCATCCCAGCCTCAAATCTGACTGACAATCACCTAAAAAAGTTAGCTGACGTTCTCCAACTAATTGAGTGAGTTTTTTGAGGCCAAAGTGGCATTGTGAATATGTACACTTTGACGAACAGTCTTAACTGCGGTGTCAACATTCAGAGGTAGGGTTATTGCACTGGAATCTGCGGACGGGGTAAATGGAAAGTTTCCAAAAACAGTTGAAGCGCTGATCAACCTTCAAAAGCAACAGGATCTGCTGACAAGGAGCGTTAAAGATAACGAAGTCTACCTCCAGCAACTTTCAAATGATCTTGAGAAGATGATCAAAAACAGCAAAACCATTTCTTTTCAAGACCCATACGGTAAGCACTCTTTAAAAATGTCTCCGTGTCAAATTGCCTTGAGTACTAAACAATAAATACCCTTTGTTGTGTGATAGGTTGAAGCATAACATTCAAGAGCCGGCAGTGAAATTTAGTCGCATCGACCAAAAGTTAATTTCTTTTCAATGATTAGCTTATAATTTTTATCCTTACTACCATTAAAGGTGCTTATAATTCGCTGATGAAGGCCGAAGAAGAAGCACAAAAAATCGAAGCTCTTCAACGTAGTCTGGAAAATCGGCGAACAGCTCTGGAAGCCCTGCTGCAGAAAGTAACGATGGTCGTTAACGAACGAGGTGAAGCTGATGAAGAGTTTAAGCGAGCGATTAAACTTATGGACGAACGTATTAAAGACCTCCAAGATGAAATTCGCCAAATTAACCGAGTGGTAATAGGTCTTTGTGTATAATAAACTACTTTTTCTAATCAACACGCCTCGACTTTGACATTTTGTAATTTAAAGATTTGTGGAGATAACCAACGAGTTCCTGAATCAGGAGCGGATTTAAAGACTTGCCCATCGTCTTGTGGAGGTGCGAGCTGTGACCCAATCACCGCGGGAATATTTGATCTTATCGAGCAGCACGGAACGAGGGTAGCCGGCAGACTCCGAGTTTCTCTTGGTCTCGTTTCTAATTGTGCCGGGACCACGGGTTGTTCAATGAGCTTTGAAGGTCGTTTAAAGGAACTACTTGCTGATCACCTTGCTGCCCAAAATGGGCTTTCTAGCGTGCTTCAGAGATCGGCCAAGGTTGAAAATCTCATCGCTGCGGTAATTTCCTAAGAATTTCGTTATTGTCATCATTGTACTATTGCTGGGATTTTCCGACTATTTGCTGTCTTTACTTTTGCAGGTAAATGCATCTCGCACTGACGCCGAGAATCTATTGGAAGCTCTCTATGCTCAGCAGGAGACTTTGGAAGCTAGAATAATTCGGATGCAGAACATCACTAATACCTTGATCGAGGAAGGTCAAGAGGCACTAAGGAAATATGCAGAAATAACACTTGAGTACCACAATGAGGTGTGTATAAGTTATGATCACAACCATTTAATATCTCCTTCCCCCTCTCATTTAGAGGGGCGATTTAAAGACAAGGGAATTTATTTATGAAACTGGCTTACATACTATGGGTTTTTTAGACGGGGATATCTCCTGGTTTTCTGACTTAATTCAAATCTCTAAATAGTTTGCGTATTTAGGACAATTGGCTGAAAGGGCAGCTATACAAGGAACCCATTTACCGCCATTGTTCCTCCCATGTGCATCCCTCTATTAATAGGTAATTATATGCAATCGCTTAAGCGAAAGAAATACAAAATGCCGCCAGAAATTTTAGTCATTTTGTATAAATTGGTCAGGTTTACACCAGGACCCTCTGCTTTTAAAAATTTGAGTTAAAGCGTGCACGACTTGTTAAGTAGCTGCAAGCTTCTGCTGTTTGTCTCTCCAGGTGAAGTAAAGTAGCAGATAAAAAGAAGTTACTGTTTAGAGCTGTGACTGTCATTTCATAAAAGTGCTGGAAAGTGGAATCATCTGGTTTTTTAGTGCAATTTAATTGCATATCTTTTTTCTTGAGAAGAAGATATGCCGCTCCTTTTCACTTAGTAAATATGTAAATAATCACCGAAATATTGGGTAAATCAACTAGCTGATTTTCTGACTGAACGTGATGCACATAACGTGCATCAACTTGGGCGGAAAAGTGTGGTTACAACCAAATTTGCTGTTATTCCTTTTACGTTATTAGCTGGTGCAAAGGATTCTTAGCTTGAAACACGACGTCACATTGCAAGAAGCTCTCGAAGCGGGCAACTCCTTGCAACAACTTTCATCTCAACTTAGTAGCAAGGTCGATCGTATCCTTACCGAAACAGCTGAAGAAAGTCAGAGTGCCAAGCTGCTTCGTGAAAGAGCTAAGAATGTTAGGTAACCAACTCATTCGGACACCAATTTATCAAAGAGGCGTTGCGTGACTAATTTTGCACTTCTTTGAATTTACAGAGAAAAGGCACGGAGCTTTTTGGAGCAGATGAATAAGTTGGCGAATGTGAGTGAGATTTATGATGAGCTTGAAAAGAGCAAGACCTTTAGTAGTCTGGAGGACGCTGAGCACCAGAAATATGAGGAAAACGTAAGCGTGTATAATATGACATTTTATCAATGAATGCGCACACAAATTCTAACAATTTGGAGTGCCCTTATGAGTTTAGGTGAAGGAGGCGTTGAATCGCTTGGAGATGGGGAGACAAGGACTTTCACAGGAGGTTAGCACTCAAGCGGATCAAGCTGCGCAGAACGCTGTGGACACTCAAAGACTCCTGGAGGAAACGGAGATCTCCCGACAGGAGAGTCAAAGCTCCATGCAAAATCTGCAAGTGCTTAATGTGAGTCGTCAGTGCTTATCGCACTTATAGAACTTTCATTGCATATGACCTTTGTTAAGTACACGGGGTTTAGTATTGTCCCGATCCGAATTATTTTAATTAATCACAGTGAATGATCAGAAGAGTGAGTCTCGGTACCACTGATGACCTATCAAGTGCCAACAAACGTCGACCTAAAATTTACCCTTTAGCCTGTTTTGACTGAACCATCATCAATAATATGCAGGATATCTTTCAAATGTGTTAAAGCCAAGTCCTTGCATTACTTTTAGCTAGTGGACTGATGTCTAATTTTACAGTTTTTTCTTAAAATTTCATTGCGTAACCGCAAAGCGACCTAAATTGGCGAAATCTGTGTCATTCACATGGTAGACATTCCTCAGATGTGCTCTTAACATCTTTTAAAAATCCCCAAATTTCTCCTAATGAAGTATAAGGAAGGGGCCTAAAAAAGTCGTAGGATTAACAACTCTCTGCATTGGGGTTTTGAAGTTGAATATAGGAATAATAAGGAGCTTATTCACTTTCAAACCATACTTCAAACCAATGAGTTAAGTTGTGTGTTTTTGTGAGGAAGTTTCATATTTATGGTTTTAAAAAGATTAGTATTTGGATGAAAGCTGTTGTGAGGTTGCTAGTAAGGGCTTTAAAGAAAAGAAAACCACTAAAAATTGCGGTAGATTAGTCGACTGGCTAAATAGGAGAAGGATAGTTTTGATTTTTTCGGTGGATAAATGGCATTTAGTAGAAAGGGAGGCGAAAAATTCGTTTTACGTTTTGTTTGAAGCTGGACTTATATAAACGATTTTTCAAACAAATAAAGATTAAGATTGCTAATTAAGTCACTTGAACTCCGTCTTACGATTGTGAAAGTCATGAAAACGTTTTAGCTTCTCGAAACACCTACATTTGCTCATTGAAACTGCGTTTCCACAAAGGGAGACCAACATAGCGTTGGTCAATTTGACGGTGACGTTTTCACGCTCATTGAATTAAGAAAAAGTTGGAAAAACTAGGAACGGCCAAAATGAAGGAAGGAACAGTAGACAGTGGAGCATTATCTGTGCTAATTTGATGCTTCATTTTTCTCTTCAAATCTTGTGCCGCAATTATTGCAGCAACAAATTTTACTACAAATAGCACGTCTTGAAAGTGGAAAATGTTCTGGCCTCCACAAACGGACATGGGATCAAACATAGGCAATTTTGCTACTTTTTTGACAAAATGAGACAACTTCATAACGATTCTAAGTTGGAATTGGGAAGTGAAGGAACAGATTGTTAACTTTTAGACATCGTTTGGACTACTAGAGGAAAAACTGAATGGTCTGAACGAGGCAATGGAGAGGATGGCTAACCAGAACGGGGGAGGCACTGCTGATGACGGCGACTCGACAGACATTGAGGATCCTGGTGAACTGGCAAAGCAAGTAAACATCTACATCGAAAAACTCGAAGCCGATCTGATGGAGATTGAAGGTGACAGAAGAACTTATGAGTATTTGCTCTTATTGGCCAATTTTGTTTCATAGCCACCTATTTGATCTTTTCAGCTATGTCACAACCGCTTGTCTACGTAGAAAAAGAGATCGGCGATTTGACAGAAAAATTGGAAAATGTAGTAAAGGAATTCAAGACGTTAGGTTCGAAGATCTCACCCAATACAAAACATCAGCTTTTCTGCAGCTAAGGTGTCTACTGTGCGTAAGGGTCAACGCTTCTAATCGCCCGCTACCACCAATAATTTTCCCCTTTTGCTGTTCCTCTTTTGCACAATCATTGTTTTTAATTAACATTGGGGCACTATGCGTTGTCGAATGTATAATTGTCTTCCTGTTTAAACTTTTGTTCTTGATTAGTTGCCAGAAGGTGTTTTTAATTGTAACAAATGGTTGACAGCGAACAGCTACATAAAATGTCAATTGAATAATGGAGTATTTGTCATGGTAAGTAGAAATAGGGAATTAGTCGGTTATATCTGGAGGTATTAATATGTAAAGATGCTTACTATATTGTGTAGGTGAAACATTATCGTAGAAGTTTCAGTGTGCTGTTTGAGGTATTGCTGGTGGTTTAATGCTGTGGAGAAATTGGGATCTAAGTTGTGGCTGCTTGCTTTTTGCAAGGGCTGTTACATTCCCTACCACTACCGATGGCAATTGCGCCAAAACATAAAGAAAGATTTTGAGCGAAACGACCTTTATTAGGGAGTCTTTAAGTCGTGTCGATTCTTTAGGGGTTCTTTGGTTCTATAATAAAAGGAAAGGGAAAGGGAATGAAATGATCGAAAAATAATCACGTTAAGATGTCGTGGTATAACTACCGGAGATTAATAAAGGTTTCGGTCAGTTTAATGACTGTTGGCTGCCGGGTAAAATTGCATTGGATCGCATATGATCGGAGTGGTTTACCAATGGAATTTTACGGACATTTTGGTTTTATTTCCGGGTAGATTAAAAGGTGGGACCACTCAAGGAATATTACAAAGTCTTTTGGCTATACAAAAAAGGGAATTTATAATGCCCAAGGAATACAGAGAAACACCAGATTTGGAAGTTTCGGCTAGACGCAGGCTTAACAATCCAAGTTGACAGCGTCTTCGCATTTATAGCAAATGGTTCAATAGCATTAAAAAGTTCTAAAAAGTAGGTGAAATCCTACTCGCCCAATGAAGGACTGATATTGACAAGTATAGATAAGCATAGGTCAACCTTTTCTGGAAACATTTTTTGTTCGTACAGTTTTGACTTGATAACTGTAATTTCTAAATAGAGCTGCATCAATTTGGATCTTACAATACTGTAAGTGAACTCTGTAAAAGAACTTTTATTCCGAATCAGTGCATTTAGGAATAGCATGAGACCACGTTGCCTCCGCCTAGCCATCCAGTCTTACAAGCAGCAGCAAACAGGCACCAAATATTAGTGGCTGTGATTAATTAATTAAGAAAAAACCTTATAGATGAATTTTTCTTTCCAAGTACATACAACCTCAGTGAGTGGTTGGCACACCAACACCAGCTAGGTATTAAACAAGACACAGTTCGAACCACAGCTAGAACAATCAAATGCCTAAAGTGAACTCGACCGAAAATAATAAGAGTTCTTTTAAATCCAGGATTGTCTTTGTGGCAGTGAAGAGGATGGAGAAGCGTTTTACAAAGCAGGGTTAAGCGTGTTTAGGCTAAAAGTGCCTATTTACAATTCAACTAGGTTCTAGATTCCAGGTTAATCTATCCTTAGCTTTAAATGCAACACCGTACACATAATTGTCACGAAACCATGGCTATTGCGTATTTAAATGAAGGACCAAAAGGTTTAAAGGGTGGTGTGCGACTAAGATTGAGTCTATTTCTTGGTGCATACTTGTCCAAATAATTGGTGATACATAACTTTGTAATTTCAAAAAGCTCAGCGCTTCAGTCTATTATTTTATTCAAGACGTGCAATTGAAGCCTCTCCCTCATAATCTTTTAAGCATCACTCGCCTTTTGGTTCAAAGTTTACTAAGTCACAAACAGCGGAGGAACGCGTTGTATCGAAGATAAGCTTATCTGCGACTTAACGGTGATGGAGCATTACTTGAAGCGCCCTATGCTTGCCTTTTGTCTCGAGTGAACATTTGCCATCTCCCTAGTTTGAGCAGACAACTCTTTTCAGCACATATTCTAACTTGGGGATCATTCATCGCTGTTGATCTTTCTAGTTAAGATAAGATATGATATTTTCAACTGACCACTACAAAGGCCCCTAGCAAAGTTATATTTTTACTTCTGGTGACGGTGAAAAAGTAAAACTGCTTTAGTTGGATGTGTAAAAGTGCATGCCCACCACAACTCCTTTTAAATCTGATAACCTCTAGTCAAATGTCACTTTCGACCGAATTAGGTGTTTGGGAACCTCTAAATAGACTGCGGTGTGCAATGAAGGATGCTAATGAGCTATATCATATTTGTAAATAACTAAATAGTATTTATTCAATAAATACACAATGAGTATGGGAGATTGAAAGCTTCTTGATTATATATAACCAGAATTCCTAGCCTTACAGTAATGGGAGAGGCTGCTTCGTGTCTATATAACGCAAAAAGCAAATTGCGTATCCCATCAGTGTGTTTTAAGTTCTCACTTTACTTGCACGTTTAAAACTTATTCTATGCAAAGGAATTAAAGAAACGGTATATTTGAATTTGGTAAATACGATGAATAGGCGAGCTAAATGAGTCGCAAGCATAAAAGTGGAACGATAGAACCAAAAACCGCCGTCATTGGAAAACTTGAACCTTGTTTGAGATTTCATCTTGCATAAAAAATAACTTTGCATTCCTTTTCATCAGAAAGCTATAATGAATAAGCACAGGTAGCGGGAAATCTAATTTAGTTGAAAAATCTCCTGTAAACGTTTCAATTCTTTATTAAATAGTAGTTGGTTATTGCTCTAATTAGTTCTGTCACTTTACTGGATAAAAAGCCCGTTCGCTGCTAAAGTGCATGCGGATCCTGTTTAGCTGCTGAAAGTGAATTTTGAAATTCAGCATACTTCAATTTGGATTCCAATTGGACTCCGAGTAACTTGAAGTGGACATGATGCACAGTTTTTACAAGAGGGACAGGGAAACATGGTGTAGAATTTCAAAGTCATATTCTTTTCATTTTTATAAATTATAAGGTTTTCTAGACATACCCATTTCGATGCTATAATTAAAATTCAGAAATAAAAGGGATCCAATGCTGTTTCCACTATTTCATAAGTGAATTCCGTCCCGACACTTCTCTGAAGGCGAAAAAAGACACAATACTCTGGTAGACCATGTATTGTCGACTCGCAGAAGGGCTCAGTGCTATGGGCATGGCCTAGAGATCGGACGGCCCGGAGAGGTACGGTGACGGAGCTCCTACATGGCCCATTATCGAAACCGAGAGTTAAACAATGAAGGTATCACACTTCCTGCTCAGTCATTTTCGTAAAAAATCACTTAAAAGCCATCAGTAAATTCGAGTTCCATTATCACTCGTCTATAACGCATAGCAAAGGAAATGTTGGACCCTAATTCAATAACATTCCCCACAGATGTTCAGATGTTCATCGACTGAATATTTCGAATTAGCATACACTCCTGTAATCTGAATTAATTAACAATGAAGGAAAATTGTCAAAATCGCAAAAAAGTGTTTGTTGTGCGTCTTTATGATGATAAGCCATTGATCCATTGCTACAGACCGCTATAATTCATATTTCGTTTGTCCCAGAAATATGCAGGATTAATCCAAAAGGATCATTTATCTGGTTGTGATTATTTCCCTTACGGAAGTTTTACAATGAAGCAAATGGAGGTGGTCTGTACATATTTGTTATCATCCGTGATATTTTCAAACGGAGCAAAACATCCGACACACTTTTCATTCTCGATAATGGTCGGCAACCAGTTAACCTTGATAAATCATTTCTTGCCTTTCAAGCGACTTTTGCAACAGTAAGCTCCCAAATTGTTTTGGATAATTGGTGTAAAAGGTAAAATACGAAGACTTTAGCGATGGCTAACACAATTAAATTGTTTTAACTAAGGACAAGGTGGAGTTTATTTTGCGCTTCTTCTTAATTTTGTATGATGAAACAAATTGGATTGGAAATGTAGCTACTGTTTCCTTTTACCCTTCCTTTTTCACTTTGCTCAGCCAACTTAGCACTTCTTCATGGTCTTCAAGGAATCGATCTATGAAAGCGTCTCCCAACGACAAGGTGGGCAAAAAAATTAAATACAAATACAACTTTCAAAGAACTTTCAGAGAGTTGTTTAAATTAAAGCAAAAGTGACTCCACAACAAGACTTACTAAGTAGGCTATCTTTTTGCTTTTATCCATTTTTAAACGGTGGGCGCAGTTGGTGACCGGGATTATGATCTGATTACCTTAATCTGCGTTCTAAACTAAAAATTTATTGCAAAGAAAATATTGTGCCAGGCTTAATGACGTCTTCATGTGTCTACTGGAATTTATGAAAATCGTCGTACATTATTTGCCTCGAAAGAACACCTCTTTAGTTATTTGAATTTTTTTAATAGATAAATTCGACGATCCTTAACCACTACTCTTTTAGTTAAAGTAAAACTTACAGCACAGTGAAATAATTCTGGCTTGACTCCTGACCCGTTTTCCGCGTTTGATGGCATCATAATGTTGGCATTCGACGTAAAACAGGTTGTAAGATGAAGGACACAATTAAAATGAAGCGTATAAAAATAGCGAGTACAATGGGCGCCTCAGCGTCTACTTAATTTTGCCGCCAATGTCTCATGAAAGCGTTCCACAGTTTAGTCCATGGAAAGTTCATTAGTTAATCAAACGCAAATACACAACTCATTTTAAGGCTAAGTTGTTTTATCTTAAGCAAACGTAGCCTTGATGAGCAAAGCATTAGCAGAACACTTGATGGTGTACCGCAGTTATTCCTCTTTCACTGTTTCCACAAGCAAAACTCAACCACCCGCTGCTGTTACATTAATTTATGGGAGAATACCAAGCAGATCACATTCTAAGGTAAAATGTGATTTATTCAAACAGATGTTAACCAAAACATGATAGTTTTTATGAATCAACATCAACTTACCTGAATGACCGTCACCTTCTGTTGTATTGTCAAGCTCCAACTATTTGACAGCCAAATCCGCTCCCGTTGAAGCTAAAGGCAAAGGGTTTTACACAATTAGGCGAATTCGTTTTGATAGTGGCAAAGTTTAATTTGCCCAAGAACCAAAGCGGACAAAATTTTGCAAATTTTAATACAAGAAAAGGGACAATCTTCTTCTTGCTGCTGGTGCACTTTGTTGGCAAGAAAGGGTACTGTGTGGAGGGAACAAACTGCTTATTCAAGTTTTCTCTCTTATCTAAGTTGTAGTTTTTTACGGTAATACTTGCAGTGAACATCAACCCCTAACAGTTTTGAGCATTGGTTTTGAAATCCTCTTAACCGCAACAAACAGACCTGATTAGTTGTAGGGGGCTGATATGTCAGTGACATTTTAGGAGTAGCAAGGAGTTACAACCGGATGCCAGATACGAGAACTGTGTTTTTCACAAACTTGGCATTAACAAGCATCAGCGGACCTTAAGGTACAATTTTCTTTTTATTTAATTAAACACAAGAAAGAACAAATGCTACTCGCAAGATCGCAATTATTTTTAAAATTTCACATAGACTTAAAAATGCATCTGAAGTTCCTTCACCTTAGGAGAGAGGCCTTAGGGTGACAATAAATGGCAATGAGAAATTCCACATAACTGAGAAACGTACACATCATTTGATCCTAGTATTTGTATGGTTTTATTTATCTCTAGCTAGTGATGATGGGCCACGGCGTCATTTCTTATAGCATCGCCTGCATTGTGGTGGCTGACGCAGGAGATTGACGAAGGGAAGCACCCCAGACGACGTTCACACGGAGAGGGGGCCTTTTAATGCCTAGATTATGTGCTTAACGCCTCGCTTTGGTTTTGCGGAAATTTCATATGTAGAAATTCAATGTGCCCTTAATTTATGACTTACCAGCATAAAATTGGTCGGTTACCAAGTAACATTTCGGGGGAACTTGATAATCGGAAAAAAGCCCTGCTTGGTTTTCGTACATACCTATACAGGCGATTGGGTAAGATCAACAAATTTAACCATGCAAGCGTTCTTTAGTTATCCTCCATCTTTAAAGCATTCTATGCGAAATCAAGGAACGCGATAAGCAACTGAAATTTTTAAAGAATGCCATCCGCATCTGAACTTAAGTATGTAAAAAATGACACCTTCTTTTCAAACCTAAAGGCAATACTGCTTATATTGCAAAGTAAATACTCAGAAGTCGGAATCACATCCTAGTCAATTGAACAGCTAATACAGTAGATGTGATGAACTGGGCGTTCCATAGAGTAGATAGCGATCGTGCATACATCTACACCTCTGTGGAGTAAATAGGGCCCTTGCTCCCATTAAAATGTGTAGGAGCTAAGTGGAAAAATGGAAAAGAGTAAAAAGTGTCATCCTGATTCTTTAAACATTTAATTATATTACGTATTTGTTGAGAGTAGTTTTAAACGTCTTTAAGATACGAGGCAATGCTCGCCAGCGGAAGTACAATGGCGGGGCCGTAGGTGCCCGCAAAACAAAAAAAAGACTTAAACAAATAATGAGGCATTACATGCACTATTTGCTGCATGAAACCAAGTAATTTTCGCATCGTGCGGATTTTGATGGCCTTTGAAATCTCAGAACTCTGCATGTAATTGAAATTACAGCATGAAAAGCCGATATAGTAAGATTATTTTGCACAGAACGATTAGACTTAGATCTCCAATTCTTCTCCTATTATTTTGACTATCCTTCATGCATAAACTTGTCAACATGGCAGTCACTTTTTCTGAGTTGATTTAGGTGTCCGTAAACTGCAAGGTAAAGCAGTCTATTTGTGCATAATTGCCACGTGGGTGCAATCACAATAGTACTTAATGCATATTTGTACTACTATCCCCCTCGAGGTGACCAGATTTCGAGGTGGCCGAACCTTATGATTCGGTCAACGTAGGGAATACGAAACTCAATTCCCCACATGGCCTACCCTCCCCATTATGGCGCCAACTTTAACAGCATATACTCTCATCCATAAATCAGTCTTGTCAATTGACGAGTTTGAAACTAAAGGCCATTGCAAGAAGTGCCAATAGTCCCACAGTTTATATTAGTTTATAAAACCATAAGAATGAAATGTACATATAATGTGAAGTGATTTCTTAAACTAAACTTAAGGATTAATTGGAACATAAAATATCCGTTTGGGATTATTCATCCTGACAAAACAAATAACTATAAAGCGCTCGACAAAACCTGCGTCCAATTACTTTGTGAACTAGGTATTTTTCCTTTGTATTTATATTTTCATAGAAATTATATAATATCTAATTGGCCATTGCGGGGAGGACGAAATATCTGCGTAACAAAAGTGTATACCTTACGACGTTTTGGAAACTGAATAGCCATTCCCATGTACCGATTTCTGCAGTTATTTGTCCTAAGGCACTAAGTTAAAATATTGCCATCCACTCTTTGGACTAAGTAAACATATACAGGTACGTAAAACAGAGCAGAGACAAGCGTAGAACAATTTCGAGATAACCCTTTTTATTTGGTTATTTTACAGTGCCATAGCCATTTTGTGGATTAACAATTTTAAGATCTGATTTACTGGCTATTTAATGGGTGTTTTTACCTGCTAATCTGGATACCACTTAATACACGCACGAAGTAAATCCCTAGAACTCTTCCATGATTAACTTGGAAGTGGCTTCTTACCTGGCACAAGTTAATGAGTTAAAAGTTGGAATCTAGTCTAAATTTTACTTACCACCGACAGTAATGGGCACCGTCAGGAAATTTTTGGGTTCTCTTGTCTGGCTTGCTATTAAACGCCACCGCTTCGGAGGCTCTTAAACAGACTCAAGACGAAGTTTGCAATGATACCGTGTTCGCACCTGATTCTGTACCCTATTTTATTATGTAACAGTCCTTCTGCGGCTGATTTGTCACTATTAATAAATGATCAGATTATAAGGGAACTGGTCTAATTTGTTATCTTCTCATAAAACCATAGCAGTAGAAGTGCATAACATTGCAAAACACAGGAATGACTGTCACCACCACCTGTACAAGATTGTTTATTTACGACTTATTCGTCTGGCTTCAAACTTTGTTGAACATGTTTCTACATCGTAGTAAGAAAAACTTTTACTTCGCAATTTAATTTGAAGTTTATAATTTTTAAAGCGAATTCCAGTAATTCACTTTTCGCCCCCGAGAATGCTCTGTTTGGAGACATGGAGCCCCTTGTTATCAACCGTGTAAACCATTTAACTGATCTTAATTGGCTTAATATTTAGGCTAAAGAGCACCTGGCGCATTTGACTGATTAAATGACCAGAAAAAGGTCAGACTACGGAGCAGCTCAGCTTAATAATATGTATTGGTCGGCGGAATTAAATTCGAGGTATTTTTAATTTGATACTTTAATCTGATAAAACTCCTCTACTTAGTTTATCGCCTAGTAGTGTTACAGGAAAGATGTTAAAGTGATTTCCCCATTCCTCTTGCTTAAAGCATAGTTTACTGTTAGAGCAATTAAGACAGTCCTTCTCTATGTGTTCGAGTAGTATGTTTGACTTCATTAATCAGGGGAGGTGTGCAAATTATTCCTATTTCGCTTAGAACTTCTGAGTAATAATTTAAGGACTTTGTAGATCAAATGCTACGCTTTGAACAATAATCAGCTATGTATTTCACTTTTCTGAAAATAGCAATCGAATTTTGATCCTAGCAATATGCAATTTTTTGCATTTAAGTAGGTTATCGAAAAATGACTGACAGTTTGTGAAATCTGTGAGCATAAATATTGCACTGATTTTGGTATTCTGGTGAATGAGAGTAGTGCTTAAAAGCTACTTTTCATTTCATATTTAGCTATAAAGAACATCTTGTATCAAAATTAGCAGGTTTTCATCCAGGTGATATATAATGAGGTTAATGGTTTCATTTCATCGAAAGGTAACAAATTACTCACCTTCTGGGCATCGGCATTTATGACGCGGATGAATTTGGAAACTATGTGGAACCGGTCGCCCAGCTAGCTACAGCAGACACAGACCTCTGTGCTGCCACAGTGGAGCAAAGGCAGGTTGATTGCCAAACTATCAACTACTTCATTCATTACAAACGAGATGTGTAAGAGTTCAGTGGGATAAATATTTCTCATTTCTTCGGAACATTTCAAAATTCGGACGTCTCTGAGAATATGTAGCTTTACTGTGCTGGCATGGATTTCTGCAGGGTTTGTTGTTGACTTTAGTTCGACTCCAGTGATAGTGGAGTTTGGAGGTCCAGTCAGTATCACGCCAGTGAAATCGAAAGTATGCTCTAATTTTAGCTGACTTTGTAATGTAGCCTACATTAATAAGTCTTTGAAATCATTGACTTAGTGCGCTTGTGCTGTTTTTCTTCGATTTTCAAGATATTTCTATAAAGTTTCTACTTGTATCAAGATAGCTCTTTGATTGATCAGCTTTATCAGTTATAAACAAAGGCGAAATTCTACTTTTAGCTTCATTGTTAGTTGCGCCTTTAATCATAAAAATTTAACCCAATTTAAAGAACTTAAAGCTGTCAAAGCCCCCACTTTTGACTATCCGTCCGCCCGCTGTCCAGTCAGCATAACCATTATTTGGGACGCTCTTAACATTCCAGTCTTGTCAGCCATTTAGCAACATTGGTGATGACCTTCTGCGACTACGTGGACCTTGAAGCAGCGGTCGATTTCTGACAAGCGGATCCGTTCAGGTCATTGGTGCTGATGCTGTAGATCCAAATGCCTATCCATCCTTAATCAATCCAACCATCTTCTCAAAAATAACCTGAGTAATTCGAACACTTCTGATTTCGGGAGGTTCTAGTTGCTTTCTGCAAAAGGGCAGCAGCAGCAGCAGATATATACTTAAAATTTTCTTTTAATTTGCCTAGAATCTATCTCGAAGTATTTGGAAAGACACTGCCTGCTATACTTTGCCAAAAATGTTTAAACTTCTGATCTATCGTGGGTAGTTATTTAACTGCGTTTAGTGGTTTTGTTGTATATTTAAGTAAAGAAGCACGATTAAGTTGTCAATTTATTTTGAAACTGTTTACTACTTTGCCCCCAAGGTATTCACTTTGCGTGGAAATCAGTCTTAGTTAATTTGGAAACACTGCTTTGATAAAAAAGACCACACTGGAAATAATCGCAGGAGTAGATAAGAAGTAGTGGTAATATAACCATTGGAGTTAATAATTTTATATTCTACCAATTTTCCTAAACTGAATATTGGTATTGCACATTATTTCGTTAAAATTACCATTGGAACTATCTCAGTTTAAGTGATAGACAGAGAACTTAGTATTTAGATGTGCTAGATACCAGAAGTAAAAATCCTCGTGTATCCTCAAATATAAATTGCTTTAACAAAACACGTTGCAGTTGACTATGGCACAGCTTTTTTGCTGAAAGCCATAATTTTAATTAAGATCTTCATTGATATACTGGCACTAATTTCAAAGCTGATAATTATCTGCGCTTACTCATTTATGTGACACCAAAGTTCTGTCATCGCCATAAAAATATCTTCCACCGCATTTCATGGAGGATTCCCTTCTATGCTCTCTGAAGTCTGATATCTAGAAATGTACGCACTGCTTTCGGTGTGATAACATGCAGTCACATCCTAAAACTTGTCAGCCCTAATTGTTTGCATTCACCATGCAGTCTAGAAAGGTATCAGTCTACCAGTGCGGTAATCTTTGTTATCCTTTGTACTATATTTTTCTTAATTCGCTCTCTAATATCGTACAAAGTTGGCTGAAGATAAGGTTTTTCAGGTGTGCCTATTTTACAGAAGTATACATAACTTCAAAGCCATGAAAGCTCCTCGTAAAAGCTGCACGGCATTTGAAGAAGGTTGATTAGCCAAAGCATTCCAAAACTACTCAAAACTAGACGAATATTTAGCATAAAAAGATAAGTATCTCTAATGACAAAATGCAGTTGAGATTAACCCATGCGGAAGCATTTTACAAATACACTTATCAATGGGTAAAGTCATTAAGGCTTTAGCAACTGGGTTCTGCAAGGCGTGCATTAACAGATAGCAGTAAGCTGCAGAGACTGTGTCGAAGTTGTGATGAAAGGTTGATTTTTCTTCAATGATAATAAAAGAACCATCATTGCTTATGGTCAACTAATCCACTCACCACTCTACATTTCCAAGTCCCTACCTTTTTTACAAAAAACTGCATGTTTTTTACATGGCGGACTACAGACGAAAATTCCCACTGTGAATTGTTCACCTTGTAAAGACCAAACAAACAATAAAGGCTGAGATCCATCTACTCAATACGATACAGTACAAAACTTAAAACCCCCACTTCAGAAACGTCTAAGATTAGTTAGTTCATTAGTTATTCATCAAGCCAGTGAACTTACTCTTGAAAAGGGTCTTAACCACAAGATGGGGAGAAAATTACGGCTTCACCACTATTCGCCGTTACTCCCACACAGTATTACAATTGATGACTATCGCCTTTTCTTGGCAATGGATGATTACATAAACATGTGCAAAATAGATAGTTGGGAAATGTAAAGCGCGACACAGTCGAAAGTAGCTATGCCTGCATTTTTTTCTTAAGACAACGTATTAAAAACCGGAATTGTCAAAGCTGTATCTCGTTGGAAATAAATCATTCCGCTGAAAAAGAAAGAAGAATTACTATGGAAATCGTTTCAACAAATAAATCATTCAAAGAGGTTTTCTATACTGATTTAGTGTATTCTAAACATCTCACAAATTTATTCGGTTGCCACTTACTCAAACCTCTAGAACCATGAAGCAGTGTCGATTATACTGTGGTCTTGGAGGTAATTAACCAATTGTAATGGATAAACGGGGGATAGCAGCAATACATAAACAGTACTATTATAAGAGTTCACTTTTAACTTATAGCTGTTAATTCCCCTTCTTACTCCCAAATTTGTCCTTTTATGTATCGTTACAGAGAGACTAAGATGACAATAAAACACATTATTGTCTTGAGTTTAAGTTCCCGAGTAGTTGCAGCCGCTTAGATATAAACGCCGTGGTGGTCACTTCACCCATTGCCACGTCGCAGTAGCCCATCAAGACTGTTCTAGAGATAGCTATGTTTATGGCGGTGCCTGAAGTCAGGCCAGTGCAAATCTCCTTCACAATCGTTAAAAGTAATGCCGCCATGTCGTCCGATACCATTTTGTTGCATATTTCAAACATTTCTGCTCTTACACCTGACGTGTAGGGTTGAGTTTTTCGGCCATCAGAGCAGCACTTAAGGAACGGTACCAATTTTGAGCATTTTTAAAGATTTTTTGTTTTTTCTACTTTGATAAATGCCCTTTGCTGTTGATATATCCGTCATTTGCGGTGAGCCATTTTACCTAAAACTACTTTCCCGTAATCCCCTCATGTGTTGTATGCTATAATTTATTTACTGCTATGAACTACCATTTGGCAGGATTTTATTAAGCTGCCGATCATTTTAAGGACAAAAACTAGACGATTTTAATCAAAGTTCAATAATTCATACATTTACGTTTGCCTAAGAATTACAAGAACAATTTGTTACAAATTTTCATTCCTCTTCTCGCATTCTTCATAAACCTCAGAACAATAAATTTTAGTCAGAGTTATTTTTTTCACAAACTTGTCTCTACTTTCTCTCTACACTCACAAAGGCAAATGATTTTTCTTCATTTTCAGCCCAATTTCGAACTGATAAATAAAAAGATGCGGATTCAAAAAACCGCAGCAGATTACCCGAAGGGAATAAATGCAAACTCGAAAATTTAGTAATAAACTCTCTCCTTCTGCACGAGCGAGTCAATTATCGTGAGTGTAAATTTAGAATTGTTTTAGTCTGCATATGGAATACTCCAAAACCTAAAAGATCTTAAAGATATATCCGATTCGGGAACCAGTTTTAAAACATAGAAATCAGGTACCACTTCGATTCCTTCAAAATAGTTACCGTTTTTAAGGTCGAATGCCAAAGTTAACCTTCTGCTCAACATTTACAGACCTTGCTATCACTACCCCAAGCATGCGGTTTTGTCTCCGTTAAAAATTAGGAGAGTGTCCGCAATAAATAATCTCTTCCAGGAGGACAATAGTTGAGTGTAAACGGCAGTTCTCATAAAAACCGCAATAGAGAACTAATGCAATATCTTGCCTAGTGTTCTTAAATTATTTGGTTTAAAATTCATCAATTAGAGTTACTTCTATTCTAAATTAATTAAAATGTATGGTTAGCTACCGCAGGAATTACCGAGTTTTGAAAAAAACGTAATCTACATAAAGTGCTAAGGCAAATAAGACGTTCTCCGTCGAATGCGTATTCCTTTACGACTTTCAAGATCTCTTTTTTTTAACAGAAATCCTTCGAAGTGATAATCTTCCCTAAAGGAAGTTTGCACTATTGATACGTCAGGCGCACTCTTACAATCTCTTGTACTCTTTTACCTCTTTGCTTTTTACCAAAACAATATAACAGCCTAACGTTTTAGCAATGTAACAAAGTAAGATAAATGTGAAATAAGATCTGGCGGGTGGAGTCAGTTGTACAAAAGCTGTATTAGCAGTCCATTTTGGTAGAAATAATAACAATTTTAACTTTGTCTTATCACCTAAAGTTACCTCCGCTGAGCTCATTTTTAGCACGATCCACTTCAATTGTGTCGGAACACTCGTCCAGAACTTACGACTTGGATATCACTTGACACGTAAGAAATATAATGACTCGAAGAAACTGCTCAATCATGTCATGCAGAAGCCAATTCTGACCGCCTGCACTTCAGCACGGTGGTGTGTACACTGGCTTAAGTGACCTAACATTGCTCTTTCTGAAGTAGAGGGTGCTCTTTAGAGTGAAAGAGAATCATAACTTTGGTGTAAGTGGTGTGCTGAGCTGCAGAACCTACGGCAGATCGTTTGGGTTAAAGGCTCGGCCATATGAGCCGCCCATCTCCTCGTTGAGGATGGAGGCATGGTCCATTTACGCCCTGCTTTTTTGCCGTCATCTGAACATCAAGATTTATTCTTCCTCTCTTAGATTTTATCGCACCCCTTCCCTACCTTCAGCCAAAGCTCCGTCAAGTTTGAGGTTATGGCCATGTGGAAGGCCTTTTATTAAATCAGGAATTGATAAGTTTTGAACTGCCCGTGCAGACAGTCGTTTAAATATGCTTTTCGGTTAATCTGTTGCAAATGACAGGTTAACCACTCAAATAAAATCTATCAAAAACTGACCCATATTAATGCGCGTGTCAAAGGCAGAGGGTGGGAAATCATTTTTATTTCAATTAGAGGTAACTTTAAAACTGGGAAATTTTGATTATCACCGATTCGTTTCAGGAGTCATCTACATTTTCTACGGCATCATTGAGGACCAATGCGCCCCCCAGTAACCTTCCCTAATATGGCGGTTGAAGATTTATTATTTGGAGCGCCTATTAAGAACACTAAAGTTCCGATATCATAATGAGTTTGTGTGGTGCCTACGGCTTAAAAGTGAAGGGGGATTTCGGTATGTTCATATTTACAAAACTAATACACATTTGTGCATAAACGGCTTCCGTAGAACTATTTTTCGTAATCGGTTTTATTTCAAAAGAAACGAAATCAATGCGTTGCTTTGTGTCTACTCAGTTTTCAAAGAGATGTTAACATTCTCCCTAATTTATACTACTTTGTACTACTTTTAAAGGTCTTTGTAAAACGCTCTCAATAGGTAACAAGGGAAGAGAATGCGACGAATCGCAACCACAACGAGGCTACATCAGTGGTATAGATTTTGGATCTTCTGAAATAATGTTCCATCCCAACTTGTAGACGCCAATCCTTCCTCTGCCTGCTTTCGTGCGTTTGACAAATCGCCGCGACTGTGGGAATGTAAGCCCTCACTTAAGTTGAGTGCTAACTCTAGAAAAACCAGATAAACCATCAATAGTGGCATTTCAAATCTAGGACAAGAAATTGCTCTTGTGGTAGCTTACATCACATCGGAGAACATAATGCTTGGCATTACATGTATCAAGGAGAGTTATATGATGAGCAACGATTCTGGGGAGTCATGGATGCGAAATGACCGTGGCTACTTCACCTGCTGAAGAGTTTATTACGTATCCGCTCTCCGGTTCCATCCCTCTTAAAAAATTGCCCAAGGTATTTGAACCAACCGTCACGGTAAAAGAGTCATATGTTTATGCTTTTCTAAATTAATACTCTAAGTGATTTACTTTCTTCCAATCTTTCACTAGAAATGTTTGCTTTGTTATATTTTAGATCTACCTTGAGAACTTAGAATCACAAACTTACATTCAACTCTATAAGGAGATCACTGTTTCTAGCATGAAGTTTTGCGTGCCTTGGGGGGAGTGGCATATTTTTTTACAAAATTCCGTATTTTTTCATCTTAGTTTGCTGCAGTGGTATTTATTACGGAAATACCGATGTGCCCAAGTAGAGTTATCGTTTGTATCTCAAGTGCATTGGCTGTGTTTTCGGATCATTACGCTTCGCTCACGCTTCTTTCCATACACCATCATCTGTTGTCAAACTTTGCACCATTTCGTGCCCAAGCAAAAACGGGCTACTTTATTTCTTTGAAGAACATCATCAGCACTGTCAGTCCGAGTAATCTGTATGGAGAGAACGAGTTTTATTCCTTAAAAGAGGTAGCCAATTTTGTACAAAAGCGCTTTAACAAATGGTGTAAGTAATAAGTAGTAAGTAATTCTCAAAATAACTTAAGCTATTTATACTGATTTAAAGGCAGAATAGTTAAATAGCAATATTGGAATTACTAACAGGCTTCTTCATTAAAATTCAAATTCCCATTTGGAATCTCAAATACCATCCTGTCTTCACTTAAACTTGAGAATCACCAAGAAATCGCACGCATTTTACCTGAATTCACCATTATCACTTCTCAGCAATAGGCGGAAAAAACTACACAATACTCCCAATTTAGCGCCTTTAACTCTAAAAATTAAAATCTATCGTAATCGCTGATACCTTAAAAGCTAAGTGATTTTTCAGTTTTCAAACAATTATTTCTTGTTAAATCACGCAGTATTTAAACTAAATTTACTGATCTCCACTTCAGATAGTTTGGGTTTGGTTTTAGATGATCATATCCACAAAAAGCATAAAACCCCAAACTTATATTCCGTTACTGTTTCATATTGGCTTTTTTATTCATATCTGCCGCAATAATTCGATTGAGTTATGTAAAATGCTCTAGTTTACCGTTTAATGTCTCCCATTGTGCCAACTTACTTCATTTTTAATAAATATCCTTTTCCCTGTTTGTAGATGACACCAAATAAACAAAATTAACTCACGCAAGTTACCGCAGATAACCAGCTAAAGCGTAGGGCATATGCACACAATACTAAAACACTTTTCAAGATTGTTCTTTAAAGTGGGACCCGATTTTAATGTAAGCGTAATGTTTTGACAGATAAAGGACATTCAAGCGCTCACTTCGACCCACTGCTTCAAATAAAGGAGTCACCGGCGCTAAGCGCACTAGAACGACCATCCGCCTAACTTGCTAGCCATTAGAGATCCGGACTACAGGAAAAGCACAGCGCGAATTCGCGGTCAGTGCCCGAGTAAAAAGCTAAGCTTTTGTTGTAAAGGCATTATTTCCACAAATTTCACAAAAGGAAATAATCACCACTCAAATTCACATTAACTCGTAGGTCTGCAACGATGGGCTTCACTTTTCCCCATTAGGTTTGATTGACAATCACCACCTAGTAAGAGAAGCTGGAGTTCTTATTCTTAAAAATAAAGTTTGGTACTACTTTTGTTAAATAGGATTTCCAAAGCTATATAAAACACTTAACTTTGTAGTATCATTAGCAAAAAAACTAACCTACATGGTTAAGCATGCTGGTCGAGCCATATTCAAACAACATATTCAACAAACTACCAGATTTTGAGCATAGTGCGGAGCATTCAATCGTTTCCCTGAATATATAGATTCGGAACAATAGTCAGCTGGTTCTTATGCTCGATTAAGTGGTAGAACTGGCATGGTAGAAGAAACCTATAAAAAGATATCCCATTTTGGCCATTCTTTCACGATTCTCAATCCTTTATATTGCCGCTGCGTCACTGAGCGTGGGGCATAATTAGAAGCATAACCATTTCAAATAATCCAGTTGTTTATAATTTCATGAACTCACACATTATAAGCTCGGCATTGTTTAGGCAATAATCATGACTGCATTGAAGATTTTAACTTCTGAAACGTCATTCGATTATGTTTTCTAACCACCCGCGTGACTTCACCAGAGTGATACATTTACCCAGTCGAAAATAACTAGACAACTGGATGTTTAAGACATATTGCACATGTAATCCAACTCATTTAAAAATAATTTATGCACTCTTTTAGGAAACCCATTTTAGATTTTGAACTCGAATGCAAAAGATAGTTAAAAATATGTCGAATTTATTTACCCCAGTGAAAAAGGAACAGAACGTGATAAGAGTTAACATTTGTACTGAATAAGGTGAAATTATAGGATTGTTTAGATTTATTTGACTTCAATTTTGGAGAATTTCTGGACCTCGATTGCTATCTGATAGGTGCAGTAGTATAGCATCATTGAAACCGGCAGATACACTGAAAACGAGTCAAATATGTTGCACCTTCAATTCTACTCATATTTTATAAGTAAACGCTAAACTAACTTGCTAACCTGGATCCAAAAACATGAGATAAAAGATCCAAATTCCTGAATCAAAACCAAGGTAGAAAAAGAAGAATCCAACGGAGGAGAACATAGCGCTGATGCTGCAGAGAACACCAGTTAATCGACGATTGGCGTTTTGTGACAGTCGTGCTTGCTGAGAAATGGTGAGGTTAGCAACAAATTAATAGGAACGGAAAATTACCAAGGCCAGTCCGATTGCTGTTGATCGGTAGATCCATTTGACCAACTGCTCAATGAAGTTTTGAACCAAGTTTATTGTGACCCAAATTGCTGTAAATAGAAGGACAGACGTCAATGGTGGTACCGCAGAATGTTATAATGGCAGAATCCGATGAGGAAACGAAAGAAATTTATCTGATCAATATTTTCACTTTGTGCACTTTTATTCATTCCAGATTGTCCAGTATTAACCCGAGAGGTTAACTTTCCAGGTATAATAAATCATTTTGTTGAAGTCAATGTAAAAATGGTCGCAGACTTCTACCGAAACTGTTTTGTGGAAAACGTAAGTCGTACCACGGATATTTAAACTTGCAGCATTTATAACTAAGTTATGATAAATGAAGAGTTTCGTGAGAGATTCAGCGTATATTTACACCCTAAAATAAGGTAGATCTTACTAGCTAATATGCCAAAAATAGGAAATCTAATGCCTTTTTTTACCTCGAAGCAAAATAAAATAATTACGGTGTATGAATGGTATCACCATAGGTTTCAGTCGAATTACGCCAGTGAGCTGCCTAATAAGCAAACGTTTAATGGGTTCTTTCCCATTTCCCCTTTCGTCTGAACTAGGCATAACAGTCAGCGGCTGTGTGTGCTGCGACTACTACTGGCTGGCTGACCGTAGGACCACAAATGAGGAACATTCCAACTGAAATTTGACGCGTGCGCGCGCGGCTCCGTCAGACATGCGCGTGCGAGACAAGACACTGCTAGTGTTTTGGGGTACCTTGCTTGGATGAGTTATTTATTCACTAAAAGTACTAAAGCATTAACTAACTGTTGTCGTTCCGAGTGTTCCAAAGTCCGTTTGGATATTCAACATTTGAACTACTTAAAAGCAAGGTTTTAAAAGGCAAGGTTGCAAAAAAAGTGCTTAAAATCTTATTTCATGCAGAATATACAGTGAGAAAGATCCCCAAGTACATAGGTATCATAGCTCAATAAGTCGCAAGCAAAAGGCTTTAGCCAGCGAGGCATGAGTCTTACTATTCTCCAAGTTCAAAGAGTGAAAGAGGAGGACGAAGAGAAACGCCAAGACTCCAGCCTGAATTCTTCGGTAGGCGAGAGATTTTCTACTTTGTTTCAGCCATGGTAAATATACATACCTATTCGAACACACAGAAGCTGTGACAGAGTAACATGAATTTCTTACCATGGCCAGAGTGAAACTCACCATTTTAGATAATTGTACAGACCCTGATCGAATTTTCTGGAAAGGAGAAGACACCTTTGGCCACATGTTATTGTTTATTATGTAAAAAATGCTATTTCAAATTCATTAAACAACGGAATTGGTCGCACAAATTATTAAGATGCATTTATCGTGTTTTAAAAACAAAGGTCACATATATATGCTCCACAGAAATCCAACAGAGAACTTACCTTTTTAAGGGTAAGAAAAAGAGCCTCAAATAAGGTTTTAAAAGGAATATTTTATAATTTCACTCATGTCATAAATGCTTGGAAGTGACATGCAGTAGAGTAAGACGCTCGATTTCAATAAAAGCGTTCCAACAATGAAAAAATGGACTGTGTAAAAAAAGATGCACATACTTACTGGCCGTTGTGAGAAGACTATTTTAAAGTAGATGAATGGTGTTAATTATGTTAAATGCCAACAGGATTGGGCAACTTTAAACGCTATCCAGGTCTTCTTCATGACTGGTACCTTTCTACAAAGTCAGTTCAACAAATAACCCAGAAAAGTTTGCGAAACTGATTGGTCTGTTATTGATGCACTCAAAATTACATTGTGCTATTACCCACCTCCACAATTGAGAGAAGAGAAGTATGTGGCTGAAACAGAGTGGTCCCTCCGGGACAAGGCACAAAACGCCATCCCCACTACAGACCCCATTTGTAAGTAGTATTTCCAGGTCTGAAAGCAGGCGAGGCCATCCGTAAAGTTGAAGGTAGGTGAAAAAAAACTGCATTCCAAGGAGGTACACCGCCACTCCAGGAGCCGAACGGTCAGTCTCGATGAAGGGGCTTGCGTGGAAGCCCTGATTGGCCACTGATTTTGGAGGTGGAGACAGTACTTGCATTGCAGGTTGGGTCAGTGCGAAAACAAGGGCGTTTGGGTAGACTACATGGACTGCCAGCTCCCAGAGAAGGAACCAGGCCATAAGACGGAGTCCTCGCCACATGAGGCTGCTGTAGGATAGGATGCGCGTAGGGAGGCAACCTCTATGATGGAGAGGCAATTCACGAGATTTAGATCTGAAAAGACGGGACAAGGCGCACCAATCTGAAAAGAGGACGAAGGGTCCAAATAAGAAGGTCGGTGGGTAGAGAGCGTAGGTAAGAACAGTGCGGAGGCCTCCAAGATTCAGTTTCGGAACATAAAAAGAATTTGGAAGAGAGAGGGTAGTAGGAGATGAATTCGCGTATTCTAGACCGATGCTGGATGCTCGCAGCAAAATTGTTGCTAAATTGCCCTGCAAAATCGCCATGCTTCCGTATTCGTTGTGCTATATGTAAAAAGTTGCGAATATATTTTTGTAAGCAAAATATGGTTTTCACAAAATCAACACTCATTAAATTACCATGAACTTAATGAGAAAGGTTAAGATTTCAGTTAAATGAACTGTAAAATTTGGATCAAAGAATAACTCGTTTAAATATGCAGTAAATAACGGAGTTGTAGGAACCCAACGCCAAGTTAGAAATATCTCAGAAACTCCCTTATACACATAAATATGCATGTATGTACGTATTCGTTAAAAGATGGGAACTACATTCAAAATCTTTTAAAGTACAAAAACTAACAACTTACTTCAGTAGAAGGTTTCACAAATAGTTCAAAGAAACAAAAGCCCAACAACGTCATAAGCCATATCAGCGATTTGGACCTCGACAGATGACCGATACAGGCAAAGGCAACAGATACGACGACCGCAAAGAGTAGCGTAGAAAATGAGCGAAATAGTTGCACAACCAAACCATTTATAAGAAGCTCTAAATTCGACTATATCGTATTTGAAATAAAACGAGTGTCAAACCTCATAAGTTATTATTTTTCTGATGAGGAAGCGTAAACCAATCCATAACACAATCAGTGGAATCTTTGACAGATAAAAGCAGACAAAATTCCAACCATTTTCCGAGGTGTCCTAAAATGCAAATGCGCTAGTCATGATTTACCTTCCATAACCCATTCCATGACCTATCCAGAAGGGAATGTAGCGCAAAAGCTGACACATTTCCTAAGGAAAAATTGAGCGACGAATTGCACGTACGCTTGGTGTGGGAGTAAAAAACAAGAAAAATGAAAGAATATACAAAAAACGAAGCCCAAATAGTAAGGTACACGGCAATTTCAAACCTCGGAAGCATTCTAATGTTCAAATATCATGAGCCCTATCAGGGCCCACACGTATAAAATGACCCCGATCTTAGAAATTGAATAGAGAGCAGCAGGGGAGACCTTGAAAATGTACTAATTTAAAAATTACGGCACAGCTGTTCCAAAATATTGCTTGCCTACTTTTTAAAAACGTTTAATGAGAGATATACCCAGTGGATAAAAAAGTCGTAAAGATGGTGATCCACGCTACCTTTTAAACTTCAAGTATAACACACGCAGACACGGGTGCTTCGAATCACATTTCACTTATTTTTTATTATAATGAGTAAGATAAAGATTAAGCTCAGACTGTCTAAAAGTAAAGGAGCCTCTATTATTCATTCCTTTAATTTTTGTATATAAATTCCTTTCGAAGTATACCAAGGAGCGTTAGATGTAGAATCTCGCCTGTATCAGAAGTCTGATGTTGCAGAAGCATCATAAGCCTAGCATTTCCCTTCAAAATCTCCGTTGCATACTAAAAATGTGTTCCGGTTTAGCCCAAGCCTTATCATTTCTTGAATAATGCGATAAATAAGTAAGTTCCACGATGCAGCGGTAAAAGCTCAATCAAACTACTTTTCATCTATGCACTTGATCGCTGTATTCGATTAACATAGATATTTTGAGCTCCTATACCTTTACCTTTCTATCATCCACCATCATTTCCACATTTTGGGGAGAAATTATTCGGTCCTTATATAAAGCAGAAAAAACACCACTTTACATGACGCTGATGCCTTTTTGTTTGCATTTGGCCCCAGAGAGCTCATTGGCCCGCAACCGGATACTCATCTCAGTTACCTCATTTTACACAGCACACGCCAATCTCCCCACAACCCCAAACACAATTATTGCACAACCTCACAATTCTCTCCTTCGTTTTTGGGGGAAACCACAGACACCATAGTAACCAACGCAAGCCCAGAACGTACCCGGCCCCACGAGGGAAGTGACCTTCACACCTCATCACCTGTGACATATCCGGGCACGGAAGCTCTTATCCTAAGGAGCACAGAAGAAAATTACCATATTGCCACAAAAACCACGACTCTTTTAACGGACAAAGGCAAATAACAAATGGGCAGAAGTAATTTTAATCAGTCACGTTGTCCGAGAATGAGCCCACTGAGATAGTTCAATGGGGCACCCAGGGTAGGTGTCGAGACAGGCGATGAGGGAGGGCGCGGAGACGAAGCACGCTATTGGTTGAAAGCGCCTCAGCTGGTCAGGAAGATTGGCCGCCGCAGCAAAGATGTTGGAACGAGTAGCGCCGCGGCACCGCCTCTGTTGCGTGACCACGTCCACCACTGCCTCACGGCCACACACCACTAACTCCAACTGCACCAAGTTGTCCATCGCCTTCGACACCACCTTCCTCTCGTAGAGGTACGCCGGGCAGCTTGATTTACAGAAACGCGAGTACTCTATTCAAAATTCATAAGTAGCCAGTTGAGTCGGCTTTGGAATAAAGTGGCGAATCTCAGAGTATGCTTTAAAAATAGACAAAGATATTCAACGCGCAAAAAAAGGTCGAGAAATAAACATCATTAACAGTGAAAAAAAAGGAAGGTGACATCGCCTAAAGCGGTCACCTGCCAATGAATGACATTACTTCCACTTATACAAGTCGAATGGAGAAGGCTGAAGCCCTATCAAATGCGTCGCTTAACCTATCTAGCATTTAGGAAAACTAAAAGTGAAACGTAATTGTTTAAATTCGGAGCAGCAATCAAGTAAGTAAAGTAAGTAGGTAAGTAAAAAGACCGTCTTTAGCCTAAACGGAACCACTAAATGGAGGTGAGCTTAAAATAGCTGTTATTGACTTCCGAAAGTAGGAACACATCGAGCACCAAGCTAATGCTAAAACCCAGAACTAATAGAACTGGCGTTCTCAAAATATAGTTTAAAATAATTGAAGCAGAAAACAGAAAACTGATACACGATTTACGAAACTGGAAGAAAGGACTTAAATGCACACCAAGTGTTCAGCTTTGACATAAGATGGTTAAGGTTTCTTTCAAAATTTTCCCAAGCAATGGAATAGAAATTCGCTAGTTACGTCATCACCTACCACTGAAGACGATCTCGAAGTTGAGTGGCTGACCCTCGTGAATATCGTGGAGCTTCACCATTGTAGTGACAAGAATTAGCTCCAGCAGGGAAAGACCTGGTTGAGTACAAACAGAAGTAACCACACCACCTTAAAAAGTTGCTAAAGGGTAGGTAATGCATAGTTCCTAAAACTCACTGAGTAGCTGAGATGTCTTTGCATCCTGGCACACTTTGGACACCACACTAATGAAGTTCCCGACGTCCAAATGTGGCTTCGACCCGTCTAGTTGCGCAATCAGAAGAGCCTTTGACACAAATATAAACAGACCAGTAAGCGGGGAGAGGAGAGAACGTCACTAGGCAAGAACAGAGTTGAGCTTACAATAGTATTTACCAGCTTCCTAACACAAGTAGAAACCTCCCAGGCCTGTCGTAAACAGTCCCTCACCAAGTCGTCTTCGAAGAAGGCCTCTACGTGGACATTCCACCGGGCCACGGAATCGATGAACTCCTTACAATCGGAAGGCTGCAGCTTGGTTGTTAGTTGCTGCAGGCTTGCGTCGTCGATGCGCAAGAGGCTGGCAGCGAGAAGGCAGTAGCGTTGAAAGGGGCTTACTCGACCTTCGCCAGGATCGTCACCTTCGCTGCCATCGTTATCAGTGCCACCGACACCGCCGGCGGTTGAGATATCTGTTATATGCGGTGCAGTCACAGGAATAATGTGGAGTTGGCGATGAGAGAAACGGGATTTCACCCGCTTTTCCAGCATTTCCATTATGTCCTACAATCACAACAAGTGGAAAAAGTAGCCCGAGGGAAAAGTTCAATAATCTTATAAACACTGATACGACATTCTACACATTTACACCAACACCAGTTAAGTTTGATAAGTTTTGGAGTTAAACTTAAAGGTCAGCACTATCAACAAATGAAATTACAGCAGCTTCCAAAAGGAAGTGAAAATGCACTTCAAACGCAGTGACAAAAGGCATCAACAGGGCAATAACATTAGATTCCGAATGATTGTATTAAGAGCATCTATACCAGAGGCACAAACTCGTACTAGCAACCAAACTAACTTCGTTGTCCCACAAATTCACGCTATTACTAGGATGCTGAGAAGCATGCTTGCGTATTTCGCACCCAACTTCATATCAAGGATAATCCGACCATCCACAAGGTGGGTAAAATGGAAAATAAGCAATCTTAAAGTCGACGTGCCAAAAAAACTACATTTGAATTCCTCATTTACAGCTATTGCCAAGACTGTACTATGCGACTAACTGATAAACCACGGTAATGAAGACCAACTCAGAACAAAGAAAATAGACAGACGACCTTAGGTGCCTCCTAAGTGAGATTGATTGAGAAGTAATTTGTTATTTGAAACACGTTGTATGTCAGCAATAAAAATAATAATAATAACGAGAGTTTGTTGGCATTACAAGTCACAGGACAGAGCATTAAGAATTGGAAGTGAGCTAAGGAGAATCAAAAACTTTGAGTCCACATAACATCCGTCTACCCGATTTCACTTAAGTATAGTAAAGGCAGCCACGTCACTAGTTTCATGGAACGAAATTCGGTTTCCTTGAAGGATAAAATAATGACTGGTAAGGAAGAACAATTTACACAAAATCGAAGACCACAAAAGCTCACCAGCCGACAAGTAACACCGATAACACAGATGGGAGCGCCATCAGCGTGACAACTAACATCGAGGAGGTTGTAGAGAAGGGCTTGATTACGGTGCGCCGCGAAGAGGTCAAACTCCTCTACAACTACGAGAAGGGTCTTCGAGGAAGTGTTGCTACCTGCACGTAGGCCCGCCAGCAGCCATCGCAACTGGTCCGCGAAGCTGCGCATTCGAATGTCCTCAGCTGCAGAACCGTCCTCACCACTCTTCATCTCCACATTCTCCTCTGCGGGAAATTTTAAAAGGTCCGTCTTCACAACGAGATCAGAGCAAACCCGTTGGAGCTGCTTTGCAATTGCATGAAGCGCCAGTCGGTCGTCCGTGTGAATAAGCCCTTAAATTGAACGAAATGATGTGACAGCATGGATGAGATCTTACCTCATCGAAATGCACGCAATGGCAAAGAATGAAGAAGCGTATCCGATGATTGTGGTTCTACATTTGTAATTAATTGGAACAAATTATTTAGTGATTACCAAACTAACATGTCTACTAAACTTCATGCATAAAATTAAAAGGAACACCTAACCTTAGACAACTAATTACTACCATTGAAGAATAGTAAAAGCACATGCAACTGTCAAAAAGTGCATACCATTGATATGTGCCTCGATTAAATTGTCCTTCACTACAGGATCCAGCTTTACTTTCTCTAATGCTTCCCTAAGGAGCTGAAATAAAAAAGGTGAGTATAAACACAACTTTATGATTGGAACCGAGACTCCATAGGTGCTCCAACGCACATGATTTTTTCCGCATCCCCTACGACCTATGATGAGCATGGAGTTGCTTACACCATTGATTACAGTGTCGCGAATTGTGTAGAGAACACGAGAAATCTCTTCCTCAAAATATAGTGTCTTGTGAGCTGAAGAGAGGATTCTCTCCCGTAGAAGAGTAACAATAGGCTCCATTACCTAAAGGCCTACATAAAATAAATGCTATTAAAGAGTTTGATAAAAGAGGAATGAAAAACCATATCAATTCATCCAGAAAGACCCCACTTCGATTAAAAACGGTAGTGTTCTAGAAAATTCGGAAATCGGAACAAGCATAGTCGGGGATTATGAGGAAAGGTAAAAATATGGCAATGGCATATGCACCAGAATATGCGAAGAAGTCATGGGTGCATTAATAAAAATCAAAAGAAGAGCCCAATAACCCTTGAAATTCGACCTTAAAACAGTTAATTGAACGACTACTTGATAAGCCACGCTTTTTACAAGACGACTACGAGAGTTGTAACTTAAGTGACAGGTGGAAGCAAAACGATTCGAGTAAATCGTATCAGTTTAAATATCAAATAAAACAGGTGACAAAAGCAAGACAGGACAATCACTGTTTTGTTAATGTAGGTAGGCGTGTTAGGTATGTACGAGACTTCGACTAAAGCTAAAACACAGGTACCTAGAAGTCAGAAATAACGAAGAATACCACGAAGAAAAGCCAGCAGCGCAGCCTCACTAGGCAGGCACAATGGGCAAAACAAAATTTCGAATGTACCACTAAACCTACATGGTCAAGTATGCGATGCAATAATATAAAACAAATTTTGCCTGTTTCAAAAGGTCCACCCTAAAAGTAATCAGTAAATACTTGTGTCTTGGAGCGACTGGTTTATTCTTTTGCGCATATTTCTTCTCAAGTAAAAGTAAGGATTGGCAACATAACTAACGAAAAGGTTAGTATTAATTTAGGGAGATACTGTAATACTAATGTTGTTTAAATTTTCCATTCAGAGAAGACGAGTCGAACCTTGTGATTGAGGCGTCGAGGTCCTGTAGCCCGGAGAGCTATTCCTTGCCCTTTCTTCCCCCATTTACCTATCCTAGTAAGCATATCAGAGCCAAATCAACTTGGGTATCCTAAGTGTACGAGGACCAGAAGAAATGAGGTCTTGTACTACATTACAGCAATAAATTCCGTTCAATTTGCAATAACATTTTCAAAGACCTTCCATGATTAATATTCCCTGCTTGTAAAGCTAATGATCCTACCATCGAAAATTTTTAAAACTAAATAAGGATCAAACACAACATTTGAGAAAATAATTAGGATACATCGAGCCAAGGTGCTCTGTAAATTTTAAGAACCACAAAGTGGGCAGATCGATTTCGGAAAACCTAAAAATTAGATCTTTTGCATAAATAAGGCTTATTGCCCTGAGGTGCACCTTTGAGAGAGTGAAATCTCTGCTTCAGACTCGTTTGTCTTCCTTAGTACCTAATTCCTTTCGAAACCTCCATTATTGATAATGAAAGAGCCTTTTTTGCCTAAATATAATTAATTAAGCTAAATTGTGCATTGTTTTGAGTTTCCACACCACTAAAATACCCAAACAAGATCTAAAGCGTGAATATGCGTTTGAAGATGCCTGGTAGTCTCAAGTTTGTGTGATTTCCGCTATGCTGCTGAGCCCTATCTTGTTGAAGGCGCAAAATTACAGCGTGTAAAGAATGCTTATCATGCTTAATACTTCCATAACTGAGAAATTAGCAACTGCGCAAATTGGAGAGTAACAGGCAGCGCCCCAATTTTTCCCTCAGGCTGTAAGAAGACACTTGAGCATTGGAGAAACTAATTGCTAACGCACAAATTCAAAGGTTTCTCGCTTAACACAATTTGGACTTTAAATACCATTACATATAGTGGGAAGAAACTTTTTGGGTTTATTGCTCTTTTTCTTCTTAGTTGGTTGAATTTTCAGGGCTTATGTTAGCAGCGACTTTCCAGAAGGCTTGCTTATACTGAAGATCCGTCATGTCTTATTAGATGGCAGCGTTGCAAACATGTATAACTAAGCTCTCGCAAATTTGGACAGGGGCTGTTATGCTTTTAACAATCGAGCTACAAGGTTCAGGGTCATTTTGACACTTTGTACCAATCAGGTTCACTCCTGGTGTACTTGTCGAAGCCTTGGGTCATTTTCACTCGGGCAATCTTGCAGCCACCCGAATGTCCGCGTCATCGTGTGGTTTGGGTGCTTCCAGAGAACAGCAACAGCAGGAGCTCAAAGTTCATATTGAAGTCCTCAAATCTTATTGGCATCGTTGTCTTATTAAGTCGAGTCAAAGTGCGTAAAACAAATATTCCTTAGTGGCCTTATAGGCGTTGGTGATGCATCTGAGATTTCATGCTACATCTTATTAATCGCCAAACTTTTGAAAAAAGACAAGTTTATCACGCAGTTGGAAGCAGGGTCGAAGGTCCATATTCTTTTCGAAACAGCTATTCAAATGCAGCTATTTGATCACATGTACGAACTGCTTGGACGATTTCACGGTGATAATCTGGAATCACTAAAAGAATCCTATCTCCAGTTCTATGATATACTACTTTCTCGTTCCTTTTGTCATTTATTTTTGAAGGAAAAGGTAACTCCATTGCATTGGATGATGAACTTTTTGTTCTAGATATTCTATGCTTGTCTTTCTCTTTGTAGTTCTTAGTTCCTATGATGCGGACGCTAAACTTGTGCAGCCATCACTCTTCGTTGAGAATTGAGAACTTGCTTCTTCAGACACTTCACACAATTTGTGTTGCACTCCATCATCAAGCACACTCATCTAGACCCCGTAATTGTGAATTCGAAAATGTGCCAGGCGAAATATTTTGGTCAATTTGCCTCAATCCCCGCAGTTTCGTTCAAAAACCGCATTTAAATAGTGGTGATGATTCAAATCCAATCTTAATAGAGAGTATGTTTGTTAATTTCCAAATTTTGCGTATCTGTTAGCGGAATGCTCACCTTGCGAAATGCAGTCTATTTGTGATCTGCTGGTAAATTATGCCCACCGTGACGGGAGTTTGTGTTGGTGGTCGCGCGACTCCTTGCTCCTGCTTGCAGCCTCTTCTACTACAAATCATAACGCTGGTTATTATATGGCTAAAAAGTCATACCTATGCGAAGTATTATTGACAATTTCCTTGCGTCTCACATACACTAATAGGTGCTGGTGATGGATATGGTTTTGCTCTTCAATAACATGCCACGGCAGCTTGTTAGCGGCAACTCTGCGGATGAATGGCCTTCTCTCGTTGCAGGATTCGAAGAACAAGTACTGCGAGACCATTCCGTGCAGAAATTTTTGGACCACTATGAATTTTGCTGCTCCATTTTGGATGTAGGCTTGCCGAAAATCGAGTTAACTGTTTACCATTTAGATGTCAAACCATATGGTAAAAGAGAATATGTTAAGCTGCCTCTACAGGGGATTTCTTTTACCTGTACTAGCTCCAGCAATTCAATCGGTAAGCAGGGGTAATCCGTTTGAGATATCTTCATTTTTCATCACTGGATAGGCATCGGAACCCGAAGTAGCGACAACCACTGTCTATTTTGATCGTATTCTGTGGAAGTCCAAAGGGAGTATCTTGCTGCCTTTCTTGTTGCGTTTTCTTTTCTCCGAACGAAATGTGCCTCATTCTGACAGTCTGACTCCCCAAACCTTCAGACACGATGTGATTCAAGCCCTGGAACAGTCGTTTCCGCTCTCTGAGGCCTTGTTTTATCGTGGGACAAGCACGTCGCCAAGTACCACAAACGCAAACACTTACATGGACGTGCTGCTGAAGCGCATTCACTGCTGCAATTCTTTGGTATGTGGATCATGTTGCGTGGAAAGGGTTTGAGGCAGAAAATACCAAGTCTGTTTTCCACTTTTTAAATCCAGGAGCAGTTTGTTATCACGAAAAACAGGCTGTATTTTTGTGATGCTTTCCGTGAAATAAGGCTTTGCAATTTGCTTATTGCTTCAAAGAGAGGTGTTGTTTGGAATAGAAACGCACTTCGTGTGTCAGGAGGTTTCTCGTCATTAGAAAAGGGTAATATTTGAAACTTATCTTGCCCTTGAGTAGAATTTTTCCCCATGTTCTACCTCCGTACTTAGTTATTTTTATTCAGTCAGCTCATCATTTATGCTAATTGACCGCTGGCTGCGCTCGGCTGATTGTTTAAACAAATCATAATGTAACGCATTTTATCGTTCTTTCCGCCGCAATCTTTGGCTACTGAGCTATCTGCATCGACATTTCATTTTCACCATTCTCTTAACTCCTACAAATTCGCTGACTAAATAGTGTCAACTTTTCATACAATTTGTATCTTCGATGAAATGTTCTTTTGACGTTTGATCCTTGTGATAAAGAATTTTTTGATGCAATCCATTCTATATGGCGGTGTTGAGACCTTTTGATAGCAGTGGGAATTATTATGATTCCGGCCTTGAAAGAGGGGTTCATTCGTTCAAGCATTTCTCGTGGATTGATTCACTTAGTTTAGGGATGTGAAGGTACTGTTTGCATACAAACTAGCCCATATTTGGATAATTGACACTTAGAACCGCCGTTTGAGGACTACGACTTCGTGATTACCTGCGTTTTTTCTTTTAAAATAATGGTTGTGTTTGAGAGCCTCCGCGAAGGCGCGTGCGGTATGTTCAGAAGCTCCCAGTTTTGGCGATCATCTAACGTTACGTGGCTTACGCCAAGTGTATTCCATTATGCTAGGTGACATTCTTTTGTGTTTAATTCTTATTGACTACGTAAGGCGTATATTGGCTCACTTAATGAAAAAAAGGGTAAAAGACTTGGCATTTTACTCAATATTCAGCTCCCTTTCTCGATTTTTGGTAAAATACTATCCATACCATGCAAAGTTTTACCTCTGCTATCAATGATGCAGGTAACATGATCATTTGAGTACGTTAAAGCAAGATTTAGCATTTGCTTCAAAGGGTCTAAAATGCTTTTTGCAATTTTGGTATCCAAACTATTGATTTGTGTACCTCCTTCGTCAACGTTTTCTGCAATAAATCCCTGTGCATTTGAGGCTGTCGTGTACGATTAAATCTCTTTAAGAAAACCTTTGGATGTATGGTTTAATTTATGCTACCGAAGTGATATTCCACTATTCGATTCAAATAAGTTGGCGTTTCAGTGTCGGAATATTCATCTGCCAAGTGACTTCAACCCCGTGAATCCCCTGTTGAGGCTTTCAACACGGCGACACTGCTAGTGGTGGCGTCCTTTTTTGCTTGTACATGTGTGTGGTTTCTGAACCTGCATAACCGAATTTTTTTTACCACGCTACTAGCATTAATCAAGAGGATAGAGTTCCGGGCACTAACTGATTGGCGACAACGCTTTGGAGTTGAAAAATAGCATGCGGTTTCTTCCCACTAACTATTGTAGCGAATTGACTCTATTAGTAGAGACTAGGGTTTTTTCCTAATCCCAAGATTTAATTGCGGTACTTTGTCATTTTGTTTTGTCCTGTGCCTTTATATGAACATTTGCTCAACAAATAAGTACTCCATTTCAAATTCTAGCTAAAAATAGTACATAGTTGTACCTGAAAAACATTATGGTAATGCTCGTTGTGCAAAGGCCGCAATTTCCCAAGTTGAGCGTTTTCATTTAATGAGCATTCGAGCAAGTGTCGTTCAATGTGGAACACTTAGATCCCTTGAGATGTTTATTTATTTCAGGTTGGTATTGCAACCCTTTCTCTGCTGAACACAATTGTTGATCTCCTATGCGAGGACGCTATTTTTGAGCTTGCACTAAAGTAAGTGTCATTCTCCTTTACGGCTCCCAGAAAGCCCACTGCTTCATTTGTCACACTTTGGTGTTTCCTATCATGTTATGTATTTTAACTGTAGTTTCCTATATTGGCGGTTGAATGGAAAACTTTGGTATTTAAGCCGCTGCGTTAGCTTAATTATCATGGGTGAGGTTGAATTGAACTTGCTTGTACAGCATGGCAATGGCAAGAGTCAATTCTGATGCTGTCATTTCGATATAGATTCTATCTCATAGCGAACATAGCTAAGATTGTGCATCTACTGCAATTGTTGTGAAGAATTCATGTTAAAACTGCTTTAATTTTATTCGATTTAATATTTTCTTTCAAGACGATTCAAAATGCATGGATGCATTGTTAGTACCATACGTTTCCATCAACCTTTGAAATTACTCATTTTCCAATATGTTTATTGTTAAAACTGCGCAAACTGGGGTACAGGAATCAGGCGCATTCAATTTATCAAATAATATGCAAGTTCAGTCATGGGCGCTTGACAGCTTAGTCACCCATAGATGGGAACGAACGCGCGAAACGTTCCTTACCCAGTGGTTAAATAGACAATGTTTGGTCAAGGAACAAGCTTTCTTTTGGTAAATTTCACAAATGTTTGATTAGGAGATGCGGAGAATTCTAAAACTTTCCCTACCTTTATATGCCGAAATAAATTATCAGATTGATGGTAGGAAGATTTAAAATGAGGCCAAAATTATAATAGGAGATTTGTATTAGCTGTTATGGAGTTATCATTGAAAATCTCAGCTGAACTGCGATACACGTTGTAAAATCGGTCCGAAATAGTGGAGATGTAGAATTTTTGCCATGAAAATGCACACACGCATGCATAGGCGGGATTGCGATTCACCTGTGCGCAGTCCCATTTGTGTGAATGCGCATGTCCCAGTTGCGAATTCCTCACTTCCTATGAAACTTTATAACAAGGCTAGGCTTTGCGGACCAGATTCGGTCAGCATAATTTTGTTTACACTTGAATGTTTTTCGATTATAAAATCCTGTGCTGTATGCATAAGCATCCATGAACCCTATTTTGTAATTGATTTTGTAGTACTGTTGTTCTCGGTTCACAGGTGCTAATAAAATGTTGCTAGGTTTGGATAAACCTACTTCCCGTTTTTCACTTGTTTCTTTAGGTGGATTAGTATAGGATTCTTATTTTTACCCAATTCCATTGTAAGTGGTGAATATTATTTGTGACCAGTCTTTTGGCGATTATTATTGGTCAAAGTCAAGGTCTTCCTTGATTCTTCGTCGAGGGGCAGTGTTTTGCATTATATTCATTATTTTGCGGTAATTGGCTAAAATTTTAGCAAATCGAGCAATTTGCCTGGTGCATAGCAGGTCTGCATTTTGCAAAACGTCGGTCCTGTCACCCGACAGAGCACTTGGTGTACCAAGGCGCTCCGAAGTGTGTGATATGAGTACTTTTGCGGAATTTTATTTTATTAACGCTTTGCTTCTGCTTAAGGGGCTATTGTTTACGCGATTGACGATACTTTTATCAATTTTTTACTGCGCCCACTTGAATTTTACTAATTTAGTAGATGCTTGTACAGCTTAGATGACGATAATATAGTGCATCATCGGTGGAATTTAGGAAATGTTAATGATAGATGGGCTGGTTCGTACTTCCGAATTGGTGTTTCGTGGGTGAGCTGGCTGTTCACATGATCTTATTCGCTTGAAGTCAATTGTTTGCTAAACCACGGATGCAAGCAGTCATTATCGTACAAAATTTGTATAGTCGCTGGCTATTTTGTTAACAATTCATTATTTTTAGTGGAGACCTTTTGTTTTTAATTTTCATTTAATAAATACGTATGAAAACAAACGAGATCTGACAGAACGGCACCCTTGGTAGAAGCCGAGTTCGAGTATGTGGCTTCGTAGTCCCACACAATTCATCCATTTATGAATGCTTCTACTGAAAACGAATATCAGCATGCATAAAATTAATAAGACCGCTTTTTGTCATTTTTGTGCGGAAAGTGGACTACTAATAAAGTTGTTTTCCGATCGAGCATCTAATATCATAATTTTTCCAAGTGCCCATCGCCGGTTTTATTTTTGTTTGAGGTATCGTTTTTCTTAAAAAATAATTTCTCAAAACAGCATCATTTGTTTCCTTTTTGACTCCCAGGCACCTCCTTCTAGGAACACAACCGGCGCTAGGCAAAACAGCTACGAACCCGTCTACCTTCTTCGCGTCCGCAGGTCAGTATTTGGCTCTCATTCCGCCATACTCTTCCTTTTCTATTAGTCGCTCCGATGAGAGCATTTCTGGCCCAGAAGGGAATAAGTGGCATGGTGGTCTAAATGGTGATCTCTCGTCTTTCCATGGTGAGTTTTGACCCTATTTATCTATTGGTTGCCCTATAGAACATGGATTTTAACTGGTGCTGGTTTTTACTCGTTTCCCATTTTATAAGTTTAATAAATAGGCTTATTTTTTTTTTATCATTTGAAAAATCACGAATTGTGATCATTGTATCGAAGATCCTTTTCTCCCCACCTGATTTAAACATGAAGCACTGACGAAAGGAAATCAGTACAATTTCTGGGGATGAGATAGAAAGCGAATAATTGCCATACACAATAGTACAATGGATCTAAACTATCGTCTCATAGTCACTTTAAAGGAGCCTCACAAAACTTCTGTCAGGGGTCTCACCTTGACTAGATTTTCCAAGAAAATAGAAGTCGGTTGATTATAACCTTCGATATGGAGACGAAATGACAAATTTGTCTTGCACTTTTATAAGCATAGAATCGTGGTAAGTTATGCGAATTGCCAAGATGCTTCTCCTTCTCGACATTACCGACAACTAGCCATGATTGCTTTGGATAAATCATTTTTTCAATTTAGAAAAGGATTACATTAACTTATTGTCAAACGAGGATGTTTTTCCTGAGCATGTGGTTGCTTCCTCAATGCAATTTGGAAGATTAGCAGTTATTCCTACATTGGTAGAACCGAAATCTCTATGCTATTATTTTAATCACTACTATCAGTCAAGGCTTACATATGCTTTTTATTATTTTTAAAAAAGAGATTTTATTGTGATCTAATACAAATCCATTGCTTTAAAATTCGCATACTCTGAGGGAAGTACCGCACATACGCAAAACTACAGGCCACAAGAGTTATATCATGTCATTCAGGGCCTGGAATTCTTTATCGGTGTATTGTTTTTGGGAAAATTAAGAAGAACAAATGCCAGCAAACCGCATCATCCCCCTTTAGTCAAAATCGTCAAAACTAACACAGGAATGATTGATTGTGACCATTCCCTAATGTGTGACTTTCGCTTCAAATGCCCTCTATTAAGCCGGTCGTCATATCAATGCGTAGATTAAGTACAAAGCACCCTTCACGTGAATGCATCCATTAGAACAAAGCTAATGTCTTATTGCCTTTATTCCTTTTTCCAAGTCAATGAGGCAGTTTTGGCACAGTTGGAGATGGAAGTAGAGGCAGGAGTGAATGGTGAGATGAGTGAATCGCGAAAATGGTATGAGAGAATGTCGGGCTGCCTCTGGGAGGCTCGAAAACTCATTGCGGAACGCAAGGCCGCCTGTGGTGACTGGCGTTTTCCCTATGACCTCGGAAATCCATCATCGTCAATGGTGCGTTGTGATTCTGACATGTGGTGAAAGTAATCAGCAATAAGTTGGACGGGTTCAAGATTACTTTAATTCGTTTCATGAACTGAAATTCCATTTAAATTCGAGCCACAATTGTGCCCCTTGCTTTGATGAAAAACTAATTGCAGTTTTTTTTGCCAACTTTGTTAAGACAAGCTACGCTTAAGTCAAAGTACACTTTATCGTTACAATGAAATGTGTTCCTGCGAAATCTTTTTCGTAGCAAATAATATGCACTTTCAATAGCCACTTATTGGAAAGAGGAAGCTCTCTTTAAAATATTTCAATTTTCTAGCCACTTTGCAGTATTCTCAATGAGCTAGTCTCTACGCGATTTTACTCATGTTAAATTAATAGAACCTGCAGTTTTTTGGGCATTTTGATAAACACCTCCTTTTGTTCAGTAAATGTGGTATTGTGTGATATTGATAGTTTTGTACTACATTAACATTGTTTTATCTTCGCTTATCCTAAGACTGACTTGGCTTTTACTTTTCTATGCTGCTTTCTGCGATGAAATTGCTGGTTCGGGTAGTAATATCCAGGTAGTGCATATCTTTTGTCGGTGGATCTAGGCGAAACTACTCATGATGAAGTTGGACATTGTGAATTTAGATTTACTCTGCGTATTATTTATTGCAGATTCTTTCGGAGCTTCACCGCCCTTAGGGAAAATTGTTTGATTTTTATTTGAACTTCGTACTGAATAAACGCCTATTTAGTTACGAAAGGATTACCTTTTATCCATTTTATCATTATTGTCATAAAACAGGACTCACCATGTTTTGACTGAAAATAACCAAAATATGTTTGGGTTTTGCAACCTTTTATAATGGGTCCAGTCAAAGTAGTACCGCTCTTCATTACATTGAAGTTCGTTCACAGTTTTATTTGCATTAGAATCACTATATCTACTTCACACTAGTACATTTTCCTAATTAATGTTTTAGGCATTGAATGCTCACATGAACGAAAATCCTCTGACACCTTTGCCTCAGGAGGGACTCCAAGCCTCAGACGACATATTTGAAGATTTCACTGGTGGGAATGCTGCTAAATTCTCCTCGAACAGCGATCGGAATCAGTGGGAGCTGGATGGCCTCAACCAGATAGTGATTGAAGAAGACAGCATTTTGGCCGATCTGGAGCGTTTCAGCGCCCTCCTGCGCGAGCCTTCGTGTTCCGCCTATAGAGCCAAGTCGATGCATACCCAAAAGACCGCCTTCAAGTTTCGACGTCATCACGAGGTGGCGCCTGACCCTGAGGAGATCAAACGTACTTCCTCGCTCTACAATATCACCTTCGTGGAAATGGACCCCGATGAAGTGACTGAAAGTGCTGATGTCGGCACATCTCCTTCTGCGGTGGGGATGTTTGGGAGAATGAGCCGGTCCACTATGATTCGTCAAGCCTCTGCGTCATCGACATCTTCAACATTGTCAAGATCTGTAGAGCTTAGCCTCACCGAGTCGTCGGAACAGCTGCCAGCGGGTGTGGAAGAGATTGACGGAGGTGATGTGTCTGAACTGATGCGATATCTCGACCGACTTCCTGGTGGTAATTCTGTTGATGGTAAATCGGTGGAGGCGAGATTTTCAGCCTGCATGCGCCAGTTTGGTGGGCAAAAGAGGGAGGATGAGGAGGAGCAGGACAAAGTAAGAAATCCTGTAAAGGTGAATGATTCAGGAATCGCCAGTGTTGAGTCGGCCCTAATGAATACTTCAACGGTTATTAAAAGTTCTTCAGTCAATTCGGCTCCCTTCTACTTGGGTAGTTGCGTCTTTGTTCTTGATCATTCACTTTTTGAAAATGTTACTATCTGCAAAAGCATTTGTTTGTTCAATATTTCCTCTACAACTTTTGGACTGTTGGTTTATTCGTTATGCTATATCGATTGCGGTCAAAATTTGTTTTCATCAGTTGAAATCCTCTTTCTGTTTTACGTAATTTAGATGTATTAAATTTACTTCGTTGCTTTTTGATATTTGATGTGGTTAAGGTTCTCCAATTTATCTAAAAATCATTTTTTCATTCTGATCAAATGTTCGTTTTCATAATAAAAGTTTATTTGCCTTAGATAATATGGTCGTTAATTTCTTGCCTTAGAATTCGAATATCGATGTTCGTGAAAAATTTTACGGCACTATTAGGAGTTAATGAAGCAATAAGAATTACTGAAACTGGATTTTCTCAATTTAACAAGGGCTATTTAACAATTAGGTTCATCAATGCTACCCATGTATACATTAATTTCCTTGATAATTTTAATGCGAAAAACTGTATTAAAACTTCATAAAAATATGCGCCTTTCACTGTTGAATACAGATACCACTAAATACGGGAAGTGATCTTAAGCTAACCAATTTGAATCGCACAACTTTGCAAGTTGTGAAAATATTTCAAATATTTGCTGAAAACTGTTTCTGGTAGGATATAACGGTAGTATTGCAGACTTTTCATACTCGTGCAAATTTCGAAATTATTTGAAATAATGTAAATGTTGTCAACCGTTTTAACTGAGGGCACACTGATATGAGAGTATTTTTAGGAAAACAATTTTTTCAAAGTTGAACACTTATGGTCGACTTAAACTTTTTCTTGTATTTTTCTTATTGAGATGGATTTGCTGTTTACATAATTTATATGGTTGAGATAAATGACCGTATCTGATACACGTTGAAATAGCCATTTTATGATTTCCCTTTTGGTCCGATGATAGTGTTAATCATGACATTAGAACTGCAGAAAGTTTTAGATATCCTGAAGGCCACTTATAGACTCTAAATTCTAATCAATGTACCTTTTCTATCCCGCTCTTTTCGATAAAAACTATGAAGCTTGCTACAGACCACCTTCCTCCTCAGTAACCCTCTAGGAGTTTGCATGGGGCCTGTGATGCGGCTGTCCAATCGGAGGTTCTTTCAGTTCTCGATTCTTTTCAATTTTAGCTATTTCCTAACACCTGTGATGTGTTTGTCCCGACTATACCTTCTAAGTTTGAATAATCTTTTTTTGTCGTTGTATAACCCTGTTAGGCCCTCTCCTGACTTCCCTGATGCAATTAGTCTCATGTATGCCCATGAATCACCTCTATGCCAACCTTCAATTGACTCGACTAGTCACCCACTTGTTGGCATTGCCGCTCCCCCTGGTGCGCCTGCAACTGCTTCCGCTTACTGCACAGGAAGGCACGAGCCTTGACGGCCGGTGGCTCTACACAACCCTGATGGCGGTGCGTCAGTGGTTTGACTGCTTTATCAACCTTCACTTCTCTTCTCCTCTCACCACTACTCTCAGTAGTGGAATCCCCTTCGTCGGTTTTCTTGACGCTCTCAGAGAGGCAGTTTTCCAGCCTCCAAGGCGCTCACTTATTGAGTCCCACGTGCTCAGCTCACCTGGTGAGTTTGTTTTTCGTTTAAGGCCCTTGTATGAGTAGCAGCAGTCATTGGTTTTCTTCTTCACACAATCTATTATTGTCATAAGCCTTTGGTAAAAACCCATCTGTGTGAGTGCGTTCTTGCTAACCTACTGTCTAAAACCGTGGTTTAAATTCATTTACATGCGGTGAGTAAAATCTCTTGATGCCTTGGATGTCTGTGACCCCAGAAAGCTTTCTTGTTTCGATTCTTTGGGAGCTTTCTACAGCTGATTTCCGGAGATTATAACGCGGTCGTTGCCAGTGCTTATGGACCAAGTTTAAGGAACGGAAGTAATTATTTTATTTCCCAATCATTGAGGTAGTCATGTGATAATCGTGCATCATTTGAAAACAAGTTTTTTCACAGATCAATGTCTGTTTAGCCAGCGGTTGCATGATGTTCGCTTGTGGGTACACTTTCCAGATTGTTGGATCATTTATTTAACAACGCGTGGTCAAGCAGACCCTATGAAATAACGATTCCTGAAGCTTCAAATTTGGCCCTCGTAGATGTAATCAGGAAGTGAATTTCATCTTTCTAAATGTTTCCACAAGAACTGAGCGCTGTTTGGGCATGGCTTCTTAAGTAGTGCGCGACCGCATTGCTAACCGCTTTCTTCCCATCCCACTCCGGTAAAAGCCCGTTAACCTTCACGAATAGGTCTAGATGAAGCATCTACTCCAAAATTTTACATATTTTAAAGGGAAATTTGGGCAACAAGAATCGTGATAATGTAAATGTGAAGGTCGTTCCTTTGATCGGACACTAGCTTTATCTAGAGTTTCAAAAAGCGCTTTAGTTCGTTTGACATTCCGATTGATCGCAGCAATTTTTTAATTCATAGTGAAGTTTTTTTCTTTTTTTAAGTGCCTGGTGTGGTATACATTCTAAAGCTAAAACGTTGCCCGAGGAAAATATTTCTGGCTGAGAAATTGGTGCCTTAAATGGTGATTGAGGTCATTCTGAAGATACTCTTAAAACAATGTTTTAATGAATGAAAATAGATCTTTTACGACTTGAAATAAATGTGTGGCTGTAACGTCTGATTCTGTTTTTTTAGAATTTGGTAAATTAACCCCGGAGTCCACTTTGATTGGCTACCTGTCTAATCCATCTGTGGTCCCTTCACAGCCACCCAGTCACCAAGACGCATGTTCTGGTTGCTCTCTCGTCTCCGCTTGAACTCCTTTTCCTCCTCCTCCACCCCTTCGCCTTCAACAAGCTTGTCGGCGGTTGTCAGTACGAACGAGTTTTCTGACTGGCGAACACAAGCCATGGAACGCTTGGGTGGGGTTGCATGCGGCAAGGCACCCGGCACAGGCCCCCTAAAAGCCGTTAAAGACGCAAAGTCACGGGGTGTTCTAATGGCTCTCTTCGTCTTTGAGGAGTTCTGCCGAGAATTGGCCGCCCTCTGTCTGGAACATAGCGTCGCACTATAGCCCACTACTCCCGTTCATCTCTAAAACTCCGGCTGTGAATATCTAGAGAGCACCTATGATTTCACATTCGCTTTTTTGCTTTTTCTTCCTGACGGTCTTTCAAGTTCTTTTAATGGTCGGTGTATAGCACTTTGTCTTCATCCCTTTTTAAAGTTGTGGTTCTTTTCTTTACTTCCTCGTCTAAGAAGTTTTTTTTTCGAACTATAAAATCTCTTATTAACAACCAGTTTGAAATCGTGGTATATTCAATGGCAAAGTGTAAACTCAGTGATAATTTCTAATAATTTGTTATTCCGACGCGTGAACGAGGGCGCAGTGGTTGTGCTGGTTGATTTAACGACTTGTGTGTCAGCTCTTTATTAATGTGGACTCGCCTTCGGGGGCCGCGTCTCAATTTACGTCCGAGTATTTGATCGTGATCGTGATTGGGTCACATTATACCCATTTGTTTATGCAGCGACGTCACTTTCCACGAATTCCTAGGAAACGGAACGTAAACGGTCAAAAGGAGCAGGGTTTTTTCCGCAATTGAACGGCATGGGAATGTGGAGTTCAGCAGGTGGTGTCATCTTAGGGAGGGGGGGGGGGAGTGCTGTGGCGCTTGTGAATTGTTGTCTGCTAGTCCGTGACAGTTTTAGGTCGCAGTGCGCAATGACACGATGATAAGGAGAAACCGTTATTTCAGTTGTTTAAAAAAATAAGTATCTGACTTCCAGATCACCGCACATTTGCAAAAAGAAAAGGGACGCTGATTTGTAAATTACCACCAGAAGGAGCAAGCAGTCGTAGTACGCCTGAGTAAATAAGAGTGAGAGCGTACTATTTTAAGAGCCCATGCAAAAATAAGATGCGTTTATAGAAGTATTTCGTTCTAACTTACGAAAAATACAGTAGGAGGAAACTAGGTTACATTTCAAGTGAATGAATGTAGTAGCGAACACATCGCTGCCAAGCTGTACAGAAAAACGACAGAGTCAAATGATTACAAAAGTTCTGATTAATTTTTATCGGATAAAACATTACCCTATTTATGAGAGGGAATTCGGGCTAAGTTCTTACTTGTCTACCTTAGCTAAACCCTGGTAAAGAGTGGGTAGACAGCAACGGCCCCATTTCTTCATAGGCATTTAAAATTTTTATTGATTAGTGCTGATGTCAGTGGTTAAAAATTAAAAACGTGAACTAATTACCAAGCTTCTCCAAATGCGTGACATAATTTTATAATCGCTCTCAATATCACAGTGAACGTGAAAATGATAATGCCAGTTAAATTTATTAATCAAGTAACACCCCGCGTCACTTTGACCAATTCAATTCATTTCAATCAGGCAGCAGATTATCAACAGCATAGTCGTCAGCGAATTCTTTCGGAACGGAACGGCGTGTTTTCACCGTAGTACGTGGTCGCTCCACGGAGGGCCCCAGGGGGTCTACGTAGGCCACTTCCATGGGATTCAGGGTGCTAGAGCGGTACTGCTGACGTGAATCTTCATGTCCATCTTCGTCCTCTGCGTCGGTGTCGGGCAGCTGAAGCGACGACGAGGACGCTGCTGGCGGCAGTCCATTGGTTAGACGAGATGGGACGTGGCTGGAAGATCTTGTATAACTGCCTTGCATTCGGCGTCTTGTGGTTGCGCTGCTATCACGACTGCCTATAACTAAGCACTCTTCAGCCAGCACCATCTACACAACTGTCAGCATTCCAAATCTGCTATTTTTCTTATTTGGTTAGCTAGTTTAAAGTTGTGGTCTAAGCACTTCCATCCAACTCCCTCTTACGAACGTTCAGAATTTGTTTATTTCCCAAAATTGGCAAGATTTTACAAATCGTGAATAGTTTTGATTTTATGGTGGATTTATTAGTGGACGGAAAAGGATGTTGAGACATCGCATTTTTCTTTAAGAATTGCAGAAAATGTTAACTAAGCAAATGACGCTTCAGTCTTTTTAAAGTTGTTAATTTGAGAGGGCTCCAAAGACCTGTCATTTTAAATAAGCGGCTAAATAACTTTTCTGAAAGTACTCATGCCGATTGCCATGAAATGAGAACATTGTCTAGTAGCCGAAAAAATATCGTGGGATGTTCGCCCATGCTTTAATATTCGCTAGGAGCTATGGAAATTCAGAAAGTTTCATGACTTAAAAAAACAAAGTAGCTATTCATTTCAATAAGTTCAAATGTAGAGTGGTTTTCCAGTCGACATCGATAATTTTTGTGAAACAATATTTTTTGGTATTAATAATTCATCTTCACAGTTCAACAGAAAAATGAATATTCCAATTCTAAAGTACCATAACGGGGCAGAAAAACGAATCTAATAATTTCGAGAACCATTTGCTCACCATTCATTACTTTCTGAGGCCAAAACTTCATCGGAATACTTTTAAAATAAAGTCCTTCTTCTTAAGTAATAATTAGACAAATTTAAAACTGACCGCAATGAAGTCAATTAAGCTTTACGCTCATAACCTTTGGTAGGAACGACAGTGATTTACCTCCACTTATGCTGTCAAGGCTCTCGCTTGGCTGCCCAAAAGCACCAATGTTAAAGGGTTGACGGCTAGAGGCAGAAATCACTCGTTGTTCACGGGCCTCTCGAATTTTCTCCGCTTTCTTCAACCGAGAGAGGTATTCGTCTGTTTCGGGCAGTCCCATATCTTTGTGTAGTCTAACGAGAAACTGAAGACCTATAAGCCGCGTAATGCAATTTGACGGCGAGTTAAAATCATGAAGTATTCCAATGGACAATGCATAATTGTAATATCAACTTGTGAAGATTTAGATGGAATTTTCTATACTATAAATGGACAAAAACAATCTTACATTGTAAGCAATTTCAGGTATTAGCTTTACAAAATCCACTTATGCAAGCCAATTTCACTTAATTATCCTTGTTAATTTTGATTTTCAATGTCCCTATACTATTAAGAGGGTGTCGGACTCACATTCAATATTTTCTGGAAATTTACTGTGAATTTTCTTGTACATCTCGAGAGCTTGTTGGTAGTTTCCACTTTTTCGATGGCAGGAGGCAATCATCAGTTGCCACTTTATTTGGTTCGGTCTAAAATGTAGAAGTAAGGCTAAATGCTTAACTTCGGTAAAAAGCAAAATCTTCACAAAAATACGGCGGAAAAAGGCTTATTGTAGTTCCTTCACTATGCACTACTAAGTGTTTGCTTGATCAAAGTCAAAATTTTAACGATGCATTAAGGTGTTAAAAAACTAGGTCCTAATATTTTTAGGTAATTTTAGAAGGAAACGATTATTTCAAGTTTAAGTCTTACATAAGTAGATTTCTTTAACAATTAATGCAGACTAAGAATGTCCACTTCAAAATACCAAAAAAGTGCCTCTCTTTTCCTAAAATAATTAAAGCTATGACCGCAAAAGATTATCATAAAGATCTACCTATGAGTAAAAATATTGAAATTCAAAACTTTTTAAAGTTGAAATCAAGACCCAACAATTGGGACAATTACCTGACAAATTAGCATTCATACGACAGTATGTAAAATTTTATAACTGTCAAAATATGTGATGATTTTACTCACTGCATCAACGCGGCACGTTCAAAGTAGCCGATGGATTTTTCGCAAAACTGAGACTCAACGTAGTAGGCACCAAGCCATTCAATCACTTCGAAGTTGCAAGGATAATACTTAAACGACTGAAATTTATGAAAACGACAGCATTAGCTCGTTCTGGGACGTAATTTGTGTAAACAAATTGCAATTGACGCTCACGTCGTAGTAATAAGAGAAGGCCTGGGATTTATCCCCGATTCGCTCAAAACAGTCGCCACAGTGTTGCAAAAGAAAGGGATCTGATGGGATAAGTCCGTGAAGTTGAAGGAACCTGCAAAGGGTAGGCACCCATAAAAGCTTTATTTCATTTCAAAAAATGGGTCGCCTAAAATTATTTAAACAAAGCGATACAATGGCACGAATTTGGCGGGAGAAAGCCTGGAGATAATGGTCCCAGCAAAGGATTTGAGAATATAAAGAATCATCCACAAAAGGAATTGAATTTTATTTGTAAACTAACTCCTGACTAAACGAAAAGGATAAGCTAAGATTTACCAAAAAAACTACGTAATACCCATTGAGTATAAATGTAGTTTGCAAAAAACGAGAGAGCGGTTTAGGGAAAAGATGATTTGCGCAATTACCCAAATTTTTTGGATGATTTCTTACATATAAGTGAATAAGTCAAATAAGTGAGCAAAACACTATTCCTAATGTGCCCTTTGTAATCCACATGTCACAAAAAGAAAAAAGTATAGTACTCAACAAATAAAATATTAAAACGAGTGTTTAAATGAAAATTTTCATATAATGCAAACAATTATTTTAGTTTCAGCTATAAGCACTCTTGCACAATTGATGGAGAAGCTTTCGCCCGCATATATCTGAAAGAGGATGACCTCCCCTCTTTCACACCCTAGAGGTACACAGTAAGGCGCATGTAGGAAATTGTTGCAATCCCTATGCAGCAAGAGACATTACAATAGGTCACGACAAAAGGCTAACCTACCAGTCTTGGGACTGCGATAGATCCCCCATCCGCTCGTAGATATCCATCATCTGGTACATCACCAAAACATTGTTGGGAAGCATTGAGTGTATCTTGTAGAAGGCATCCAAAGCCTCCTCCAGTCTGTCAAGTTGTTTGGCCACTAGACCAAAATTGTATAGTGCCTCCACACAAGTCGGATCGTCCTGTAGGGCTTCACGGTAGCAGTCGCGTGCCCTGTCCAATTGCCCCTGCTTGAATAAGATGTTCCCCTTATTCACCAGAGCTGCAGCGCAAAAGGGCATCGTTTGGGGTATTTCAGTCTTAGCAAAATCTGGACACCAAACATCCGATCTGCCTTGTGTTAGGACGAGGAGCCTATTAAGAGGGTTTATATTTTTAAAGATTTGAGTGCTCAGTGAATTTACTTTTCAGAAACCTGAAGCATCCAGAATCGATTTATGCACTTACGTTTCATAACCGTTTTAAATTTTTTGTAACTCTTGTGTATCTACTAGGAACAAATCTTATTTAAAATAATTTTCCTACCTAGGTCGTCAAAACAGTTGGCAAGGGCTTAAAATCGCACTTTCTATTGAATGCGATGCAGCGATTCAAATTAACTATAATAATGAAAACTTTTATAAACCTAAATGACCTAAACAGATAACTTGAAAAAATGGTTCAAAAGGCATAAATTAGTAAGTTGGCATCTTTGAGACTTCCTATATGAGGAGATGATTTCAATTCAAGTCAACTAAGGTCGCTTTAAATGATGCCTGGGTTTTAGGTATACTTTACAAGATCTGACAGAACCACAACATAGTAATATTATTCTGATGAAATACTAATCTTTATCCTTGCAAAATTAAATGAACCAAAGAAAATGGATTTTGACGTCCAAACGATCTGGAGTAAGTTTATTTCACCAACTGGACTTTTCCACCCAAAGGGTCGTTGGAATTAGTTAAGGGAAGCAAACGCAAAGCAGTACCGATGAAAAACATCCACTTTGCAAAAAATGCTGGTAATTATATGATTGCTTGAGGTACGTTATGATAGTAACGACAGACTCGAGGTTTGAAGCTGCAAGCGTAGCAGAGCGTACACTATCATGGACGTTTTTTATATAAAGCGTAAGAATCTGCTGGAAAATCTTAAGATGAAAATATCAATAAAAATTGACTGGGACTCGGAATGGCTTTGCCTTTCTCATGAATACCTTCGTGTAAACATCAAGAATTGTATTGGCGGATGGTTGAGAGAAATGTCGAAGACTTATGCATTTCTTATTAGCGGTGCTAGTGTGTGGGTGGGCTCATTACCAGCAGGACTGTAGCGGTCAGCAGCCAGCGCCTGATTGGCATACCGGTCGGCTTGTGCGAAGTCACCCTCAAGGAAGTAAAGGAAGGAGAGGTTTGTTGCAGCTGTGCAAGCTGTTCGGGTGTCCTTGTTTTCAAATGACTTCAACGTCTCTATGGCCTTATAGAAGATAAAGAAAACCACTTATGCAACATCAAATACAATGCATGAGGCTGTGTTTGTAATGATACTGTAACTAAAAGGAATAACTCACCTTAAAGTGTAAAGATTTGTCGCCCTCCTAGAATGGAAAATAAAGCATTACCACGTAGAACTTGCTTCCGTTCTGACACCACAGAATTAGTATTTTTGTGCCCTAAGAGCATAACATGTATTTTACTATTTCAATTCAGCATGCAGTCATTTTCCGATAGTGTTTTGAATTCATAGTGGAAAAAATAGAAAACCCTACATTAATGAGAAATTTGCAACTTGTAAACGCAGACGACTAAATTTATGGCTTTTGGAAACACATGGTTGCGAGAGGAGGCATTCATTTGGGACCAAATAACAAGTTCATAACGCTGATAAGAAAGTATTCGGCGAATTTTGAATTTTGTATTTTAACAGATCTAGAATTCACACATCAGAGTCATTGCAGCTTTGGAATTTTGCCCTTGAAAACGTATTGAGCTAAGCGATTTCTTAGCAGAGGCCTCAGCTCTCAAATATTTTGAACATTTAAACAAATGTTTTTGTGCCTTAGATGCACCATGAGTACATCAAAATGGAGACTTTGATTTGCACAAACAATGAAATCCCAAATTGACACTGTAAGTCCTGTTCTGATTAAGGAGATTAGAAAAGGCATTTACTGTTTTAGCTTCAAATTCATAAAACGCAAGCACATTTCCATGATCAGTCGATCGAAAACTCAAGCGCTTACAGTAGCTTAGGCAGGATATTATTGTTTTCCATTTCTTTAAGCAGCACAACCACGGGAACTAGTGCAAATATATGATTGCGATACACTTTCCTGCTATAATTAAAGCCGTTAAATTGCCTTTCAGCCTCTCGCTAGCAGAACAGATTAAAACGAAATTTAAATTCAATTCAATACGAAATGTAGACAAATTCAAACCGGATGAAAGTCACGTTGTCTGAGATACATCAACGCCTTGTCGATTTCCAGGTCATTAGGAAGTTCACGATACGCAGAGTTCTTGGTTTGTTCAATGCACCATGTATAGCCCAAGTTGAAGTTTGCTTCTATAGCTGGAGCAATTATTTTGGCGACCATTTTAATAACAGATTCTGCGTGTGCCTTCCTACAGTTAAACACATTTACTGAATGCGTTTAAGTGAAAAGCTCAGAGATAGTGCCGATATTTCCAAAGCCACGTAATTTGCAGAGAATAAGTTGGTGAAGCAGCTCATATGGTCATAACCCTAACAGTTTACGAGAGGCTTTCAATAAAGAATGCCCTTCCCGGAAAACTAAGTGTTATTAAGCTGTGTACATTTGGACGCCCACTTCTGCTGGCATTGACCACAAGTTCAAAAATGTAGATACAAATCATCAATATCACAAACCTATTTTTCTCGTACTGCCGCAGGTCATCGTTCTTTATGACTTCTAGTATGTTGTCATATTGTTTGTCATCCTGAAAGGAACAAAATATACAATCGCAGTCATTTTTTAATAAAATATCACCAAACATACACACATAAGTCAAATTTGCCGGTTTCAGTTTTGAAGTACCCAGTAACACAATACTACAGTCTTGAAACAAAACAAGGGGCCAAATCATAACCTTAGTTGCCTTATCGCATTATGATACGGAAAAAGAAATTCAGGTATGCTCACAGTCTGTGAAAGATAGCGCTCCTCGTCATCAAGGTGTGAGTCGACTTTAAGAAGCCGTTGGAATGTGTACTTCATATTGTTCTTATCGCCAATCTTAAAGTAGCAGAGAATCAAATTCAGAGCTGCCTTTATTCCCGCATCCTCCTGCATTATGTGCTCAAAAGCAGTGATGGCATCGTTGTACTGGCGTAGTTTCACAAAGGCTATTCCAATATTTTGCATGATCTTTATCCTACAAATTCAACATTACTAATGCAAAATTGTCTTACCGCATTGACTTATGAGTTTTGGGTACCTGATCCAGGCCCATACGATACATTTTGATGGCTTTTGTATAGTTTTTCTGGCGAAAGTAAATATTTCCCATGTTAACCTTGAGTCTTCCTATAAGAGGAGAGAGGACGGATGAGAAGTGAACCAACTGTTCAAAGGGGAATCATGCCTGCATGTGAGAACATCTTGTTGCGAACAATGGCTTGGTAAGTGTTCAGAGCCTCGTGGTTCAAATCTGCCAGCTCATAGCAGTTGGCAAGGTTAAAGAGGATGGAGTAGGTCAGGTCGAGATTAATTTGATCCGCTACTCCAAGCTGCTCACGTTGGCGTACTAGGACGCGCTCCTTGCGACCGGCCTCCTTGGCCTTTTCAAGGGCCACGCTTATATTCCCGCTAGCTGCCGCTAAACAGCTCTCTTCAAACAGCTGCGTCACCTGTTTATTTATGAAAGAGGTTATTTTCATTTGATATGAACTCCACGGCTATGCTACAAGAAGCACAGAGCTCAAAATAAAAAGATAGAACAAAAGAGAAATGCAGGTTGTTTTAAAACTCCTAACTATATTTTACTTACTAGTAAATAATCGACTACATTTCGGGAGACAGAATCGTTCGGTCGCTGTGTGGCTTTAAGTGAACGTAAACAATAACAATGCTCAATAAAAGTGCCAAGATGACTCTTTAAGACAGGCTACATCATTAACATCCGAAGAATATAAAGCATCAAAAAAGTTAAACCTAAAATCATCATAATTTCAGCCCCTGCGTTATTGGTTTCTTATCAATCTACATTAAAATACAGTGACAAAGCAGGATTATTAGAGCATTATCAAATTCTTGGGAAACACTGAGATTATTTCAATAATTATCAAACACTGAGATTAAAAACAGGTCCATATTCCACAATAATATTTTTAAAAGCATTATTAAGTCCTTAAAGAAATACAATATTAAAGTCGATAGCAATACTCATAAAATTTCAAAACGCGGACGAGTTACATGTGCCAAAAGGGATAGCTGATTACGATGTACCTGAAATATTTTGTATTTGAGTTATAAAGCAAGTTAACTTTCTGCCATACAAAACTAGAATGCCTGTGCAAATTTGTCCAGCAGAACAAAGTGATGCGTTACCATATACTGCGCTTTCCAGTTATCTCCTTGCCATATCTGAGTTAGCAAATTTGCACACTCAAATAAGTAAATACCATGAGCACATTAAGTGAACTTTCTTAGCATAAGCAAGGTTGCGACACTTATTCCAAAAATATCGCCCGAAAATTTCATTAATTAGGAGAACTTTGCTCGCAAAGCTGAAATGCTCTAGCCAGAAATAAATTATTCAAAAATTTAGTCATCTGAATACTGAAAGCATAGCAATAAAATCCTTATTTGTGCATTTCAAAACTACTTGACTGCAATGACCTCCCACTTTTGTATCCATCTCGAATTTTTTAAAAATATTTTGCGATGTATAACAGAAAAATTTCACCTTTTTCTCCATTTCTTGCATCTGGGTTTCAGGGGAGTCTTCGGGTTTCTGTTCAAGTGGGGGAGCGGCTATGTCGATGGATCCGGGTTCAGTAGTAGAATGATTGACCGTGGAGGCATCCACACTGAACTTTCCAAAAGCCGTACTACGTCGCAGATTGGATGAAAAACCGGCGGCCCGAACGGAGGTCATTGGACGATAAGTACCGAAACCAGAAGACTCAGTGGTTGAGAGATAGCGGTCACTGCCGATAGCAGCGCCCATCCTCATGTGTCCTCCAGAATTCTCAAAGCACTGTGAGCATTAAAATGACGAGCATAGAGGCAAATAACAGTTACGTAAATAAAATATGGAGTTTGGTTTACCACAGAAATTGCTATTATTGTGTTCCAAATAGCAAAAACGGGAAGTAAGATGTTAGGATATAGTAACAGAAAGCCTACAGCCATGTTAAAAAAATTAAAGTAAGTGGGTGCTCAGAGCTTGTTGTATTGGGGCTATTTCAATGCAGCAAATGCAAAAAAAACATTTCAGTAAACGTCTACATTAGACCAAGTCAAGTGCTACCTTAAGTTTACCACAAATCTATAAAACAAAACATCTCTTAGAGTAAAAGGGTAAAACTGCTGAGTAAAATAAAATGACGTTTGTGTCAGTCATCTCCCCTGCTTACCGTAGGTCTCCTTCCCTTACTAGCGGTTTTCAAGGCAGTTTGGATGTTTTGATCTGAGAAAATATTTCCAGCGTCAAATGACGGCGGAACAGCATCGAAACCCTCATATATGTCATCTATATTTGTTGAATCACGCATAACTCCCCTCCTAACAACCCCTTCGAATCGCAAAGTGTCTCATTAGCGTGAATGAGTCCCCATTGGTTTATTAAAACCAACTATAAGGATGACTGGTTTCATTCTATTATTATAGATTGCTTCGATTTAGACGGAATATGACTTCCTAAATATAGCCATGTAGGATATTTTAATTTCAATACAACCTTATTAGGACGGGTTATTTCGCAAAAAGACAACTTTTTAAATTATGTAATTGTTAATGAACTACCTTAGGACGTCTTATGTATTCTACAAAATTTTCCAGTCATCAAAAGTACCTTGTCAGATATTTTATATTTTAAATTCACTAGTCTTGTCTTGGAAGTGCATTTTTAGTTAGGGGTGTGCTACGATTTCTAGGTTTGCCACAATAATCTTGGTATTACCATAACTCACCCTTTGCGCTCTTGTGCTGATGTTTCTAATTTATCTTGTTTTTGGACCTACCAACTGTTTCAATTAGGCTAGGAAGTTACATTAGACCAGATATTACTGGGATTTCTCCATTTATTATCGTAGTTGTTGACTGCCACAGGTGGTTGGCACTATTAGCACCATATCCACATCTTAGAATTCATGTTGGGCCTGCCTGATTTGACTATGTTATATTACCCAGTGCTCTGGAGTGTTCTATATCTTACCTGAACTCGTAGTAAGTCATACCAGTTTGGGAGAAAGCTTATCACTAATGCACATAAGGGCAGAAAGGCTAAAGGTACGGTCGAATTGCCCTGAGTCCCAACTAACGTACACCCAGCAGGAACTGTTGAGCTCATATATGTAAAAATCCACTTGTACAAAAGACCAGATCACTACACTCATTCAACTGTAATCCTGTGATAATGCATAATTTCGTTTTTTTTTTTTACAAAGATGATGATGCATAATGGTACATTCAAACGACTCCTTCAAAGTATAATTACCATAGGAGTATTGTACTTGTCACTTCACCGAGTAGTACTTAAACTTCTAAGCATCCGGTTTGATACTGACCCCTTCTATAACCGTCGCTGAATGATAATATTAAATTAGCGAAGAAATAAATCACGTTACTTTTATCAATTCTCCAGGGTATTATATTATCAGACACTAATTATTAAAATGGAATTAACAAAGGCACGTTACCGTATTGTAGCGTCCCGGGACTCCCTGAAGACGAAAGAAGACACAATACTCGGGCAGAATACATATTCAGCGCAGAGAAGGTGTCTGGGCTATTGGCATGACCCAAAAGGCTAGCCCACCCAGCGAGGTACAAGGGGGCTAATTCAAAGTCCAAAAGTGGCGCCTCACTGATGCCGTGGGATAAACCACTATCGTATTACAGTATAACTCAAAACTTGTAACTGCTTGTGGCTTTTTGTTTGTACTATGAACAGCACCATACATGTGAGCAGGAGTTTAGTATTTGGCTTTTAAATATACAATTTATTAAATTGACTTGTTGATTTAGTTTTTCGAGAAGAAGAAGGAATGAGAGAGTATAGTCTTGACTGGAGGCTCATACCGCCTAATGGAAGTACTATTTATGGTGACTGGAAGGCTCTATTACACAAAGAAATTTTAACAATAATATGACCACTCTACTTGGGCATATTCTAAGTTGGTTTTTTTATAACGGATTTTATTTTCCTTTTTTGCTAATTTAGATTGTGATTAAGAAAGCATAAAGTTTGTTCAAAACTAGTAAACACTCCACCTGTATTTACAGAAGAAATTCCTTTATAAGACTGGCAGCGCTTCATCATCAACCATAAAATTGGCAAGAGAAATCACGATGCGTGAGAGGAACGAAGAGAAAATTCACTCGAATTACTTATGAACGTGCCATCACGAAAACAAATGAGAAAGGTGGTTTTGGAGCAATGAGAGGAGTGAAACAAATGGTAATTGTTCCGCGGAACCAGGTGGAATAAATTCAGAATAATAGCAGAAATGAGCCAAAAATGTTCGTCTTTAAATCACAACATTTATCGTCTTTTTAAAATCAAATAACTGATCTTTTACTTCAAACTATTTGCAGAAAAATATGGACATAAAATTAACATCATGACTTTCTACAACTGTTTGTTTCACGGAAGACTTGAGATATTTTGAAGTTGATTTGACAGTTGTACAGATTAACTTTTGTTCTTTGTCCACCTAATTGCGCTTCATATTTCAGGCATACCAAGTATCTCAATGATTGTACCTAAGTGCTCTCCTAAAACCAGCAAATTCAAATAAAATTCAACCATAGGTAAACTTATGCCAGTGATTTTACTTTATTGTTTGATGACAGGATTATTTGTGTGCCTTTTTATCACGGAATCAATGCGGCATTTTTTTCTGCCTTGGGATTATCAATACGGGAAGGGTGTTGGCTGACTGATTCCACAGCTAATTTTCCTTGCAATAACAAACTAAGCCAATCTTGGATTTGTGCATAGTTATCAATTCAAATTTTCTTTATTTCTGCATATCCGCGTACATATCATTAGTGTGATCAATCGTGTAACTGACTAGCCTTCCGAGACTTGTTATACTCGTAGAAACAAGTTAGATGTTTCCAAATAAGTAATAAATTATGAAAATCAGTGGCGCATTCCAAATGAAAATAGGTGAATCGCAAAGTCGAATACTTTGTTCATTAATTCGTAATAATAATTTGAGTATTGTGAATTTGCAATTAGAGTACTAATGTCGATATTAGTTCAATATGGTCTCCTCTGTAATCAACTGACAGATTCTGCTGTGCACATCGCATAACCACAACAGAATTACGCATCCACTTTATCTTGCTTGCAAAAGAGTAAACGTGTAAGGCAGAATTGCAGTGACTGTGATTGATACACGAGGCCGCTTTTCGGTTGCGCTCTTTACAAATATAGACCAGGCAGCATTTAACAGGGCTTGGCACCTAAAGTTATTGATTATGGTTTCTTAAAAACCACCTTTTTGAAAAAAATGGTGAAATATGGCCTGATTGAAAACACTTTGAATAATGGAGGAATTTACCAATTATGGGATTTTGTCAGTTAACCCAGCCATTGGTTAATAAATGTCGAATCACATTTGCACAAATCATCATTAGTTGGGGAGTACTTCGGGCTGAATATTGCCCATCCCCTCCTGGGGCTTAGCTGATTTCCGTTTAGTAAAATTCCTTTGCGCTTTAGTTTTGGCAGTTGACGGGAAAAATTTATTTCGTGAACTTGCATAAAAACGTGCTTTGGTACGAAATGTACGTAGGCATTCAAATGCTTTTCTGTGCTAATTAACCCGTGATACTGCCATTTCCATAACAGCGGGGGGAATGGCATGGAAAAGAGGAAACTATTTGGATATTTAGCGTTTGTGATTCGGTAAAGATATTTTAATTGAAATTGCACTCCAAAGAGGGCGAAAAACAAACATAATTAGTTAGATAACAGTAACTACAAAACCTTAGGAGGGTCTTGACAAAAGTAGCAGGGAAGCATTAATAAAAGTCAGCAAAAATTCAGCAATGAAAAACCTTCCATAAGTGAAATAAGAAATAATACCATAAGATATAATAATACCATAATAATAATGATAATAATAATGCAATACCAATAGGGGCTTCGCCATTGTACCTCCGCCGGGCGACCTGATCTCTGGACCGCACTAGTATCCCCTTAGTCCGCTAATACGTCAAAATGCATATTCCGACCGAGTATAATGTTTTTCATTCACCTGCAGAGAAGTCTTGGGACGCTACAATATAAAAGTTTGAACTTCTATTTGGAGGAAGTTATTTTCAATACTTGCGTATAACTCGGCTAGAAATGCCCATTTCCTTTTTCGTTTCTTTTTGTACAAGATAAGCAGTTCGGTAAAAATCTTTAAAGGGGAGAGAAATTGGCTTTAGAGAAGGTAGTCGATTGCATTTACTGAATAACTATCCCACTGCATTTAGAACTTCCAGTGCAGTATTAATTTATAAATATAGGTCTTTATAGACTTCAAAAGTAAGTTTTATTAAACATTTGTGCTCAATTACGTCTTAAAATACACCTGCACATTCACGGAAGTAAGTCATTAATCCGTAGATGTGTAAAACATAAGTCATCATCGTAGTAATTTAAACGGATGCGCTATCTTGGGCAGGGTCAGAAAATGTGGTTGTTGTTGCCAACGGAACGAAGTTAAGTGGAGCGGAGATAAGTGGAATGGGGTGGAGTTGTTAATGCAATTTTAAGGCTTAAAACTGGTGCATGGGGCAGTTGGTCTCTTTGTTCATCCATTTGCATAAAAACACAATCTGATAGGTTTGGCGCCACGCAAATAGAACTAAGGCATGTATGCTCAACAGTGTGTGCAGTGGTCATTACTTCCTGATGAAATTAGAGACGAGCATCAAAAGGCTCCTAAATGCTGCGCAACATTGTGCCCAGAAGGTAATGGCACTGACGTAGCATCCTATTAGGTTTATCATGACAACACTTTGCACTGCTTTGTTCTATTCCTCGCCAATACAATCATCTCCATATCAGAATATTACAACAAAGAAGGAGAGGTATTTATCAACGCTGGGAAACAGCGTTTATGCTGCCTTCATTTGGGAAAGTGGTAGCAACAATAGAGGTATAAATTATAAATTGTTAAGTAATTAGAATTACATTTACGCCTTTTTCCCCTTCAACAAAGTGATTATTGAACAATAATGACTTAAGGAAATCATCTTCATTCCTTCACACTTTAAAATACACTATATTGAACCATAAAGTAACCAATTTGAACCAAACTGAGTAGCCTAAGTTTGCAAAATAATGAATTTCAAGAAGATTTTTTAGGGTCATTAGGGAATGGCATTCGTTCATTCATTCGCCAATATGTTGGAACGTCGTTTGTTGTGTACATCTATAGAACCTCCCGCATTCTCAGCTTTTATGCTTCGACGCAAATTTAGGAAGAAGCATCAAACAATGAGAAGCAATTGATTGCTTAACAACCTTGCTTTTAAATACGGCTTTACATTATGCGTTCATAAAAACAACGGTGATGGAAATACGGACAAAACAATTCTTTAACTGGGCTATTCGTCCTGCACTTCAATGTTAGCGAATTTGCGATTAAACACTGCTACAAGTAGCGTGAAATCGTGGGCATCAAAGAGTGACTCGGATTTCAAGGCTCCATTATGATTATTCAATGCCAGTTTATGCATGGAATTCAGAACGGAAAATTAAGAAAATTTAATTTATGATTGTGGGAATTTTCTTTAAAAAGTACACTGTAGTCCAGCAAGAAGATTTTTGTTCTAAACTTTCTCCGCGCCGTCACCTATGACCACACCTTAAGGTGGAAGTTGCCGAATTTGGAATTCCTTGCCAAATGTACGCATATACCTAACTTAGCTGTTGGTAAATAAGTTAGTAAAGACATGCCCTTGCAACTGAAGAGGTAATTTCAGACCAATACCACTCATACCACTTTGCATACATGCTAGACCTTCACACTTTTAAATCAAAAATAAACCAAATAATGTTCTCTTGACCAACGATTTGGTCATATTTCTCAAGTGAATATTTAAAAGACCAATACTTCAAACTTCAAGCCGAAATCTCAGCTTTCCAAATTGGTAATAGCTCTCAGACACCATGACTGACCAAATCGTCTTGGTGGTGCATTTCTGAAAGTCATAACCAAGATCACTAACTTTAGAGCACAGTCCAAATTAAAGCATGATTTCGCTTACTTTGGAATATTCAACTTTTAGTGACCTTTGATAATCATGTAAAATGCAAGTTAGCAATGAGGATTCAATTTTGACAGCAAATAAGGCAGCGCTAATGCATTCAAACGAACCCAATTTTAATTTGTGGGAAAAAAGTGTTTAACATGCCCCGATTATGTAGATTTATATGAAGGAGGGACATGGACTATAAAACAATCAAACAAAAAAAGCACTTAAAACATTATTAGCATTGAAAATTTATGCGCTTGAATCAAAAGACGAGATCGGAAGAGGGGTTAAATGTCGCCCATTGATTCCAAAGTGTATTTTTGAACAATGAGCAATGTCTGTGCCTAGGGTCAAAGTGCAGGGACTCCTAAAATCTGCTTGCCTAAATTCAAATTACCATGCAATGAAATTCAGTGGGATAAAATTATACAAAACTTTGTCATGAATAAATGAAAGGAAATAATTCGTTGGAAATTCACTTCTCGTGATATTATTAAGTGGAAAGATAAATAACTGCTATGCTTTTTCTAACACTCAGGTTCGGGTTTTACGGCAAAGACTCACCGCCATCACATCACCAATCACTCCTGTCACCACAAGCCCCAGCATAAACATAAGCTTTACAAATACGTACAAAATACCCATTTTAGCCATTCAAGTTCAACAACGCTCATTTCGGACTTAAGTCTATATTAGCATATTGTCCATTTAACACTTACTCCAGTTAGGGCTAGGCACAATTCACGAATTTCTGCCTAATGAAGGAATAATTATTTTGAATGAACTCAACTCGAGCATGGTTCCGATTCTAACATGCATGCTGACACACCTGCATAAATATATACCTTCGCGTTCACCCAAGGAAGCAGGTAATATGTAAATCAGGATGGAGCACATTAAACCTCATTCGCTGTTTGCAAAGAACGCGCCTCGCGTCCGGACAGATTATTGGTCAGTAAAACTCATGAATATCACTGAAAGCACGAGGAAGGTATGCCCATTGCATGGCTTCCTCGCATTGCTCAAGCGCTGCCCTCAGAGGGCGAAGTCGTCGCCATGCGGGGCAAGGTTAGTTGAAGGTGAAGCCCACAGGATGCTAGACTGTTCATCAATCCAAGGCAACTTCCGTAAGTGCATTTCAGTTATGGTTCACGACTTATTTACTCACTAATGCGAGACGTGGTATCTTTGAGGCAAATTGCGACTGTACAATCGCGATTGCGATTGTGTTATTTCAAATTTTCTCAAAGGCTACGGTGACGATGTTCACTTTGCAGTAAAATGTCCGCGCAAAAGTGGTTTGATTAAATTTTTCAAAAAAGTTTCCAACCAAAATCAAAACACTGGTTTTTTAGAAATGTGTGTGAATTTTACTTGTTCCAGGGACAATCGCAAGAAATGGCAGAATAAAATGCTGATCGAAATATTTTATAGAAGTGATGGCTGACTTTTAACAAAAAGATTCTGCAGAGCACTGCTCTTTTGTGCAAACTTTCTTCGATAATGTTCGTTTATTCTCAAGCTAATTTAACCAACCATTGACACCCTTTAGAAAATTTTTAGGTCTGAACCGCTTCTAAAATTCAAGTTACTGTACAGATGAAATGGAAAAAAATAAGAAATATGATAATATGGGAAAATGTGAAGCCTTAGCCCTATTCGAAACACTTACGTTAGGGATCTCCAATTAAAATATCCATCTAAGATATGGAGCAATGTAGAGTGGTTACACTGTTGTCGCATATTTTTCAATAAAGCAATATTTTTGTGGATTTTTATTTCCAGAGAACAATTTTGTGGATTTCAACCATTTTTTATACTTGTCTGCATCACACGTATAATTCACTCTTTTTCGAAAAATCTGCAATTTTTTTAATTCTGCTATGCGGCTATTAAATAAACTTTAGAAGTAACAAGTGGAAATGGGTCAACTTTGAGAAGAAATTATAGTGGTTACGGCTAGAATTGCTGTCAAACAGGATATCAGTCACTTACGGCCACTTCGAAGTACTAGACTTATCGCATGTGTTCAATATAAAGTAACAACCATAAGCACTTGGAAGACTGCATGTAATGTTTTTCCAATTCTGCATACCATAAATTTTAGAGTCGTGGGAAATTTTCTACAAAGCAAACATACTGCAAATTATTTCGCTGTTGCGATTGCCTCATTTTACAAGGTTCAAAAATCTTTATCCATTATGTTGTGAGATAGTCCGCCAAAAATTCCCATACTGTCGAAATTGATAGATGTATTTGTTCGTATTATTCTAACTTTGAGAAAATTCTGTATTCTTAAATTGATATCTTTAGTGTTTTTTACATTCATCTGACTATCGTTGCATTTTATGCATTTGGACCAGTGTTATCCAAGAAATTACTTATAATTTCTCTATCAGTAGGCACACTCCTATCAGTCCTTCTGACCTGCGCGGCAACAGTCCAGTCGATCTGCCAATTCCCCGAGTTTTTATTACTTTCAAGCACAAATATCTGGTGGTCCAGTCCGCTCACTCATCGAACTTCCCAATATCACGCAGTCTCCTCCTCTTTCTTCGCCCAGCTCACAGTAAGGGGAGATCTGCGCAAAATGATCCTCTCCTACCCCGTTGAGCCTTCACCACGGTCTACTCAATACTTTCCCAATCAATATTCCCTCCATGACAAGGCGCTGATGAATAAAAATTCTTCAACATCTACAATACATGTCGATCTGCGGTGCCAGCATGTTGTCGACAAAGCCACGGAAACATACGCGGCTGAACTTCTGACGCCAAATTTCAGGTGAGATGGACAAAAAATGTGAAATGTTTTTAGCAAAATTTTTAGGCTTGTGGGCACAAATTCTTATAAGACAGAGAGTTTTAGAAGATTTTAAAAGTTTACAAGCCGCTTGTAGTTTACATTTTATCAATTTTTTGGAGAAAGCTCTTTTCAATAGGCACTTCAAATCGGAGCTTTTATATGCGATCAGTCTTTTACATAAGTTAAGCTTTTTGGTGTTGAAAAGACCTGCCTTCTATTATTTAAAATAACTTAATTTCTAACGAAGTTTTTTGGTTTTTTCTAAATGAGTGCGTGGATTAGATTTAGGAGGAATATTTGATAAAATGGTAATATGCACAGAAATATAAAGTACGAGCGGAAAGTGTACAAGTTTTTAAAAGATCTTGTTCGCAGGAGATTATTGCGCATGTTCCTTGCAGGATATTTAATGTAGGAATAATCTAAACCGTTTTATGCATTGGGACACATATCACATGGCATCATTAACATCTCACGAATATGTTGTCAAAGCACAAATATCCACATTGCATCGAAATACTTTTGTAAAACAAGTATTTAATGAACCTTCATGCCACCGACATTAGTTTATAAATGATGATTTTTGTGATTAAACCCAAAAATGGCTATCAGAACAATTGCAAAAAATTGTCTTTATAACTTATGAAAATGCAGTTGGAAAAAACGTTAAGAGTAGAGCGAAAAGTTTATGATCGACCGTGAGATCACTTAGACGTAAATAGTTATTTTAAAAGAGTTCTTTTTAACAGGAACTTTTGAGGTGGAATAATGCTAATTCAGCTAATAGTTAAATATTTACGTGGAGTAAATTTTGTCATGTTTAATGGTAAGCTAAAAAATAAGCGGTTACTGTCCAAAACGAATTTGCATAAAAAGGCAGTGAAAAAACCTAGATGCCAATTGGGAGAAAAACTGAAAGCACACGGCGAATCATGCAAGAACTGCTGATGAGCCAAACCATCCAGGAGTTAAATTTACATTCTAACTTAAACCATCATTTGCGAATGGAAGAATTTCCACTTTTCCATTGGGTTGGACTAACTCAAAATTATTCCCAAATTAACCAGTAATATGCTACTATTTTCTAGTTTACCTTTATTAAAATTTTCAAAAGCATTATTGATGTTGCACCTTTTATTGTCTAAGTGATTTTGAATAAGGGTAAGGCAGTGTTCAAAGCTTTCACGCAATGCTTGCCACTCGGTAAGATGGTAAAACGTAGCAACATTCCAGTCCAAATAATAATATACTTGCCTGATTTTGAGCAAGAAAAACGACTTGCTGCAGAATCATTATAATCTAGAAAAAGAATGTTTAGGTGAAGAGGTGGTAAAGCGATTTTCTCATTTTTAAAACAGGTTCCTGTACATATGCATGCGGTTCCAAATTTTTGATAGGAGTCCGCTCACGGAAGTCTTCGAGCTTATTCAAGGTACGCCTAGAAAACTTAAGGCTGATAGTAGTTAAAGAGCTAAATATATTGCTTCCATTTTTTGTGACCATAATGGGTGGGATTTTTTCAGGGGAAGGCACAACAACCCCATCCGACTGTGCAACTTCTGTAAATAATCCCCACCGCAGCCTGTGGATACGTAAGGCATTTTATTTAAAACGCGAGGATTTTTCTGTGTTCATTTGAAATAAAAAAGTGGGCAAGATTAATAATGAATACAAACAACAAATGCCTCATGAAATACTGTTTTGCTGAAAATAAACAAATGTATCAGAATTGGAAGAGAAAGGAGGCATAATAATCCTTCTCACAATATGTTAATTTTAGTTAGAAGTTCGAATTTGATATTAACATCCACAATTGCTTGTTCTTTCTTTAAGAAACGCATTATCCACATCTTGGAAATGTTCCATTAATTCGTCCTTATACTTGGATGTTTTCTGTATCATGTAGAGGCAGAACACCACTTACATCATTTAATTTTTCTTGATTAACTTGAAAAGTGTTTATGCATACTCTGGCCACGAACGCTCGCTTCTATGAAAGTAAGCAAGAACTGGACAAGTAATAGGAAAGACTCCTCTTACAGTCAAGTCCTTTCTTTAACTCGAAGCCAAAACCCTCTATTAGTCTAACCATATTAAACACAATTCATACGTATCACAATATTCATAGGTAACATACACCATTTTGACATTTAGCAAATTTGTCAAAGTACGTATCAAGGTATCGTCGGAGCAGGTGTCCAATTGTTGGTGGTTTTCAAGCAAAAAACTTCATTAAAATGAATTCCAAATCAGTAAGTACCTTCATATCCAAAAGGATTTTTCAGTAAATAGTTTTGTCGCAAAACAATGCTTTTTGGCTTCATTATACCATCATTGCAATAGAAGCATAATTGTGTTGTTCCTCCAGCAAATCTGCACCTCCTCTGTGTATGCAACTGTTGACTCGGAGTGCATTCGTGGTGAAGGAATCGAAATGCATTTTAATGAGCCCGGTTGCAATCCCTTTGAGTCCACTTTGGGTGGGTTGAACTATCCTTTTGACGTGTAGCACAGCTCAATGTAAAGTTAGGAGAGACCAAATTATTGATGTACTGAAACCATGAAGTAACGTGTAGACTATTGTTGTTGATAGGGGCCGTACTTTTCTTTTCACCTTCCTATCTTAAAAGCCCAACGCGTGCTTTTTATGACCCGAATTTTCGGTATTTATTTTACCTATTTTTCGAAAGCACGGTAGATAATCCAGTAGCGCTATAGAGTAGGTAAAAGAAGTTTAGTGTTTATAGACGTCTGTTGAATAGTTTATAATTTCCCAAATTTTAATCTTTATTACTCAAAGTAAGGCCTCAAACTCATGCAATAAAGCCAACTGAATGAATTAAATCGGAATGAGGTGCTTTTAATGGTAGATCTTACCCTTGTTATCAGCTTAAACGAACTATTTTGTTAATTAGACACACTATTTTCGTAGTTTATAATGGGATGGTACCTGTGAGTGAAGCATTCCATGATTTGTTAATTTTACTAACTATTCAAGGAAAATTTGATTCTAAGCAGTAGTAAGGAATGCTGAAGAACATAAAGTGGACACTGAATAACTTTTACTTGTAATATTCACGATATTATTTTGTCATTGCGGAAACATAAATGCATTTTTAACAGGAACTTGGATAGAGCAAGACAATAACCCAATTCAGTAACTAACTTTGGTCAGTGCCCGAAAATTGGGATTATTAACATTGCATTGTTTTAATCTCAAGTGACCAAATTTATGTGCTTTGTTCAATGGGTCGAAATGGGGAACGTCAATACAATTCTTTTTAAAGAAAAAAGTCCAACAGAATACATCGTGGCAAGTATGGTAGGTAAAGGCAGACTTTACTGTAACTTTTACGCCTTGTATATTATTGTAACCTTTTAATGAAGTTTTATTACTCTAGACTCATTGTTAAAATAACTGAAAGAGTAGCCATATGTCTCAACTTCCATTTAAAGGTTTGAAAATATTTAGAAACAAACCCTCTAAAACAAGTCCTCTTGATTGATATGTAATAATGCTTTCAAAAGTTTAATGTCCTTTTGGTGTTTTAATCTTGAGTTTGGCAGATAAGGTCGCCAATGCAGCACATTATTAGGAAAAGGATAACAAGGAATCCATATTAGGTATTTAAATAGATGTCCAGAAGAGGGTTATATGCATAACGTTGGGATAGTTGGCTGTCAGATTGCTCTTTGGTAATTATAATGTCTTTAGTAATTCACTCAGTTTAAAACAACAACCGTATCGAGATCAAGGCGGGTAAATTGTCACAGGTAGCAAAATGAATGTAATTATTACCTAAACCGGATTCCCTTACACAAGAGGTGAAGAACCGCAATAATCGTCACTGTAAATGAAATCGGATATTCTGAATGTTTTCCAGTTCTACCAGGAGGCGCCAACACAGGTAGACACTGTGAACAATGAATATGGTAGCTTTGCGAAGGTCTACATAGGTCTGGGCATTTTCCGGCCCACGGCTCAGAGTACAAAAGATGGCGCTAACGTCGCATATCCGGCCTATCTTTACGACCTCGAGCCTTTTGACATGACTGCAAAGACGTCGCCAGCGGCTTTCTACGAGGTTCAAATGAGGGGAGCTTGTATGTGCATATTTATGTTGCCTCACTGGGCTTTTGTTAAATTTGAGGACTACAAAGGCCAGGTAAAAAGTCCTTCAGAATTCTAGGTAAAGAATTGATAAATTTGTCTTCAGGGAAAACCATTGTGGCAGTATTTCTAAGAAATAAAATGGCCTGAAATTTCAATGCATCTTTTCTGCGAGTTGTACATCAATCTACTAGCTTACCCATGTCTCATATGGAAGTAACCCAATCATACGTATAAGTACGCTTTAAGAAGGGAATATTAATCACGGGCAACTTGCACCACACTTCAACATCTCTAAGAATTTACATCGCCGGTCTAATTGACCCTAGACATCCACTCAGGATAATCCTCACAACTATGCGTAGTGGCAATTTGAAGTAACATGGTTGCATAAAAGAAGTTTCGACACCAATTGGCAATTGTGATTCAGTATTAGCACAACATTTGCCGGTAATTTTATCACTTAAAATGCATTCACTTTATTATTAAATGTCATTATTATATCAAATTAGTAAAATCATGAAGTTGATTTATGCTGCAGTTTAGAGCTCAATGTGTAAGTAACTGAACTTAATAGCAAAATGCTGATGGCGATGGCCACGGCAATCTCGGTTTAGAAGCTTGAATTTTGGCAACCAATGACTCAGAAGTGTTGCTTCTGTGGATAAACTAATGGTCGCAAAAATCAAGCAGTTGTGTAGTCACCACAAAAGAGTTCTGCATATTCCAAAATAAGCATGAAGTAGCAGAAACCCGGTTAACAAAACTAAAATCGGACAATAGCACACAATATGCAAACAGAATGCTTCAATCTGAGTGATCGACTTCCCTCAAAAAGAATTAGGACTATTTCCACTCCAATTTGGTCTGTTTCCTCATGCTATGCAATGTTACTGCGCAGTTGTGTCTTTAACATTGTAGAGGTTTGCAGAATGGTTTTAATTCTTGTCGACTTAGACCTCTCAGAGGGCATATGGCAATGCAACCCAAAAGCATACATTGACTTGCACCGAACTAAAGCGTCGTAAATAAATGTGTTTCGGTCTATATTATTCCATTATGCTGCATGAGAACGTTAAAAATAAGCCAAATATATTTTTAAAAAAATTATCGAAACTCACCTAAAGGAAATGAATCCCATGGAACAGTGTTGTTTAAGGGTTGTCATTGAAAATCAAATGAGGTATGAAATGGTAATACCCATCAGGATGTCACACAATGCGAGTGGATGGGGTTAGTGCAAAGTCGACTAATTCACGTTTCATTTGATTTTGCCCCATATCTTAAAATAGACGAGCTACAAAATGCTCACTTTAAATCAGATAATGAGTCTGATGTGGCTTCCAGTCTTAAGTACAGAATGTTGCTTAGTGTTATGTAAAAAGGACGTTGCCTAAAGTTAATGGGAGAGAAGTGCACCTTTTTTCAAAATAAACAAGAATATGCAATAATAATAGTGCAAAAAAATTAGAACACGAATGAAAAATCAATCTTTATAGTCTTCATAAAGTGACAGCAATGGCTATGCACATAATTCAACAATGAGGGGCTAATGCCAAATCTTAGAAACAGTAGACAAATCGAAATTACAAAAAAATTCTCTATCAAATTTGTGACTATTAAATTTGGTAGTAGTATATAAAAATAGATTTAACGTACGATAGGACTGCAAAAATTGTCATCTACAATAAGTTACCACACTGTGCCAAATTTCAGTATTTTGCACGCTGAAGTGTGGCAGAATACGCTAATGTTAGAACTTGGAAAGGGAAAAAGTAGTAAACAAATTACAGTTTAAATGATAATTTGAGCTTTATGTAGATACTTGCCGAAGAAAGACCTGGTGCTTGATAGACGTTGACTTGGAATCAATCATCTGCTCGAAAGCAGTAAAGTAAATCTGCCAATGTCATCAAATTAAAATTTTTGCCAAATTTTATTTTAACTTTCAATTTAACACGCAAATATTATTGTAAAGTGCAAGACTGATAGAAACTTTAGCTTCGATCTAGTCTATTTTACGGGTGGTAACCTGATTTTGAACCTTCTTCACTTTATGCAGTTGGAGTCTGCGATGATGAATTGGAACAGTGTGAAAGAGGATGCAACGCAGATGCTCGAAATCGTCTATTTTGTAGACGATCCTGTCCCTCAGCTCAAAGAGAATGCAGTGAGTGTTTGTAATAAAGTAATTTGAATTGGGTTTCTACTTTAAGGAGATTGAAAGTCACTTTCAACTTATGCTATTCGCCACAAAGAGATTGTTCGGAGTAGGCGCTAGAGGTATGGTAAATCTCGTGCTTAAGAGAGTCGGTTGCAGTAACAAAGTAAGGACATTCATGCTGTTTCATAAAAAGATACTTGAAAATTGTAATTCAGATAAGTACGTCGATTAATATTTCGAAAGTATTCCAAAGATTTAGGAAACAATGTAAATGAAGTAAAATCATATTCTTGAGTAGACTGATATTTAAATCAGGATCGGGTAGCTGACGCCATTTATATATTTTAAAGCTACGAACCTCAATAAAAATCGTTCAAAGTGGTCATGTTGTTAAAAAATGCTTTTACCATTGGACATCATCATGATGGCACGGTGCAGTACAGATTAATTGTGTATTTTCTGGGGAATTTCGTTCAAATAATCTACTTTTGTGTTCCCATTAAGTTCATGCAATCTTCCTACCTTGAGCATATTCATGAGGCGAAGATGCCTCCGAAATATAAATGAGATCTTCTTGTTTATTGTCTAACATCCCACTTAATACAAATATGTGCTACAACAGTTAAGTTGAAGTTGTAGCTTACGAGGCTGGTGATTTGCTGACGATTCAGATGATGTCATACAGAATTGCTTAGCACTGAACACTTTTGCATTTGCGCCGATAAGCACTATATTTTGTAGCGTTTAACAGAAATACTTTGCAACAAAATACCTCTGTAATTTTTTACTGCTTTAAAATACGGATCGTATAGAATCTGTAAAAAGTTTCCATTTCATTATTGACTTAATGCGTGGTTTCGGAGGCTGGAGGGACAGAAGAAAGCTGCTGCCACTAGAACGTTTTCCAAATTATCTCCCTCGGCACTTTCCAAGATTCTATAAAGCCACATTTGTCTGCTTGTCAAAGACATCCATCGCAAACACTTTTGTGCCAATCAAATGAGTTATATGAATATTCAATGAAGTTATTTATGTTGACAGGTTGCACGTAATGCCGGAGAGTTTCGCGGCACTTATAACAACAATGTTGGACAGCAAACTGTTTGAAAAAATATAGGATAAATGTCATCGCGTCTAGCGTTGATTATGGAAGTAGAATGATTGCAACGTAGTGGATACATTAAAAGATGAATTTAAAAGCACATATTGTAGACTTTAAAGCCTATTTAAAAGACGACAAGTTAGAAGGAATGGGCGATTTTTGCATGTATGAGGTGACCTCGACACTGTCTGAAGGTCTATATCAAATGACCTTAGGTATTTTGGAATAATTCGTGTAACCATTTATGAACTGAATTACGTCCGCAAACTAGCATACCTAATATTAGATGTACCACTTACCAGCATTGATGCCTCATGTATGACAAAATAATGGCGTCATCCTTTGAAAACTTTTGAGACAGGTTTACCAAATTAGGGAATGATGTCCAATTCATGTCTATTTTAAACCATAAGGTTATTTTTAGCTTACTAATTAAAAACGTTACTTTGGAATGTGGAAACTCAACTGTAATGGCCCTCTTCATAATAGTCAAATACTTATTGCAGTTCAAAGGAACAATAGGCGAAATCGCTGCTGACACTCAAACACGATTCACTGTCAAATCTTCTCTCGTAATTCCCCACCGAATAAACCTTAAAGTTTCCAACCCAACGTACCTGTATGCATTATGGCGAAGACAATTTTGAAGTTTCCTAGCGCAATTAAGATTGCAATTGTTTTGTAGATTGGAGTTCTATTTTACCCTACCACTAAGCGATTGTTTTTCCGAGACCGAAAATAAATTCTTTTATCTGTAAGAAAGCCAAACCCTTAATTTATTCATTGTGCAAATAGATGGTCAAAAAATTCTGAAAATAAAAGGCTCCTCCAATTATTTTTGCAAAATTCTTTTTGAAAATATTTGAAACATTTTACATTTAACTTTCCATTAACAAATGAATTTCGGTAGTAATTTAGCTTTTTTATCTTGATGACTCGCGTTAGTGGATTTCTTTATGAGTGGAAGAGATTTATCTGCTTTACAAAGGTCCTACCTTGGAAGAGTCAGGGAAATATTAGATTTACTTTGTTTCATTCTCTCCATTGAGCTTGCCAGAATCAAAACTAATGAAATACCGACATAAAAGTGGTAACTTTGTCGTAAATTAAGTATAATGTAACCAAAAACGAATTTCATGATGATTGTATTCTATTATTTTAATCGTGTAGAAGAAAGAAAAATATTTACAATGTTCACCCGGAGCCTGCTTTAAAATGGATTAAAGTAAAATGTCAACCCTAGACAAACTATGGTGATTAACAGAACCCACTAATGGTTGTGTTACTCAGTGAAACTGAATAAACTCTCATTTATGCGCTACTCCCGAATCAGGTTATCTCAATTGATGCTACCTTTTAGTTGTAAGAATTAGCGTTAAGCTCCTTTAATTTACAATTAACTACTTAATTCTGGGTTAATTCGAGTTTGTTTAATGCAATCTCCTCAGTCACAAGGATCAGCATTTTTGAAGAAACATTTTAAACAGATAGCGTTTTTGTCAGGAAGCGAAGTCAATTTTGGGTTTGAGTGGTTTACTAAGAAAAAGGTGGACCTGATCATTTTTAGCGTTTGATGTTCATTTAAGCAGAGCAGCAACCTCAGCATAGGACTTTTAAATTAAAAAAGACCTCGCCTAGAGATTGTTCATTTTTTGGCTGCGTACAAATTGCTAACAGATTTTAAAGGATGAATTAGTAAATAAATCGAAGCACAAAGAAAGCTAGTGGACTCAAGTATTAAATCAGACTCGAGTGTAACTTGCTTTAAGATAAGATTATTTTTAAGAAATAATATTAAAATCATCACTGCTTTCAGATCAGAACTTAACGCCTATTTTGGTACTGAGATTACTTGAAGCATTACAAGAACTAGTTTATGCTATTCCTATTACTAAATCATCTAGCATCGAAAATAAACTATCGTAAAGCCATGCTTTGGTTAAATAGTTACACCAGTCGTCAGTCCAAAGGTTTGTTCCTTCAAATGTGTTAGTAAAAATGGTAATCTGACTAAAGTATGTTATCATACCATTAATTTAGGCATGACCCACAGCGATTCGTGCGAGATCAACGCCTCCTACCGGGGTTTTTGGCTCCTCATCGACCCTCTCCCCAGTGCACCTGGGCAGAGTGAACCGCGTCCGCACTTGCGAAAGCTGATTGACATCTCAGATAGAACCGTGACCTTTGCTAATGTGTTAGGTGATGAGACATTCTACGAGTTCTCCTGCCTTCGGGAGGCGAGCGAAATCGTTCCCGACTGGTACATCCTCGAGGGCAGAGAGCTGCAGCCAGGGTGGTTAGTTCGTTTGTGGTTGTTAAGACACACTCGGTTCACTGGACTCCCTTATTAAACGATAGATTAATGGATGCTCACATTTTGACTGTTGTAATCATTGTGTTGTCCAGGTTTTTCATTTTTTTCCCACCCCATTTAGGATGAGAGTTCTGATTTTAATATATTTTGAGTAGAATGAAACTGGTTTTAATGAAAAGTCTTGTACATTGCGGAGTACGGTGGCTTCAAACTGACACCGAATGTTTTTAATTTGACGCTGCTTAAAATATGTTCATCGGACTTTAATTTGGTGACAGCAAGTGGTAGTACCCAAGTTATCATTGCATAGACACGATGTTCCAGCAATGAAGATGTCATAGGGTACCGTAGTTGTTAAAAACACTGCTATTTTGACAGTATAATGGTTAAAAGACCATAAGGATAGGGGTGTGGTTAAAAGCATTACCATCTAAATGCTACAACGAGAGCGACAAAAATTGTCTCCCGCTCATGCAAAAATGCGTAATGTCAACTGAGAGAGAGGATATTTTCCAAACGTTGACAAAATAATCCCATTTTAACCCTAACAGCAATTTAGCAGCTTCCCAAACTTAGAGAACAAAGTCTTTTCAATTACGCGGAGTATGTGCTGACTTTTAAAAAGATGGGTGACCCAGTTATGCACATATCACCAATTATTACGTACCATTATTCCATTTTTATAAACTGTAATCCATGACTTATAGTTCTCATTAATATGCGCTTTCTGTGCGTTTCAGTGTACATGAATCTAGATGCTAATAAGTTTTACATCCACTTTGTCAATATCTTCTAATATTTATGATATTTTGGTTGCAGTTTGCAAGAGATCTCATTAAGAAATTCATATTCCAAAGGATGTAGCCATTTTGTGTGAAATATTTGTGGATGTATTTTATATACCTTGTATTAAGCCACCCAAGAGATGTCTGCCTTGAGGTCTATCAAAATAGGCCAATATTTTCCAACGAGGCACCAAATACAAATACCCTGCTATTTCGACTATGTAAGTTACCAATTTTTTCGTTGCGCTAAATTATTTGTACTTGTATTTGACTGAGGAAAATTTCGCTTTTACATCAAAAATACCACTAAGTGGCACAAAAAATTCTACTGTAATAAGTAAAACAAAAATTGTTGGGCTTATGAAAATTGAGTCCTGATAAATACAGCATTCTCCTTCTCCTCGGTTCAGCTTTTGAGTATGTTCGGCAGTAAACGCCCAGCTATGAAAGACTTATTAATTTGCACATACTGCTTCCATTAAACTGTGGTGGAGGTCCACCGACCCTTAAATTAGTACTTGATGGCAAAAAATGAGACGCCATTGCTGTTGGTGGTTGCAGACACGCGAAAACGCCTTTCCACACAAATGTACTGTTAGGTTATATGAGTTTGGATTATCCGGAACCTGCAATTCACATGAACTTATTGAGATTGAGAGTACTGAATTGGAATGCCCTTGATTAGCTTTGCAGACCAAATTGGTTTATTCAGTAGTGAAGTAATTCTATTAGTTCTTAACAGTGGATTGTGGTTCGAGGGTATAAAAATGCACCTGTTCTGTTAATCCCATTGCACTTTTATTACTTTAACCCACAGAAAAGTGGCATTCTCTGGTTTTACAAGAATAATTTTTATTGTGCAAGGCTTAAGCTTGGGTTTATGGCTGCAGCAGCACTTTCTACGATTTTCTAGTAATCTTTCTGCGATAATTGTATGTGAAAAAGTTTTAAGGGACGTGTTTGTTACTGTGGATAAAATGTCATTGCAGCAAAGATTTTTTTGATAAGACGATGGGTTTTTAATTAATTATGAGTAGTGGCATTTAGAAGCAGCCTATTTTATACTCATTGGGAAAGAGGTACTAAAAGTGTTTCTTATAAATGACATTTTTCTAGCTGGCAAATCCAATTTCCCAAGCTATTTACCTTTTTAGATACATTTTAGACCATTCCATGCAGAAACTTTCCCAATTTACTGCAATATAAACGAGCTTATTCTTTTAGCCAAGAGTGAGAAGCAAGGTGTCGATGTCTCAAGTTTGTGCACATTCCCCGATGATTCGGGGAGCATGAAGCAGCGGAGGCCTCAGATTTTGGTTAGGCAATTTAGACGTCAAGGTGAGATACTCAAAATTAGCAGGGAATTTAATCAGCTTTCTAAAATGCATCAATAAAAAGTGACATATTAGTCAGTTTCCTTATATACACAGCAGTTAAGTGTACACGTCATTTAACACAAAAGGATCCGATCTCCAGTGGATACAATAGCAAACGATAACAATGCTGCGATAATTATGAAAAGAAGCTCCATTGATTTGAAGGATAGCAATACTAAAATAACACGGCATGAACATTCCATTAACAACTGAATTATAAATAACCAAAATACCCTTGTCCATTAATTCCACTTTCTTTTATAAACAGCCTCACATTCTTTTATTCACTTCAAGCCTTGGTTCCACATTACAACGCTAAAATGGACCGATAGTGTGACTAAAATTAATTTTTCCTAACATCGCCTGAGATTTATCAGCTTTGACGTCCTAGTGGTCTACGATCTTAAGGTAGCAGCATCCTCTAAGGAGTCGCTATTAGAAAATAACTGCAGTTACACCTTTATTCTGATGAAATCGATGCTTCACCAAAGAGAAATATCATTTTTGAGTCTATTTTATATTGGAGTCAATCTGTGTGTAGCCAAGTACTGCTAAAGTAATCTGCTTCAGCATCCCCCAGCGATTGTCTGTGAAACTATGCTACTGTCAACTACAACCATTTGGGACTTTCGCTCGTCAATCACTCTCCATGAATGCACTGTTAAAAGAAAACGAAGATTTCTTGCCTTTCGTAACTAGTGGTTAAGTTTTATGAGGAAGTGGCGATTTCAAAGCCAACCAACATAACATTGAATAATACATCCGCAACTCGAATGTGATTTTAACTTAAAGTGATGCTAGTAGGGATGAGGAATTTAACAGTCGTCTTTTAGGAAATAATGCACTCTTTATTAACAGAACGCTTGTTTTAAAATATTCAAAATATGGTTCAATTTAAAATGATGGCGACTTTTAACGAACTTCGGTTGTCAACTTTTCAGAAAAGTTTTGAATCTAACTTTATTGAATAATATTCATACACTATGCACCCTTTCTATGCTATTGCTACCTCAAACATGTAACAGGCAACCGTTTCAAGAAATCGTATTGCCAGGAGTTTCGAGAAACGGTAGTGATATTCCTTATTAGGACTTTAAAAATTCGTATAATTCTCAACATTAGATATTGAAAGTTGACAATCCCATTTCAATGGTCAGTTCCAAAAAAGCAACTTAAAATAAAAACTGAGGTAATTTTGCATTTCAAATTTTCATTCGGACACAAATTTCTAGGTTCAGCTATGAGTCCCTTCTTTATGCATTTGGGAAGCAACGCGATCCTAGTTTACCTTTCTTTTGAGGTGCGCATTACTCTAGACTATTATTTATTTGCACATTTGCGCATTTTAGATACTTTTGGGTCTCCTAATGGAAGGATTTTTAATACATCAAAATGCGAAATCTATCAGATCAAACTTCAAGGCTCTATTAGACTTCGGGCACAATTTTTCAGCAACTTGATCACCGCTCAAGCAGCACGTCAATTCAATGCTTTTACGGCACAAGGCGGCGAAGAAAGAGAGGCTGGAAGTCACCTTGCGTGGAGTCGCACAGATTCCACTTTCCTGCCCGAAATGGTTTCCTGTGGAATTGAGTTGTCCGACTTCAATCCACGACTTGGAACAACGGGTGAATTCGATGGACTTTTGCGTTTAAAATCTAGTTGCTCCGTTGATCCTTTCTCGAAATTTACAAACACTGGTAAGTTTACATCCAAATTGCTTCATGGTTATACCGTCCGAAAACGAAGTCTTTTTTAACCCTGATATTGCTAACGGGAGATGTGAAAGAATATCTTCAAAGAAAATTTAATCACAGAAATTTTCAACCCGCAAAATTTAAATAAATAAAACTCGAGTATATCCTGTTTGCTGCGTATCAGATAGCTCTTTTCTTTTCAGTTTCTCGCAAAAATAAGCTAAAAATTGTAGTAGGTACCGAATTATTACCCTTTCTTTTTTATTTTGCGACGTGTTTCTACTTTTAAAACCATCAATTAATCATTGAGACTTTAATGAACGCAACCATAAAATGAACTTTAAATCAAAGAACAGAAAAAGGTTTTGACTGAAAACGAATGGACAACGAGTTTGATATTTTTCTTACCAAATAGAATCCGATTGAGCTGATAATCTAATACCACAGACACTAAAACACGCCCCTATTGCACTGGACTGCATCAACGAAAAATTACTTGATTGTGGCTTTTTATAATGAATGCGTAAATTTAGCATTAAATGTGTTTTTAGCGCTTAGCATAACTGAGACCTGTGAGATCTCGTGTAATAGTTCAGCACCCTGAGTCACCCCCGTTGAGTCACTGCAGTACGTCAGAGTTCATACTACTGACGTGCGAAATGACTAGGGGGCCACTAGCATGGCCCGGGAGCCACGCCAGTAAGTGAAAGTGCAATGTGCAGAGACTGAAGTACCGCCAAATCGAAAGCCGAGTTACACAAATTATCATACTACTACAGTAGTACATTACTAAAGTAGTTTGATATTAAGAGGCACCTTTTGTGTAAAATGTTAGCTAATTATATGTCCAAATATTTCTCTTTTGGAAGGTATAAAGTACTTTCTAGCCCTTATCAGATATTTATTAACACCATCTAGAAAGTGGATGCTCAAATGTGTGCAAAAAACTAATCAAAGGAAAAATCGCCTTGTCGCCAGTCGGAAAAGCTGGAGTCTTTAGCGCTTTTTCTGGGTTGCAAAACGACAGTTTCTGAAATTGTCCAACTTCAATGAGCAAGGCATTTTCAGCCTCCAAATAGTGCTGGATTTGGCGCCATTGTTACAAGTGTCGTCTGCATTGGGCTGCGTTTATGAAAACCATAGGTTAAATTGGACGGGAAAAATAATTCAAGTACATTTAGGGAAGTTGGAGCAATTTCTGCCGCACATTCCTTATCCAACCTAGCAATTTTTTTTAAATGACACAGGGAGAATTCATGATTTCTGTTTTTGAAGACTACAAACGCAAGATTACAGATATTATATGCATCCGAGAATACTTAGTCGCCTTCAGAATGAATGCAAGCTCATGCTTTATTTTGCATTTTAAATTCGTAATATTACTTAAGCAGAGAAAAGTTGACACTTTTCATGCTTCATAAGCTTTGAGACAAGTCAAATAACTGATGTAAATTTTAGCAAGTGAATCAACGTCGGATTTTGCCTGTAAATTAAGAACAGTACAATTAAGGTTAGTTTACCGTAGTCGCATGCAATTGAAGATACTACTAACATGGTTTTCCATCTTTATTAAATAGCTCATCATTGTGTATCAGTGCACAACTTGGACAAAAGTTTTAAGTACACAAAACGCTTTCTGATGTTGGTGACATACTCGGAGTTTTTGAAGAGCTTCTTCTGCTGGGTAGGTTTTATATTGCAGTCTTTAACTAGCTACAGTTTCCTGTACCTGATCAGTTGATTGGAGAAATATTTCATAACCACGTTTTGTCCACATCGTTCATTAGAAATTACGTTTGAAACAACTATTTTTAGTATTTTTTCCATGCGTTCTTACAATACCTGACGCAATTAACTCTTGAGATTGACAGGCAAAGTAGCGTGGAAACAAAGACAGCCACTTGCAGTAACATAGTGAGAAAACACTTCAATCTTACAAGAATTGATGGCAAGCTGTCATATTTTGGCTTAAGTAAAATCTACCTTAATTTTTCGCTTGTATAATTTAGCACCGCAACGCAGATTGAAGTTTGCTAGTGAATGAAGGTGATCACTAGCCGCGTTGGTTAGAATATCTCTTGCTACCATTTCCCTCCGAAATAGAAGAGGGCACAACTGTCACTAGCCAGAGGAAAGGGCAATAATTCTTCACGGAATGTTTAACATTTGAGCTAATTGGGCTGCCCAAAAACATTTATTCTACCCATAATGCTGGTACAAAAATATTTCTTTTACAAAATCCTCAAACTATATTTAAAGCAGTCCCTATTTGATAAAGGGTGTTTTCAGAAATTGTTCACTCAGGAAAAAGTGCTTATCCCTTAAATGTAAGCAAATTTTGAAAAATAGTAATGTCACTGTTCCTATCACGTTTCGTCTAGAGTTAATAAAGGAAACAGGAAAGGTTTCTCAACGCAGGACGTGATTCTCCCATTCGATTAGCAATCCATTTTTGAAGTAATGGAGGTGCAGGTTGTATCGTTCCATGCATTGAACGTTAATTTACCGATGACCGTTTTAAATAGACTTGTTTACCAAAAATTTTTTTTAATTTGATTGAATAACTTCAATACTTTGAGGGGTTGTGCAAGTTTGGTAATGATGCGATTTTTGGTGAAATCCAGTTCATGATAAAAAGAATGGGATATGGCGGTAGGGTTCCTCCAATTCCCATTGAACGTTTAACGGTTTCTTTGCTTCCAAATTTTGGTAACAATTGAAGGTATTGTTAAGTGGATTGAAGATCTCTTAGCTTGAACATTCCTTATTTCCATAATATCAGCAATGCTTTAAAGCTTTTTTTTACAAAAATTGGGTAATCATGGGTATTTCACCAATGGCACTTTACCTGAAAGAAATAAAGGTAAATCAGAAGAATAAAGGAGCTTCAATTATTTTATTTGCATCACATTTCATCTGTTTAATTTAGGTTAAAACCTATATGTTTGAAAAAAATGCCAGCTGCGTTTCGTTTTAAAATAAGATATCGCCAAATTTTTCATGTTGCAAGAGAAACGGATACATGCTTCTGAAAAAGTACCCCATCCTAACTAAATCGACAAATTATTAAAATTAACTGAATTTTATTTGTAGGTATACCATTTAAAGAAGAAATCATGACTACAGCACGAATGGCTACCTATGTGTATGACTAATTTATGCAAGAAATGAATTTCTCATGCTTAGAATGGACTTTGATATATACGAATAATTAATACACTTCATTCAAAAAACCACATAATTAGAAGGTGATGCAGACAATGGATCAGAACTCAATCTACATGCTGATGAGGCATGAAATTAACTACTTTTTTAACATTCAATGGGTGGATTAACTTCCCTCTTCTCTTGTTCTGGTCGCTAACATTATATTTTGTATGAAAAAGGTGTGTTCGTCAGTTATGATACACTTACAACACATGCGCACCCTCACCGACTGCTCTAGAGGTGTTTGGGACGGTGTTTCGCTGTGTCGAGGGAATCCTCGTGGGGCGCTTTGCATGAATAGATCTGCAAACACCCACGGTGCCTAGTAAACGCTCGTTTTTTTCAACGGTTCCAAGCGCACCTACATCCACTCGCGTATAAATAATGCATGTTGGCACACTTCCAACTTCCCTGTCGCTCTTGTCCATTGGCACTTATAATTGCAAAACCCTCTCCTGTTTTCATCTCTTCATCACTAAACGTTTTCTCCACTCAAAGTTGTCATATTTTGTGCCTTTGGGACAGATGTGTACTATAAAATATGAGGGACAGTTAAGAATTAATGAGAAATCCGTGGCCTACAATTTGTGTCCGAACAAAACTATTATTTGATTTATTGCATTGGAAGAACGATTTAAGACAGTAAAACTGCCTTTAATCACTAGTAAATGCAGTTCTCCACGTCAGCAACATAAATGTGGTGAGTGTGTAAAAACAGGTAGTGCTTAAAAATATATTGGTGTGGTATTTGAGTAGCTATACGGATTCGGCTAATATTTTTAGCAAGATTTACCACACGACATTGCGATTCCTTCTTTAAAGGGTGGTGTGTGAGCTACCGGTAACCGGTTCACTGCTAACTGAAATCATTGTTTCATTCCAACAATGTTCTGTACACCCTGACCTTCAGATGCTCTCTTTTATCCAACTAAAGTTGACCATATAATGTAAATTTTACAAGTGATGATTTGCACTTTTTGCTAAAGTAAAGATTGATTCCATAAACCTTACTTTGGAGGAAAGTGTGCCAACTAAGTGTAATTATAGAGGAGAAGTGAGGCCTAAAGGAGATGAGCTTGATTAAATGTATTAAATAAGGACTTGGTTCTAAGAAATGAGCGAATAATTGCTAGTTTGCAACAGCCGACTTCACAAACATTCTTAAACACTGTTAGCTGATTTTAAGAAATTCTCCTGAGCTGATGTGTATAGATTTCTCAAAAAAATTCAAAGCAGTCATTACCAGCAATGTGGGATGTCACTAGCAAACGTAAATTCCTTCAGCATCCTTTGGTACACGTTCGTTTGTCAATTGTACTAAAGTAATTAATCCGATGTTATTTACAGGAGCTTTTGATGAATAAAGCGCTTGAGTTGTAGAAAGGTATGGACACAGTGAAAACCGGTTCTATGAACTTAGATATAATACGATTTCATAAATTGAAGATAGTAAGGTAATCAGGAGGTTTATTGTTTGAAATGGGAGCATTACCGGATTTTAATGGAAATATCTATGCCATACTGGGGCAGCTATTTTTAAGTAAGTAAACAAAACTTCTGTCAGCAATGTTTTTGACAAATGCTTTCACTTTTAAACGCGATTTTTCAACAAAGCGTTGCTAACCGCTCTATTAGTCTTTAATGGAAACTGGAGAGTTGGAGAGGTTTCTTTCTTTGCATAAACGGATGGTGATGCTTTCTAAAATTTTTTTACATTAAGAGTACAAATAAAAGGCGCCTCTTGCTTTCCTTTAGATTAAAATCTAGAAAATGCTCTACAGTCTTCGACTTAATGCAAAATGGACAACTGTAGTATAAACGATTTTAATGGGAGAGAATGATACTTTTTAAACAT